GAAAATTATTGTTTTTTGTTTATTAAGTTCTTTAATTTGCTCTTTTAACTCATCGGTATTTTGCGTTAAAATAGCTAGTTCTTTATTTAAATTAATTATTAATTTATCTTGTTTTTTACTATCAAGGTTTTCAATTTCCTTTTTTATTTTTGCATCCGATTGCTCGAGTGCTTTTAATGTCTCTTGTTCAAATTTACTAAGTGATTTTATTGTATCATCATAAAAATTTGCATATATTTGATCAACATAACCCATATTAGTAGCATCTGCATTTAAAGTTGGTGATTTCACATTACATATTTTTAGGTTTTCTGCGTCAATATTACCATCGGGAGTATATTTTAGTACATTGTTACCATACTGTAATTTTGATAATAACGAATTTTGATTAGATTGACCGAGAGATTGACCAAACTTGTTAAGAGGCATTGTTAAACTGCTGGTAAAACTTTATTTGTTTTAATATATAACACCAGCTTCTTTTAGTTCATTAATAATTGCTGTAATTTCATTATCATTTGATGTGTTGCCAGCATGCTTGGAGGCTACTAATAACTTTAATCTTTCAACCAATTCATTTACGTCATCCCAATAAATGTACTCTATTGGTTTTTCATTGTATGTTACCAAGGTGGGCGATGCTCTGCCAAACCCAATTTTTTCAGTATGTTCTTTACCAACTCTAAGTTTACGACTATGTTCTTTTTGTTTATCTATATCTTGCTGTTTTATTTGCTCTAAAACAGGCTTAATAATGTTTTTATATTTGAGCCCTCTATGCCCCATGGTTTGTTCGTTGGGATCAAAATTTCTTTTATGCGCGTTTGTAAGCACAACAAGTTCACCAAATGTTTTAAAATCTGATGTCATGTAATTCTTAGGATTTTGTTTAAACATTAATTCGTACAGTCCTGGGGACCCCTTGAATAAATTATTATTTACAATAAAATCAGGACCTTTAAACTCCACAATTGAATCCCCAAATTTGATCTTGCCTGTATCCAAATCGTGGTGAATATAAGTATGATCATATTCATTGCTAGTATCTCTCATATGTCCTTCAACAAAATTTCTAGGTAATTCATTGAAAAAATCCAAATATTCTGCTATAGAATTTTCCGGAATTGTTTCCATGATTGATTCGTTGTCGAGTGTTCTACTTAAGCTTAAGTCATTATCATAAAAATCATTTGTATCATCTTCATAAATAGTTTCATTTCCAGAAAATGTGGGGTGGTATGTTTTATTGGGATTATATTCGCTTTTATAAAAATCATTTGGATTATTTTCATTAGTGGTGTCATTTTCAGGAAAACGTATGCTTGAGATATTTAATGATTTATCTTGAATACCTTTTCTGGGGGATGCTTCAAGTATTTTATCAATAGCTTTATATTTTATAGGAGATTGTTTTTTAATTTTTTTTGCTGGCTGTAATAAATCTTCTTCTTCAGCTTCTTTTTCATTTGGATTATTTTCATTAGTGGTGTCATTTTCAGGAAAACGTATGCTTGAGATATTTAATGATTTATCTTGAATACCTTTTCTGGGGGATGCTTCAAGTATTTTATCAATAGCTTTATATTTTATAGGAGATTGTATTTTAATTTTTTTTGCTGGCTGTAATAAATCTTCTTCTTCAGCTTCTTTTTTCACAAAATCCGTATCATATGCCATTTTTTCAAGAGGCTTTATGATTGGTCTAAAAATTTTATCTAATGTAGCATCATTTTCAGCTTTTCCCAATTTAAGAGCTAAATATTTTTTTCTAATATTTCGAGAGAGTTCATTAATTTTTTCAGTTACATTGACAGTGGTTGGTGCCATGATTACTAATGATACTAAATATAGTTGTTTTACATATTTATATTTTTATCAAACGATAACACCCATTGTTTAAACGGGAGTCTTTTATAACAGCCTGTAGTTTTTGTGACAGTTTTACAGTTTTTATAGCAGTTTTTACAGTTTTTCTATCGGTTTTTGCGATAGTTTTGCAGTATTTACAGCAGTTTTGCAGTTTTTCTAGCAGTTTTTGTGACAGTTTTGCAGTTTTTTTAGCAGTTTTTGCAGTTTTTCTATCGGTTTTTGTGACAGTTTTGCAGTTTTTCTAGCAGTTTTTGCAGTTTTTCTATCGGTTTTTGTAGTTTTTCTATCGGTTTTTGTAATAGTTTTGCAGTTTTTTATCAGTTCTTGCGACAGTTTTGCAGTATTTATAGCAGTTTCTACAGTTTTTCTATCGGTTTTTGTGACAGTATTTTTAGCGGTTCTACCAAGATTATAAGGTTACTTAGCAAAAAATATTAATAACAGCTTAAAGTCTATTACTGTTACTCAACTCAAAAAAAATATTAGCTACATATTTATATATTTATCAAATCCCTTTCGATAACGTCCATTGTTTAAACGAAAATCTTTTATAATAGCTAAACAACCATAATTTTCATTCCAACATTCTGAGCATATTTTCTTAAACTGATTATAAGGCATATCAGGTGAGACATGTTCATCAAATACATGTTTTAAATTCATATCATCCTGTCTAAATAGCACAATAATATTACAATTATCACGTATTAATTGTTTTGGTATTTTTGAATATGTTTGACATAAGTATGCAGCGTCTATGTTTTTATGTCTACCCATTGAATAGTATTCGCGTATTTTATTTTGTTTATCACAAGCTACATCATCAAATATGAAAATTGAATTGTTTCGAGCTTCCATAGGTTCAATTATTTCATCATTATCTTTATATGAAAAATACCCCACACCTTTTACTTTGCTTAAAACATTTTGTAATAATTGATATTTTGGTTGGAAAAGAGATTTTGAATAAACGTAAATATTTTCAAATTTAGCTCCATTAGGATTAAATATTAAACTTAATAAAGCATTTGTTTTACCACACCCACTAGGACCACAAAAAATTGCTCTAAAGGAATTTGGTAGTAAATTACCATGTTTACTAGCATCAGAACTGGTTTCAAATAAATCTAAATTATTTATAGGTAGTTTTTCGGGTTGTTGAACGCAACGCATTTTAGGTACTACTGAACTCAAATAGTTTTGTTAAGGAATATATATTAAAGTTTATTCAATTAATTTTACAACAGCATGTTATTTTTGGCAACTTATTTAACACCTCGTTAGCTTCTTTCGTATAAATTGAAACCATACAGCATGGGCATGTATCAGGACCTTCATCTGAATTTGACCAGGGGCACGACTCAAAATGTTTACCATATTGGGTTTTTACAACATTAGCATTAAGATGTTGCTCCAAAAATTCTTTTTGACTGATCCATTTTTTAATTTTTTCCTTTTCCAAAAATTCTCGATATATTTCCTGTCGAGTAGGATATTTATTTTCAAATTTTTCTTTATTCTTTTTTTTACTACATTCTTCCAAAAATTTATCAATATTTTGGATTGCCTTTTCAATTTCCTTTACACTAATCATTTTACCTACCATATTATATGTTCTCCTGTTTAAAATGTTGTTATTATAAGGTCGGACGGGAGACTGATCGTCTAAAATAAAATTTACAAAAAAATAATAATCTTATCTTATCCTTATCTCCCCCGGATATCAAACCACTGCAGCAAATGCATATCGCTTATCTTTTGCATCTCCAGTAATACCAAACTAATTATAAAATTAAAAAATGAGTATTAAACATTAAATAACTTACTCCTTAAAGGGGGTGAAGGAAGGCGGCGGGGTTATATTTCTAAAACATAAAGGTAAATAAAATATATTTAAAAATATGCAAAATAAACTTACTTTTCACGGAAATACTCCTCAAGATCCTGTGGAGGTGTATAGCGATTAGTTATATAATTCAACTCTGACAATCTAAAACATAAAGGTAAATAAAATAAAAAAATAGTAAAATAAACTTACTTTTCACGGAAATACTTCTCCAGGTCTGCTGACATTTTTAAAACCAACTAATGCATTTTGCATGCGATTATTTTCTTTTATAAACAATTTTTTATCAAGCAAGCCACGTAAATTCGCTTTGTAATACAAACATGTTGATAAGTAATAAATTTGCGGTAATTATGCAAACACACACATGCATCCGTTGAAGTTGATTGCAAGTCACCACAAGTTGAGTTCTTAACCGCTAAAGTTTTAAAAATAGATGATAAATAATAAATTTGCGGTAATTACTAAAATAAAATTTACAACAAAATAATAATAAATCCTTATCTCCCCCCGGATATCAAACCACTGCAGCAAATGCATATCGCTTATCTTTTGCATCTCCAGTAATACCAAACTAATACGCTAACCACAAACAACCAATATGCATATCGCTTATCTTTTGCATCTCCAGTAATGCCAACTAAACACCTAAGCCCCGCCCACTTTAAACCACAACACCAATAGCTAATATCTATCAAACATGGCCGCCATCCGCCAGCCGCCATCCGCCAACAACCCACCAATAGGCTCACTTACGCTTATCAGTTGAGGCGTTGCCCAAATGCCTGCCCACCAATAGCTAATATGATCACCCCCCACCACCCACCAGAGGGGGCGCCCATCCACCTGTCTGGGTCACTTCCGTTCTAGAATTGGTATAGTATATCTACTTATTTGTTTATAATATTTTTAATTAATGGGAAAAATTATCAGGGTACCTTTGTATGAATCACCCTGTATAAAATTATCATAAATTAACAATTAGAATAATAAATAAAAATACAATTAGAACAATAAATAAAAATCTTGAAATAATAAAAATAGATACTAAAACAGTGTTTTACTGTACAAAATAATGCAGAAAGAAAGACATTAACATTTTGATGATTAAAGGTAAAAAAATAATTTTGGACACTTAAGCAAACAAAGGCAATAAACAACTTAAAAGAAATAGCTGTACGTGTTGTAGAATTTTCAAATTACAACAAAAAAACCGTAGCGTTCACAAGAACATCCCATGCATACAAATAACCCTCAACCAAAAACAAAACAAAATCTGTCATAGCACACCGAACGTCCAGCGCACCTACAGGAGGTACACCTATAAAAACAAACGCGAATCTACCGGCCGACTTTAGTTAAACATCAAACGCGCGCCAAGAACCAAATACAGTAAAAGTGAAAATGCGCGCCATAAACTTAACGCTGTTCGCGGCCCTGTGCCTGGGCTGCGGCGCCCAGCTGCCCAAATTCAAAGTGATCAGGGAGTGGAAGTACATCAACTTCACCTGGGCTGACGAGCAGACCTACGAGCAAGCGGAAACGAATGGCTTGTACATACCTAAGAACATCGTTGTTTCCGGCTTGAAGCACTTCGAGAATCACTACTACATAACTCTGCCCAGGATGAGGGACGGGGTTCCAGCTACGTTAGCAAGAATACCCTCAGGGTTCACCAGGAGTACTGCCCCTCTATTGGAGCCCTACCCTTCTTGGTCAATGAATATGCAAGGCGACTGCAACGCGTTGCAAAACGTGCAAAACATAGAAATTGACCCCAGGGGCTACCTGTGGATTATCGATGGGGGTAGAGTTGAGACCCTCAACCCCAAACCCATCATAAAGTGCCCTCCAAAGTTGATAATCTACAATATCATGAATAACATTGCCATGACAACCTACACTTTCCCAGATGAAGTTGCAAGTTTCAATGGAAGTTACTTATACGATTTGGTTTTGGACTTCTCTGATGGAGGCTACGCCTACATCACCGATAACAGCGGAAAAGACCCAGGTAAACACATAAAAAATTACCATGGGAACTTCTTTTTTTAAATCGGATGTGATTCATACCACACAATAGAATTGTATGAATTGTATAATTAATAAACTAAAAGACTCGGTTATCTTGTCGATTAAAATTGTCTCGATATAAACACTTTAATTGAAACGTTAAATTGCTCGAAATTAACCTTAACGAGGTTCCTATACTAAAATTAAACTTAAAGCAAAATTAAATTTATCTTTTTGAAAAAATAACATCACAAATACTTCGTCTCAAAATTTATATTTACGTTAAATAATTACTGCATATGTATTAATACGAGTTTAAAATCGCAATATGTTTTCCAATTAAAATACTGTATAATTTAAAATTGAAATAATTAAATAAGTACTATTATTGAAATATTTAAAAAAAATCAACACTTTTTTAATTAATTTTATTAATTATTTTGAATTTGGGCAAATCCCGAACTTATAATAATGTTTTTTTTTATTAAAAACAACTAATAAAAATTTACAAACAATCGCTAATACCCAACACAAATTATTTTATTTTAATTTCAAATTAAATTCTGTTTTTATTATTTTTAAGGATACATTTTAACTGCCTATGAGTCAGAAATCATTTTTATAATTAAAGATTACTTATGTGTGGTCACTTCATTAGTATATTTTTGTAAATACGTTTAATAATAATTTAAATATTTTGTGTAAACAATTTTATAAACAGTGGTTTTAGATGCAAATCTGGGTTTATTTGCATTGTTTTATTTTGTATTTCGTAATAAAATGAATAAAGAGGTCGCTAAATATTTAATTCAAGTTCATTTTTTAAGCATTGTCAAAAAAATTAACCTTAATTTTTTGCTTTTATTTAATAAATTAAAGGTAAAAGTAAATAACAGGATTCATTAAAAAAACAGATATGTAACTAAATATTAATAATAGTACCTATATTATGTATCAAGTTTGATAAAAGCCATTTTATACACGAATTTAATTTAGGCACGAGCGAGCTTGCGAGCGAGTGCTTAAGTTAATGAGTGTATAGAAAAGTTTATAAACGAGGTGCATACTATACTTTTTCTACGACAAATACTTATTATTATCTTAAAATGATTTAAATCAAAAATTTGTATAGAGCGCCATCTATGAAACAACAGGGGAAACTGTCAAATGTCACATTTTTACATTTTATAAACACAATTATAAAGGTTATAAATCAAAATGTATCTTGAAAATTGACAGTTTTTCACAGTGAAAGTAAAGGAAATGTTTTATGAGGACAGTAGACTCCGTGCCCGAATTTAAGTTATAGTTTACTGCCGGCGAAATTAAAAGGTCAGTACAATGTTCATATAAACTTTTCAAATATTGGCGTTGAGAAACTATTTAATATTTTTGTATTTTTGTATTGAGATAGTAAAATAATTTTCACATTTAGTATTATTTTACAAGAAAGGCACTTTATTTTAACGATTGTATGATATTTGACAACTGTCAACTAACTTAAAACTAACTTCAGCCCGTGACTAAAGCGCCGTAAAGCTACAACTTGTCAATGTGTATTTAAAAGGTCACTTAGTGTCATGGAAACATGTACGATAAAGGGCGTTTTAAAGGTGGGAGTAGAAAAAATAATAAATTTTACTAATTGAGGCAAAAACTATAAAAGATCAGACAATAGTTTGAAATAATTTAATCTGAATCAACAAAAACACCCTCTCTACACAAACTGCTATCCACAACATCTTCAGCCATGTGATATTAAACCACCAATAAGAGCAAACCCAAGATTCAATTTTCTTTCGTCTCTTTCCAATATTATTATGTTATTATTAATCCTTTTCGTATTTATGCGAGAATGCCGAAATAAGGATTAAAAAAATACCTACCATAAAGAAATGGTGAAAAAAGGTTCGTGTGGTTTCAGTCATTGAAGTCTTTAAACTATATCTATTTATTTATTAGTAATCTAAAAGTTTTTTTATATAATATAGTCGAAAACTGTAGTATGGTATAAGAGTGCGCATATAACCTGCGTACTCTTGGGACACCCTACCACATATACAAATATATTATATACGTATATATATAGTAGGGTGTCCCAAGAGTACGCAGGTTATATGCGCACTCTTATACCATACTATAGTTTTCGTCACTAAATTATACTTTTCCAATGTAGTTTTTATTTGGGCTACAATAAAATCTTTTTATTTATTTTGCGTTCATAATGACTTCATTATAACACCGCTTTCGGTGCTGTAATGAGATACTTTATCCCACCCAAAATTATGATATTATAGGTTGGCTATACTTTAAACAGCATATTTTGCCTATAGGTTATAATATTTTTATGATTTTTCTAGTACTTACGAGACTTTTCTAGCAATAAATTTTGTTTAACACCAAAGAAAATCCTTTTTTTTCTTTAACATTAACAGCCGTTTATTGTAAATAAGTAAATTAAGGACGGCATGGCGAATCGATTTTGACATTAACTGTCAAACCAATGACTGTGATACCAACTATCTAAAGTAAAATTCGACCAAATTAAATTTAAGGTACAAAATTAATTTATTTTATAGAATTTTTGCTAAATAGATAAAATGCATGAAGAACTCATGTCATAAAACCTTTTGTCGCAGTTAAAGTTAGGATTTCATTATTGTTTCATTTTTTGCAACAAATTTCAATTTTAAGTTTTTTTATATAATATAGTCGAAAAATATAGTATGGTTTAAGAGTGCGCACATAACCTGCGTACTCTTGGGACACCCTACTATATACACATATATTATATATGTATATATAGTAGGGTGTCCCAAGAGTACGCAGGTTGTGTGCGCACTCTTATACCATACTATAGTTTTCGGCACTAAATTACACTTTTTCAATGTAAAAAACTACTTGGGCTACAATAAACTCCTTTTTTAGGTTTGATCGTTTACTCGCTAAAAGAGAACAATTCCTGGAAAATCCGCCACGGGCCATCGATGAGGGCCGACCCTAACGCCGCTCAGTTCAGAGTGAACGAGGTGACAATCTCCGCGCCAATCAACATAGCCGGTATCGCGTTGGGCCCTAAGGTCCAAGCAAGCGACGACAAGGTCAAAATAAGTGAAGATCGCGAAGTCTACTACGCACCCCTGTCCAGCTTGCGATTGTTTTCGTTGAACACCACCGTTTTGAAGGATGTGAAGAGCTCGAATAACGGAAACGAGTACCAAGGCGCGGTTATGGATCTAGGGGAAAAACCCTCTCAGTCGGTGGGTATGATTATGGACAATAAGGCCAACTTGTACTATGGACTTTTGGGGACGAATGCTGTCGCCAAATGGGACACCAAGATGACCTTCCAGGGTAACCAAAGACCCATCGCGAGAGATCCAGAATATTTACAATGGGTCACTTCCTTTACCTTCGACAACGGCAACCTAACCGTCCTGGTTAACAAGTTGAACAAATTCATCTACAACGGTTATAATGTAAACGAAGCCAACTTCAGACTCATCACGGCGTTCATCGACTCCAAATCCTATTTGGAGGACAATTTCGCCTACGACACCAACGAATATTCCACCAAAGAACCTCAAGCCTCAACTTCAGACCAGATGTATCACAACCATATGGATCACATGGCCCATATTAACGGTAACATGGACACCCCTTCAACAGCTTCCAAATTCTTCCTAAGTTCAGTGGTTGTTCTTGTTTCTCTAGTTTTGATGTTGTGATGTAGATGAACTTGTGATATGTATATTTTTTTTATTAATGCCATAGAATATTGACATTGGTCAACAAGATAAAATATTTTGACTGGTGTAAAAAACTAATTGTAGTCAAGAAAATAGTCAGTATATTTTAATTTATTGTAAAATAAACATTAAATACCCAACAAGCGTTTGATTTCATTATATAATGAAGCTAAAAATACCTATAATAAATACATTGCAATTATTTTATAATTGATTTAATAATCAATAACTGTAAAAACTTTCCTTATTAGTTAATGCATTTTATGGAATTTTTTTACAAAATATAATTATTACTGTGTAAAAAATATGTTGACCATAATGTTTAGCAGCGTGTAAATTTTCTGTGATGTTTATTTGAATATTTAATTTTAACATTTGTTATTATTATTCTCTATTTACCGACCTTGGATGGGACGACCTGTAATTTTGTCATTGTTTTTTAAGACTTAAGTATGGGAAAGCACTAAAAATACTTACCTTTGTTTTATTGGTTTGGATAAATAAAAATATGTTTTAATACAGCTATCTTTTTATTAAAAAAAGAAACATACATTTTTGCTGGTATTACAAAATAAAACTAAACATAAAATTAATGGTGTATATTTTCTATAAATTTAATAATATCTTTCATATTTAAAATTATTTAGAATTACAAATATTTAATAATACAACATATTTACAATAAATATTTGTAATTGTACATAATAAATTTATCTATACTTTTATTTATAAACTAAGATACTTCTATAACAAATATACATTATAGTACTTTTTATGTACATAGCTTAAACATTTTAGTTATTTATATTGCATTTTGTAGAAAATAATATAAAATTATAAATTTAGATTCCAGTTAAATAAAATATATATCGCAAAACTGTACAAATAAAGCGAAAGATCACAATATAAATATTTAAAATAGTTTTATTTATATTCATTCTCAGTCAAAATCAAAAGTTTTTTAGTAATAAGATCTATATTTTTTATCAAATCTAATTTTTACAGCAAGTCTAAAATCGACTACAAGATATGAAACGTATTTCATATTTTTTGTTCCCAATACATATTTAATTCAAAAATGAAAAAGTATAACCCATCAAGATTCATTTAGTATCACCAAAGGCAGTGCCATATTTTTCAATACAATTCCTTTATTATATCTTTTTAGTTCGAGTAAAAAAAAATACTGATCAACCAAATAGAAATTTCATTTAGAACAGAGTACAGGATATCGAACTGATTGCTGCTCTAAAATCGCACTAACAATTCAAGAATCAGTTCGCAACACCCTGTATAAGTATATCACACAATTTAAATACTAAAAATAGTTGGGGGGGGGCAGGGTAGGCGTTTATTTTTTGCTAGGGAAATTCAACAATCAAATGTAAGTGAACTGTTATGATAACCGAAAGTTAAGTTTCTTGGTTTTTTACGCAAGTCAAAAACGCCACGTTGTCAATTTTCCACAAATTGCAATGTTGCCAAATTTCCGAAAATGAGAGCGTTGCCAAATTCCGATTTCAATAAAATTATATAAGTATATATATAAGCGTATAATAATTTTCATAAAACATTTAATTAGAATATTCCTTTAAGAATCTGTCACATCATTTTAGGTTAGGTTCAAATGACATGATGGCATTTTGGTTTCGTTTTTGTACGAATTTTAACTTCGTACAAAAAGGAAGCTAAAATGTCATCATATCAGTGGAACCTAACACAAAATGATGTGACAGAATCTTAAAGAAATTATAAAAGAGAATTTATATAAATAAATTAAAAATGTTTGTATATAAACGCAACATTGCTTAATTTTTAAAATTTGCAATATTTACAAATTTTCAAAAATTTCCAAAAATTGCAATGTTGTCGAATTTCCAAAAATGTGAACACATTAAAACATTTTAATGTTAAAAAATCATAAATTTTGTGATGATTGTAAAAAAGTAAAAAGAAAATCTAATTTGTTTAAATTAAAAAAAAATGTTTGTATGTAAATGCAACGTTTACAAATTTTGTGGTCAAATTTCCAAAAATGTGTTTTAATGTTAAAAAATCATGAAATTTGTGATAATGGTGAAAAAGATCCAAAAATTACAATTGTCAAATTTTCAAAAATGTGCTTTAATGTAAAAAAAACATGAAATTTGTGATAATGGCAAAAAAGAAAAAAAAATCGAATTTATGTGAATTTAAAAAAAAATTGTATACATGCATAATTTTGTTGTAAAAAATTATAACATTTTTATAAAATTGTAATATCATTTTTAAAAATGTAAAAAAACAATTTATGTTAATTAAAAAATATGTTTGTAAATATTTTTTCTACGACCACTATGTAAAAGTCACTTTTCATGATGGCATCGTTGCTTAGAAAATGAATCTTTTCATTGGCAAGGCAAAACACGAATGTAAAGTGACATTTCTGTGTGATAAGTGACAGATCTGTGTGAAAAGAACCGGAAAGCATCGTTTGACATTCAGCTGTCAAAAAAGTTTTTAGGTTATTTTGTTTTGTATTTAAAAATAATAAAAAATAAAAGGGTCGCAGAAAAAAACATTGTGTTATACTTGTGAGAAAAGCTTTCTTCAAGCTCGTGTTAATGCACACTCGGCCTAACGGCCTCGTGGGCAACTTAAAAACTCGCATGAAAAAGTCGCTTTTCAACACTTGTAAAACAAATAACTATTAAAAATAAGGTTGCTAAATTTGCAAAATTGCCATGTTGTAAAATTTCCAAAAATTGCAACGTTGACAAATTTCCGAAAATTGCGACGTTGTCAAATTTCCGAAAATTGCGACGTTGTCAAAATTTTGAAAATTGCGACGTTGTCAAATTTCAGAAAATTGCGACGTTGCCAAATTTGAAAAAATTGCGACGTTGTCAAATTTTCGAAAATTGCGACCGAAAATGAGACGTTGTCAGATTTCAGAAAATTGCGACGTTGCCAATCGTCCGAAAATTGCGACGTTGTCAAATTTTCGAAAATTGCGACGTTGCCAAATTTGGAAAAAATGCGACGTTGTCAAATTTCCGAATATTGCGACCTTATCAAATTTGGAAAAAATGCGACGCTGCCAAATTTGTAAAAAATGCAACGTTGCCGGATTCACGCATTTTTTCTTGCGTAAAAAACGCAAAATCGGCAAAAAAAATCCGAGAAGAGGGCGAAGAATCACAGGCAAACAAATAAACCCTACCCGATTTTTCTTACCTAATAGGACGCCAGCACGTTGCCGTTGGCGGTCGGCACGACGACCGGGTGCGGGTTGCCCGCGTGCAGGTTCAGGTGGCCGCCGTTGTTCGCGACCTGCTGGTTGCCCGCGTTCGGCTGCTGCTGGCTGCCGGGGACTGAGGGGGCCGAGGGGGCGGCTATGTTGCCGCCGCCGCCGCCGTTGGGCGGGCCGGCTTGCTGCTGCTGCTGCACCTGCGGTATGTGGATGTTGTTTGCGATGGTGGCGGCGATTGTGGCGGCTATCGAGGCGGAGGTGGCGCTCTGTTGCTGCGCGGTCTGGTTTTGAGATTGTTGCACGTTCTGCAACAATTTTTTAAATGATAATTTCGATCCACTCCCAAAAATAAAGAGGCAACAACGAAATATCTAAATAATACGGAAATAGCTAATGTTGACCCAATACTTTTATATAAGCCTCAATTCAAGAATTGTCAACAATACATTTAAAGCATACCTACTGCACAACATTTTTAAATAAATAGGTAAGTAGTTTTTTCATAAATTTTGTTCAATTGCACAGCTAAATCGCGTTGCAAGGAAAAAAGGTTTTTTCTTACTTTTTTATCCTTCTGAAGGTACTCCCAAAGATTCAGATTTTTAAATTAATTTTTAACCTGAGCCCAACCACTTTTAAAAAAAAATCAAAAAAATTCCTTAAAAGGTAAGATAAAAACATAATTTTTTTTAAACAAGGTTTTTTCTTACTTTTTTACTTTTGTAAAGGTACTTCTTAAGTTTCAGATTTTTAAATTAATTTTTAAACTGAGCCACTTTTTAAAAAATAAATCAGAAAAATTCCTAAAAAGTAAGAAAAAAAACATATTAAGGTTTTTTATTACTTTTTTACCCATCTGAAGATACCTACTCCTAAAGTTTCAGATTTTTAAATTAATTTTTAACCTGAGCCCCAACAACTTTAAAAAAAATCAAACAAATTCCTTAGGTCAGAAAAAACATATTTTTTTCAAACTAGATTTTTTCTTACCTTTTTTACTCTTGTAAAGTTTCAGATTTTTAAATTATTTTTTAACCTGACCCACGACCACTTTTTAAAAAATAAATCAGAAATTTCCTTAAAAGGTAAGAAAAACAATTTTTCAAACAGAGTTTTTCTCTTACTTTTTATCTGACTCCCAACTTCTTTAAAAAAAAAATCAGAAAAATTCCTTAAAAAGTAAGAAAAAACATATTTTTTTTCAAACAACGGTTTTTCTTACTTTTTTACCCATCTAAAGATTCAGATTTTTAAATTAATTTTTAACCTGAGCCACGACCACTTTTAAATTTTTTTTTTAAAAATCCTAAAAAAAGTGGGAAAAAATTATATTTTTTTGTTCAAACGAGGTTTTTGAATTTTCTAAAGGTACTTCTAAAGTTTCAGATTTTTAAATTAATTTTTAACCCAAGCCTCAACCTTTTTTTAAAAAATAACCCAGAAAAAAAACATATTTTTTTTTAAAACAAGGTTTTTCTTACTTTTTTACCCTTGTTGAAACGAGGTTTTTGACTTCTTTAAAGGTTTAAGCCCCAAACACTTTTTAAAAATTAATCAGAAAAATTCCTTAAAGGTAAGAAAAAAATATTTTTTTTTTCAAACAAGGTTTTTTCTTACTTTTTACCCTTCTGAAGGTACTCCCAAAGATTCAGATTTTTAAATTAATTTTTGACCTGGGCGCCGACAACTTAAAAAAAATCACAAAAAAATGGGGAAAAATTATATTTTTTTATACTTTTTCTTACTTTTTGACCTTTCTAAAGGTACTCCCAAAGTTTCAGATTTTAAATTAATTTTTGACCTGAGCCACAACCACGGGTATGTATTATATATAATATTATGTTGCCATAAATTCAATTGTAAAAAAAACTTAAATGGTTCAATGATGCTATTGAAACCCACCAGATGGCGCGCGCGTTGCGTGTTAAATTGCGATTTTAATATTAAGAAATCCTTTATTTTTTTAAGAGCCCACTGAAATATTCCATAAAGTAAACATTAACGACTCAAACTTACCACATTATTTCCGGGTCCCGCTTCGGGCCCATGCTTCCGCATGTGCCTGATCATGTTGCCTTTTTCGACGAAAGTCTTGCCGCAAGTCGGGCACACGTGCGGCCTTTCTCCGCTGTGCGAGCGACGGTGCGACACCAGGTGCCCCTTGCACATGAAGTCCTTCTCGCACAAGTCGCACCGGAACGGCCTCTCGGCCGCCGCGCCTTTGTTGTGCGACCGCTGGTGGAACAGCAGGTTGCCCTTCAGCGGGAACGACTTGCCGCACTCCCCGCAAGCGAAGGGCCGTTCCCCTGAAAAAAAATATTGCAAAGTTTTACCGCGGACAACTACACGACCGCACGGAACTCACCGGTGTGGCTTCTCATGTGATTGATCAGATGCTCTTTCCTTGTGAACGGCTTGGAGCAGACGTTGCAACAGTGCGGGGTTTCCCCGGTGTGTTGCCGCAAGTGGTTGGTCAAGTGTTCCTTTCTCGTGAACGTTTTTTGACAGAACTCGCAACGATGGGGCGATTCTCCTGAAGATAAGGAAGAAAAATAATGTCGTTAATATAGTTGGCAAATTTCTAGAGTGTTGACTACATAAGTGTATCCTTCAACTGTTTTAAAGAGGTAAATTACACTGATCTTAAGTTTTTTTTATAAAAGTGTTATAAATTTCTTAAAAGTTGTCTAAAATTATATTCCTACTTAAAGTGGGTATGCCTAGAATCTAGGCCCTAGAGGTATGCACAAGTTTTGTTGCTAGAAGTGGGTCGTTTTCAAAAAACACCCGCCTTTCGCTGTCCGTAAGTTAACTTACGGACAGTTCCAATAACTTTGTTAAAAATTATCGGATCTTATTGATTTAAAAACCAAGTGAAAGCCTTTTGTTTAGTTATTTCAGAATAATTTTTTTTTAATTTTGAAACTTGTGAAACACACATTTTCGCAATCCATAACATCCTTTGTTAATACAGTAAACAATTTATATATAAAATAATTAATTTTAATCTACTTTTTTTTAAATTTGACTCATGTCCCAGACATTTTTTCCGTTGCGTTACCGATAGAATATTAAAAAAAAACATATATATGGCACTCACGTAATCAACAAATGATGTTCGGACGTACACATTACCCAGCTGAATTTATTTATTCAATCAGGAAGAAGATATCGGTTGAAACAGGAGCGGGTAACGCGAATGCAATAATTGTTTGTCCGCTACGTTACTCAAAAAAATAATAAAAATAAGGCAAGAAAAAATACTGTTTTTCATGTTTATGTTTATTTTAGGGCACTAAAGCTCATTGAGAGTAATTAATGACTATAATGTCTTATTATTATTTTTTAAATATGGTTTTACAAAACTTTGTCCACTGCGTTACCGAGTCCACTATGTTACCTTATGGTAACGCAACGGAATTTAGGGTAACGCAATAGAATTTTTCGACAACAAAGTGGATATTTACCGTCGCTTTTATTAAAAGTAGTTTATGATTAACCAATTTAAAATTATTTGTAATTACAACTCATGATATAGATTACATCCAAGGAAAAATTCCACGCAATATAAAAGTACTAAAAGGGACCTTCACCAGCTTATAGTCAAAGAAAAAGTGTGTCTACAATTTAGAAATCTAAGTTGTTATTGTGCAAGTGAGCACCACTACAAGGGATTTTGTTTATGCATTACTCTAAAATCGTACCACCCTATATAGTTTCTTTTTTACGTTATCTGATTAAGTCCTTTGTGTACCCCTGTCCGTTGCGATACCAATGTCTATTTTGTTACTTTTTTTAGTTTTTGTTAAAAAAAATACTTAAAATGATTTTTATACACTATCACTTGGTATAATAGGTGTTTATAAATTAGAGTTTAACTCACTAATACAGTGACTAAAAGAAAATATTAATGGTATTGTTTTTTTAACAAAGAATCGGAATGGTTTCTTTTAAAAAGTAACTTAACGAATATACATATTAAAAAAAGCATACAATTTTTAATAAAAAATAAAATAAAAAATTGGAGTCAAAAGTTTGTGAACTAAGTACATTTTATTTCAAATTATTTTTATAACAACTTTTTTATTGAATTAAATTTTGGATTTCAAATTGGTAACAGCTAAACACATTTTTCTGAAAAAAACGTAAAAAAATTAAAAAGTGCACTGCCTGTCTTAAATGTAAGTAAACAAAACTCTAAATATATAGGTTAACCTAGAAATAGTAACAGTCACGGAGGATAGGTTTTAGACTTTTAAAACATTGTAAAAAATAATTAATTGCGGTTAAAAATCTGGAACTGAGCTGTAATATCTATTTAATTATGAAAGATGAAAACACAATAAAAGTGTAGGTCAAACTCATTTAATTTTATTATATATCACGGGGTAACACCATCGGGGGACATTTCGTGAGATTCACCCTTATACGAGCCCTAACCACAAAATGTTCGGACACTTTATAATTTATACAGAAATATTTTTCGTGAATACTATCTCAAAATTATTAGAGGTTATGAAAAATTCAGCTCATTTTAGCATATACCCCTCGAAGCGATTTTTATTTTTAAAAAGTTTACCTTTTATTTTTAGCTTTTAAAAAAAGGCTAACTTTTAAACTTTTTTTTGTATGAGTAAAGAAAGTTATAAATGGGCCCATTAAAAAGAGCATAAAATATTATACAAACCCTGAAAATTTGGTAAAAAATAAACAAGTTATAAAAAAGTATAAGTAATTTAAAAATGCTATTTTTAAAGAGTTTTTGCAATTTTCTTAGGAAACGGGAGATTTTGCAGATATATATATCGTTATAACTTTCTTATTATTTATACAATTTTTACCAAATTTTCAGGGTTTGTATAATATTTTATGTTCTTTTTAATGGGCCCATTTATAACTTTTTTTACTCATACAAAAAAAAGTTAAAAAGTTACCCTTTTTTTAAAAGCTAAAAATAAAAGGTAAACTTTTTAAAAATAAAAATCGCTTCGAGGGGTATATGCCAAAATAAGCTGAATTTTTCATAACTTCTAATAATTTTGAGATAGTATTCACGAAAAATATTTCTGTATAAATTATGAAGTGTCCGAACATTTTGTGGTTAGGGCTCGTATAAAAGTATTGTATTCAGTGGCGGATTGGGGATTTTGGGTATACCAATATCTCAGTTATTAGACATGGGACCCACACCAAATTTATAATAGTTTATTATGACATTAAATAGACAAGTTCGGCCCAAACAGAATTTAAATTGAAGTTTGCGAAAAAAAGTTAGTTTTTTGTGTCGCCTCACCTGGCTTCTGGCCCCCCCATTTGAGATAATTCAAATTAAAGTTGTGCAATTTATACTTCACTATAATTTATCGGTAAATTTAAAATTTTATTTGAAAAATCCAAATATTACAGATTTTATACCATATTAAATATTTTTTTATTACAATAAAATAAATAATAAAAATTTAAAATCGTATAAAATCTGTAATATTTATATTTTTTAAATAAAATTTTAAATTTACCGATAAATTATAGTGAAGTATAAATTGCACAACTTTAATTTGAATTATCTCAAATGGGGGGGCCAGAAGCCAGGTGAGGCGACACAAAAAACTAACTTTTTTTCGCAAACTTCAATTTAAATTCTGTATGCGCCGAACTTGTCTATTTAATGTCATAATAAACTATTATAAATTTGGTGTGGGTCCCATGTCTAATAACTGAGATATTGGTATACCCAAAATCCCCAATCCGCCACTGATTGTATTGTATGTATGATTCATTTATTAATAACTCAAAAACTGTGCTAATCGCGAATTTTAAACCAAGGTTATTTTCCATTATTTAAATGTGATGTATTTTTTTATTATTAATCCTTCAAAAATTGTAAAAAAACTACCTGGTCTACTTTGTTCTTAAAACATTAACTTTTAGTGCCGCGCAAATATAACAATCCCATTGTTCATATTTTTTTCACTAGTGAGACGGTAGTAAAAATAAATCATACTACTTAATAAAGCAAATATATAAAAGGTATAAGAATGCGTGATGTAATAACAATATTTAATCATTCCTTTACCTACTTAATAATTTAAATAAAGGTTTTAATGGGCAAAAATGGTGGTTAAAACTTTAAGAAAAAATCCTAACGAGGTGCGCCCTCTTCCAGAAGAATTATTCAACATTATGAAAAAAGGTGGGTATGCTACTATACTATATATTTAAATACAAAAAATGTCCACCCATCAGCTGGAAAACCATGGGAATTGTACCAAATAGGACCCAAAAATTACGTCCGATGGCCAAATTACAAAAAATATAAAGATGAAATCTACAATTTTCCCATAAGAAAAAACGACGTTTGGATAAACACACTGGGACGATCTGGTAAGTTGTAAAGTAGTTCGTGGATTTCACGGGTTCATCTGAACGATCCTTTATGTTAATTTTAAGGAACAACATTGATGACTGAAATGGTTTGGCAAATTTGTAACGACATGGATTTCGAAAAAGGCTTCGAAAAACCCTTAATTGAAAGGGTCCCTTATTTTGAGTATGCCACATTTCGTTACAACGAAGAAAGAAAGGAAGAACTTTTAAAAGAAAACGCAAATGACCCTAAAAGATTGGAAACTATTAAATCAATGCTTACACTGGAATGGGAAAGATCTGAGTATCCAGAAACGAGGGTGTATAAAAGTCATTTGCCACTTTCCCTGCTTCCCCCAGAGTTAGCCAAAGAAGCCAGAGTAAGTTAATTAATTCAAACATAATTTATTTTAATACGGTAAAAATATTAATTGCCATATCAATGTTTTAGGTAATATATGTGGTAAGAAACCCTAAGGACATGGCAGTGTCCGCTTATCATTTCGGTCAAATGTTCTTTGATCAGCCACCATTCGAACAGTATTGGGATATTTTTGAAAGAGGCTTAAGTAAAATAAGTAAGGTTATTGATTAAACTTAAATTTCATCGTTTTATTTTAGTATGGGGTACATTTTTCGAGCAGGCCAAGGAAGCATGGGACATTAGACACCAGGAGAACGTGTTGTTTGTGTTTTATGAAGATATTGTTAAGGTAGCTTTTAAAATATTTAAACCACATTGAAAGCAGTGCTTTAAAAATGAATAATTTTAGGACATGAAATCCACAATCCTAAAGGTCTGCAAGTTCCTGGGTAAAACTTATACAGACTCTGAAATCGACAAATTGGCGGAGCATATGCACATTGACAATTTTAGAAAAAATGAGAGCGTAAACAGAAATTATTTCGACTACGACTCGAAGGAGGAGAGAGCTAAACGAGAACTGAGGGGTAGTAATTTTATAAGGCAAGGCAAAGTAGATACCTACAGAGAATTGTTTACCAGTGAGTTGGAAGAAAGAGCTGATAAATGGATAAGGGAAAATTACAAGAACACTGACATGAGATTCCCAAATATGCCGGAATAATTTTTGAATTTGTTAATATTTTAATAAAGATTTATAATTTAACGCATTTTAATGTTTGTCAGGTACCTAGGTAAATAAGCGTATTTTTGGGAAAAATCGGAAACAATTATATTTTGATATTATTTTTTAACTTCTTTATAAGAATAACCAAGATACAGGGTGTCAAAGTTGAAAGTTCGTTTCCGATTTTATTAAATAATTTTGGAAAAAACAAACGTTTTGCTCAAAATTTGATTTTTGGTGGTTTATCAAGCAAGAAAAATAAAATTTCTTAAAAAATTAATGTAGGTTGTAGAGGGCGCTGTTTGCGACACTCCGTTTAAATGGTAACATCTTTTTTGCTTCTTAGTGTATTCACGTTTTTAATAAAAATATTATTTTTTTACCTTCATTCTGTAAAAAAGGTATCCTTTATATGTATGTATATGTCGCTGCATGTAACCGTTTTCGAGAAATTTAGGTTTAAATTGTTTAGTGCACCCATTTAATTGTGATTTGAAAATGTAACATTTTTTAAAAGTACGTTACGATTCAAAAAACAGATTAAAGAGACGCTACAAATTTATTTACTGTCCAGATTCGTCATTGTTTTTCAAAATTTTATGTTTTAAAATACAATTAATTAGGTACATATTTTTAAAACGCTTACTTGAAGATACATTAACATATTTTTTTATCTACAACCTATATTATTTTTTTTTAAATTTAATTTCTCCCTCCTGAAAAACCCCAAAAAATTAAATTTTTTTCGAAAACGTTTGTTTTTAACAAAGTTATTTCATAAAATCAAAAACCAACTTTCAACACCCTGTATCTTGGTTATTAACTTTTGAATAGGTAAATTGTACAGGCATTTCAGGGACACCTTGTATAATAAAAATAATAAAGAATTATTACCACTAAACGGTTATAAAACCTGCGTGAAAATATAAAAACGAAGTAAAAAATACAAACCTTTATTAGTTGATGTTTTTCATACTAATTCTTTGTAAGAAGGTTTTTATTTTTAAAATAATTTATTTTTATAAACAATTGTTGCAATCAAATTTAGCCATTTGGCCTAACTAACTTCGTGTTGTCTTTTATTTTTATAACATATTTAATTTATACGAAATTAGTAAAATTTGTGTAATTAGTTTAGTATTTTAAATAAAAACATTTTTATTTGTACTCTTTTGTAAAATTATTGTTAAAACTAAGGAATTCTAGGGATATTTTTAACTTTTAAAGTGACCATGTTGGCAACACTGCATAAAACCACGAAATAATTATATTTCCAGTAGGTACTACTGGGTCAAAATTTATTTACGGGCCAATTCCGAAAAATAAAAGTTAAAAAATAAAAGTCGGTGTATTTTAAAAAACTCCAAGTTTTTTAGTTGGTACAGGTTTCTTCTACCAAATTTTGTATGTGTCCGCACTGGATATGTAGGTTTCTGAATTTCCGGCATCTTCTTTAAGCAACCTTTTTTAACGCCGGTCACACGTTCAAATCATAGATTATTAAACAAATTTTGTAAAACGTAATAACGAAATAAAAAAATATTCATATTTATTATGAACGCATATATTGATGTAAATAAATAAATAAATAAAATACTTTTATATTTAGCAATTAATAAGAAATTTGAAGAATATTAAAAATAGGCCATGTGACCGTTGTTACGACACAAAAACATACGCATGAACTAATTTTTTCATAATTTGAGGAAAAATTAAGTAAATTTAATGAAAACTTACCTATTTAATGCAAAATCACTAGCAGCAAAGTTTTCGTAACACAAAATTTAAAGAAGACTGATATTAGCGCCTCTGGCGGCAAAAATGTGAGCGTATATGGAGTGCTACCGGCGTTACGCACAATCTGGGGGACACAGCTTTAAGGCACTACCGAAACTTTGATATTGTAAAGAGGAGTATAAGAAAAATTGATTAAAAAATTACGTAACTGTTTCTATATCGTAAATTATTTAAATATTTATTTTCAACTTTGGACAGTAAAATGCAACAGATTTAACATAATAAACAGACGACAGGGACATGTGACCGGCGTTACATTTGGTCATTTTAAACTTCGTTACTTTTAATTTTTTTTATACAAAAGCTACCGTACTTTGTTTTTTACTGGAAAATATATGCCTTTACACAGGAATGGTATGTGTAACCAGGTAATGCTTGAAAAAATTTTTTTTTTTTGCCAGGGACTGAAATGTGCCTGTAAATAAATTTTGACCCTACTACAGGAATTGTTAACCAAGGTTATTTTCAATCATTTAGTTGTTAAAGGGACGCACTTTTAGTATAATTTTTTTTTCCGTTAATAAATAAAAAAAATACTATTACTAAGTAGGCTGTACTTTGTTCTCAAAACATTCACGTTTAATGCCGCGTAAATATAACAATCTTATTGTTCATATTTGTTCACGAGTGGGACAGTAGAAAAAATAAATCTTACTAAATAATAAATCAAATATACAAATGGATTAAAAATGGTATAAAAACGCGTGATGTAACAATATCATTCCTTAACTGACTTCTCAATTTAAAGTCTTTAAACATTTTAATAGGCTAAAATGGCGAGTAAAACTTTGAGAAAAAATCCCAACGAGGTGCGCCCTCTTTCAGAAGAATTATCAAACATAATGAAAAAAGGTGCGTATGCTACTATACTATATTATACTCATTTTACCAACTCCCTAGTACACAACAAACTTGGACAATACACATGCTATTGGTGTGCATTGGTTGTGTTGTAGGATATTGGTAAAGTGAATATAGCATGATTACATGTATAAATATAAAAAAATGTCCACCCATCAGCTGGAAAACCATGGGAATTGTATCAAGTAGGGCCCAAAAATTACGTCCGATGGCCAAATTATATAAAATATAAAGATGAAATCTACAATTTTCCCATAAGAAAAAACGACGTTTGGATAAACACACTGGGACGATCTGGTAAGTTGTAAAGTAGTTCGTGGATTCCACGGGTTCATATGAACGATCATTTTTAGGAACAACATTGATGACTGAAATGGTTTGGCAAATTTGCAACAACATGGATTTCGAAAAAGGCTTTGAAAAACCCTTAATTGAAAGGGTCCCTTTTTTTGAGTATGCCACATTTGGAAAGAAAAAACTTTTAAAAGAAAACGAAAATGACCCCAAAAGATTAGAAACTGTTAAACACATGCTTACATTGGAATGGGAAAGATCTGAGTATCCAGAAACGAGGGTGTATAAGAGTCACTTGCCACTTTCCCTGCTTCCCCCAGAGTTAGCCAAAGAAGCCAGAGTAAGTTAATTAATTTAAACAAAATTTATTTTAATACTTTAAAAATATTAATTGCCATATCAATGTTTCAGCTAATATATGTAGTAAGAAACCCTAAGGACATGGCTGCGTCTGCGTATCATTTCGGTCAAATGTACTTTGATCAGCCACCATTCGAACAATATTGGGATACTTTTGAAAGAGGCTTAAGTAAAATAAGTAAGGTTATTGATTAAATTTAAATTTCATCGTTTTATTTTAGTTTGGGGTACATTTTTCGAGCAGGCCAAGGAAGCATGGGACATTAGACACCAAGAGAACGTGTTGTTTATGTTTTATGAAGATATTGTTAAGGTAGCTTTTAAAATATTTAAACCACATTGAAAGCAGTGCTTTGAAAATGAATAATTTTAGGACATGAGATCCACAATCCTAAAGGTCTGCAAGTTCCTGGGTAAAACTTATACAGACTCTGAAATCGACAAATTGACGGAGCATATGCACATCGACAATTTTAGAAAAAATGCCAGCGTAAACAAAAATTATTTCGACTACGACTCGAAGGAGGAGAGAGCTAAACGAACACTGAGGGGTAATAATTTTATAAGGCAAGGCAAAGTAGATACCTACAAAGAATTATTTACTAGTGAGTTGGAAGAAAGAGCTGATAAATGGATAAGGGAAAATTACAAGAACACTGACATGAGATTCCCAAATATGCCGGAATAATTTTTGAATTTGTTATTATTTTAATAAAAATTTATAATTTAACGCATTTTAATGTTTGTCAGGTAAATAAGCGTATTTTTGGAAAAAAATCCGAAACAATTGTATTTTGATATTATTTTTTAACTTCTTTATAACAATAACCAAAATACAAGGTGTCAAAGTTGAAAGTTCGATTCCGATTTTATTAAATAACTTTGGAAAAAACAAACGTTTTGCTCAAAATTTGATTTTTGGTGGTTTTTCAAGCAGGAAAAATAAAATTTCTTAAAAAATTAATGTGGGTTGTAGAGGGCGCTGTCTGCGACACTTTACGTTTAAATGGTCACATCTTTTTTGCGCCTTAGTGTATAAACGTTTTTAATAAAAATTTTATTTGTTTACCTTTCTTACGTAAAAAAAGGTATCCTTTATATATGTCGCTGCAAGTAACCGTTTACGAGATATTTGGGCTTAAATTGTTCAGTGCACCCATTTAATTGTGGTTTGAAAATTTAACATTTTTTAAAAGTACGTTACGATTCAAAAAACAGATTAAAGAGACGCTACAAATTTATTTACTGTCCAGATTCGTCATTGTTTTTCAAAATTTTATGTTTTTAAACACAATTAATTAGGTACATATTTTAAAACGCTTACTTCAAGATACATTAACAAGGTGTACCTTTTTGAGTGATAAACATTAAAAAAGTCAATTTTTTTAAGTGTCGCTGGCAGCGCCATCTACAACCTATATAATTATTTTTTTAATTTAATTTTTCCCTCCTGAAAAACCCCAAAAAATGAAATGTGCGAAAAAGTTTGTTTATAACAAAGTAATTTGATAAAATCGAAAACCAACTTTTAACACCCTGTATCTTGGTTGTTATTATTTTTGGTATAGAGGTAAATTGTACAGGCATTTCAGGGACACCTTGTATAATAAAAATAATAAAGAATTATTACCACCAAACGGTTATAAAACCCGCTTGAAAATATAAAAACGAAGTAAAAAATATAAATCTTTATTAGTTGATGTTTTTCATTTTGATTCTTTGTAAAAAGGTTTTTACTCACTTAATATTCACTACATATTTGAATTTTTTCTTTATATTTTTTTTGTCTTTTATTTTTATAACATATTTAATTTATACGAAATTAGTAAAATTTGTTTCATTAGTTTAGTAATTTAAATAAAAACATTTTTATTTATACCCTTTTGTAAAATTATTGTTAAAACTAAGGAATTCTAGGGATTTTTTTAACTTTTAAAGTGACCATGTTGGCAACACTGCATAAAACCACGAAATAATTATATTTCCAGTAGGTACTACTACAGGAATTGTTAACCAAGGTTATTTTTAATCATTTAGATGTTACAGTTACACTTTTAGAATATTTTTTTTTTAATCCGTTAATAATTAAAAAAGCCTACTTTGTTCTCAAAACATTCACGTTTAATGCAGCGTAAATATAACAATCTTATTGTTCATATTTGTTCACGAGTGGGACAGTAGAAAAAATAAATCTTACTAAATAATAAATCAAATATACAAATGGATTAAAAATGATATAAAAACGCGTGATGTAACAATATCATTCCTTAACTGACTTCACAATTTAAAGTCTTTAAATATTTTAATAGGCTAAAATGGCGAGTAAAACTTTGAGAAAAAATCCCAACGAGGTGCGCCCTCTTTCAGAAGAATTATCAAACATAATGAAAAAAGGTGCGTATGCTACTATACTATATTATACTCATTTTACCAACTCCCTAGTACGAAACAAACTTGGACAATACACATGCTATTGGTGTGCATTGGTTGTGTTGTAGGAAATTGGTAAAGTGAATATAGTATGATTATGAGTTTAAATTTTTAAAAAATGTCCACCCATCAGCTGGAAAACCAGGGGAATTTTATCAAATAGGGCCTAAAAATTACATATGTTTGCCAAACTATGAAAAATATAAAGATGAAATCTACAATTTTCCCATAAGAAAAAACGACGTTTGGATAAACACACTGGGACGATCTGGTAAGTTATAAAGTAGTTCGTGGATTCCACGGGTTTATCTGAACGATCCTTTATATTCATTTTTAGGAACAACATTGATGACTGAAATGGTTTGGCAAATTTGCAACGACATGGATTTCGAAAAAGGCTTCGAAAAACCCTTAATTGAAAGGGTCCCTTATTTTGAGTATGCCACATTTCGTTTCAACGAAGAAAAAAAGGAAAAACTTTTAAAAGAAAACGCAAATGACCCTAAAAGATTAGAAACTATTAAATCATTTCTTACACTGGAATGGGAAAAAACTGAATATCCAGAAACAAGGGTGTATAAAAGCCATTTGGCACTTTCCCTGCTTCCCCCAGAGTTAGCCAAAGAAGCCAGAGTAAGTTAATTAATTCAAACATAATTTATTTTAATACGTTAAAAATATTAATGACCATATCAATGTTTTAGGTAATATATGTAGTAAGAAACCCTAAGGACACGGCAGTGTCCGCGTATCATTTCGGTCAAATGTTTGTTGATCAGCCACCATTCGAACAGTATTGGGATATTTTTGAAAGAGGCTTGAGTAAAATAAGTAAGGTTAATGATTAAATTTCAATTTCATCGTTTTATTTTAGTATGGGGTACATTCTTCGAGCACGCCAAGGAAGCATGGGACATTAGACACCAAGAGAACGTGTTGTTTGTGTTTTATGAAGATATTGTTAAGGTAGCTTTTAAAATATTCAAAACCACATTGAAAGCAGTGCTTTGAAAATGACTAATTTTATAGGACATGAGATCCACAATCCTAAAGGTCTGCAAGTTCCTGGGAAAAACTTACACAGACTCTGAAATCGATAAATTGGCGGAGCATATGCACATTGACAATTTCAAAAAAAATACCAGCGTAAACGGAATTTATTTTGATTACGACTTGAAGGAGGAGAGAGCTAAAAGAGAAACGAGGAGCAGTAATTTTATAAGGCAAGGCAAAGTAGATGCCTACAAAGAATTATTTACCAGTGGGGTGGAAGAAAGAGCTGATAAATGGATAAGCATAGAAATAACACTCTTAATAAACAATAAAATAAAATAACACTGTTATTTCTATGTGGATAAGGGAAAATTACAAGAACACTGACATGAGATTCCCAAATATGACGGAATAATTTTTGAATTTGTTAATATTTTAATAAAGATTTATCATTTAACGTATTTTAATGTCTGTCCTGTAAATAAGCGTATTTTTGGGAAAAATCCGAAACAATTATATTTTGATATTATTTTTTAACTTCTTTATAACCATAACCAAAATACAGGGAGTCAAAGGTGAAAGTTCGATTCCGATTGTATTAAATAACTTTGGAAAAAACAAACGTTTTGCTCAAAATTTGATTTTTGGTGGTTTTACAGGCCGGGAAAATAAAAGTTCTTAAAAAATTAATGTAGGTTGTAGAGGGCGCTGTCTGCGACACTTTACTTTTAAATGGTCACATCTTATTTGCGTCTTAGTGTATTCACGTTTTTAATAAAAATATTACTTTTTTACCTTTCTTACGTAAAAAAGTTATATTATTACCTCAGGTAAAAATAAGTTACATTGACTAGTTTTTCAGCCAAATCAATCGTCGAGTTTTTAATAAAATTAAAAGTGAGGTAAAATTACTACTTTTGTATATACAGTGTTGGCCATAATTTTTGCAACCACTGTAAAAAAAATTCAACTCTAAAACCCCTTTATTATTCTTTATGAAATTTTAGATAAAAATACTTCAACTTATATCACAGTTTACGTGTTCGAGGGTTTTTCGAGAAAATATTTTGAAAGCCCTTTTATTTAATAATGAAAAAACGTTCGAAAAAAACTTTTAGGGTAATTTTTTTTAAGTAAATAAAAAATATGCTGTTAAAGACCGTATTTTTGTTAGTATACCCTGAAAATTTTGTACAAATCAAAAATTGGTGTTAAACAAAATTTATTGCCAGAAAAGTCTCGTAAGTACTAGAAAAATCATAAAAATATTATAACCAATATGCAAAATATTGTGCTGTTTAAAGTATAGCCAACCTATAAAATCAAAATTTTGGTTGGGATAAAGTATCTCATTACAGAACCGAAAGCGGTGTTATAATAAAGTCATTATGAAAGCAAAATAGATAAACTAATTTTTTTTAATATTTTGTCAAAATTTTGACTTTTGGACTTGTACTGTTCTTAATCTCACCGATTCAATTATATTCAGCGTCGAAAATTCACTTTTTTCTCGATATCAGTGTACGGATAGCATCCGTAAAAATTAGGGATAGAACGATATCACTTTTTTTTGCCGATACGATATATCGGCCGATACCGATATTTACGTGCCGATATACCGATATATCGTATCGGCAAACATAATGCCATCTATTTATACACGACCGAAGCAAAAATCGGGGAAGTCCCGTTTTAATTCCGTTGCGAGGAAACGTTTGTGATTGGTAGTGAGTGACATTTAGGATTTCTGGGAAGCCCCTTATACAGTGTGTATTAAAACGAATAGATACACTTAAATAAAACAAGTGCCAAACCCCGCCCACTGTGGTAGGGATTGAGAATTTATAGGTTTTATTTTTATCGAATTCGTTTGTTTTGTTTTAATGCATTTCTGCAAATAAAAACTAAGTATTGTTTAAAATCCAGTAAATTCCAGTTAATGGCGAAAATGCATTTCTTAAAAACTATACACATTTCCCTACGACAGCGTCGGAACTACTGAACAAACACAGTAGATCAAACTGCATGCCGCGCTGTTGCCATATGCTATTATTGTTTCCTAAAAGGGTTGTTTTTCTTATTTTTTAATATTAAAAGTAAGAAAATTTTTATTTTGTTTAATAAAGTATTTCATTTATGCACTGAAGAGTGAAAAGCGCAATTTTTTTTTGCCGATATATATCGGCAATTATCTTGCCGATACGATACGATACCGATAATCGGAAACAATTGCCGATATGCCGATATACCGATATCAATATCGGTATCGTTCTATCCCTAGTAAAAATGTGGAAACTTTCAGAAAAATTGACTTTTGCATTTTTTTGTAAATATTACTCTGAATAGAATGAAAAAATGCAAAAGTCAATTTTTTTGACTATTTCCCTTGTCTTAATTTCCACCAATCACAAACGCTCAATTTTGAATTACAAATGGTTTCTAGGTAAAAAAACTGTGTGACAGCACCTGTCAGCAGTTTATTCGAGTTTACCCGCGGCAAAACTTGACAGCTGTTGTCACCAAAAATTGCAATTTATATTTCAATTGTTAACTGTTACTCATGAAATAGTCTTGCCAAATACCATTCGGGCATCTAATTTTTCCTGTGAAAAAAATCGAAAAAACACAATGCTAATAGGTCAATTCTGGGTTCTCTCGTAAAATTTCTGTAAATTCGTAAATCTATAGCTTACGATGATCTGTAACTATAATGCTTATAGAATCGTAAAAGTGGCAATTCTGGGATGTTATCTGTAAATGTCTAATTTAAAGTAGTATAAACGAACTACTGCAACTTCACGCCTATTTACTTACGATCAGCATAACCTATATTTTTAAATGTATTATTTGGTTTATCCACAGTTTATCGGTTTTCATTTATGTATCAGCATATAATATAATACAAAAAGTAATAAATTTAAACTGGTTGAGGAATAAAATAAGGTAAGATAATTTTACATTTAAAAGAACATACAATATAGGTATAATGAATAAAATTGTTAGTGCGTTGAGTGAAGAAGTCAATCAATGGTTATGGTTAGTGGTAACGCAAAAGCAACAAAGAGAAAAAGATAAAAAAAACACCACTCCTCAACAGTTGAACTATATTTGGATGCAATGGATGGAGATTATCCATTGGGCCAACCATGGCAGGATAACTTTGAACAAGGAGCAGAAAATCAAAAAAAAAACATTTTGAGCTTAATAAAACCTATTTAGAAAATTATATAAAGCTGAAAGAAGAACAATTAGGATTTGAAATGAAAAAAATTAAATTTTTAAATCCAAATTTTGATATTTGACCTAGTAATTTTTAACTAATTAGAATATTTATTTATTTTGTTATTTATTTCTTTTTTGATCGAGTAGGCTGTGGTTTATTTTTTTTTAAGAATATTATTTTATTTTATTGTCATATGTAAAATAAAAATATAAAGTTTTTGTATTAATACAATTATTGTTTTATTTAGTCAAAATTGAAATTATTTCTAATGTAGTTGGCCCAGGCTGCTTGTCCCAATTGATAAATATTACCATTATCATATCCACATTGACATTATTAAAAATATTCATGTTTTTAATCTTTAAAATAGCTTTACATAACCTAACAAAAACAAACTGTAACTAGCAACGATTGGGAAACACCCGATCGTAAATATTTACGATTCTATAAGGTTTTCTGTAAGCTACAGGAAGCGCAGAATTGCAAATTGTCTATAAGCTTATAGAAAGTTACAGATTTGCTTATAGATGCTTACAGATGTGCGCAGAATTGACCTATAAGTAATATTTTTTAACAAAAAGCATTCGTGCAGGTGCAAAAATCCTCCTCTTCGACTCGGATTTTTGTTGCCACCAGCACTCATGCTTCTTGTTAAAATATTACTTAGCAACGTGTTTTTTCGATTTTTTTCAGAAAAATTAGATGCCCGAATGGTATTTGACAAGACTATTTCATGAGTAACGATTAAACGCATTTTTAGAAACGGTATTACTCACCGGTGTGGATTCTGACGTGATTGGTCAGATGCTCCTTCCTCGTGAACGATTTGGAGCAGAAATGGCACCTGTGCGGGGACTCCCCGGTGTGCTGCCTCACGTGGTTGTTCAAGTGCTCCTTCCTGGTGAAGCTCTTGGTGCAGAAGGTGCACTTGTGGGGCGACTCGCCCGTGTGCTGCCTGACGTGGTTCACTAAATGGTCCTTCCTGGTGAACGCCTTGGGGCAGAAGCTGCACCGGAAGGGCGTCTCGCCGGTGTGCTGCCTCACGTGGTTTATCAGGTGCTCCTTCCTCGTGAAGGACTTCGAGCAGAAACCGCACCGGTGCGGGGATTCCCCGGTGTGCTGGCGCACGTGGTTCAAAAGGTGCTCTTTCCTGGTGAACGTTTTCGAGCAGAAGTCGCAACGGTGCGGCGTCTCGCCCGTGTGCCACATTATGTGGTTCGTGAAGTGTTCCTTCCTCGTGAAGGATTTACCGCAAATTTCGCATCTAAAACGTTTTATTTTATATATAAATTACGCTTTTCTATAAGTTGTATGTCTATGGTTTTCTAAAGTTTTGTATGTCAATGGGATTCTACAATATAAATGACGTTGCAAAATAGACTTCAACTTTCAAAATTTCAAAAATTGGTATATAAATTTTTAAAACGTAAATATTAAAAAATTATAAGAATTTTTGCACATTGGGATAAATTTAAAAAATGGTAGGACAAATTTGCACTTCTGTTAAAATGAAAAATTAGTGGAAGAAAATCGCACAGTAGTATAAATAAATGATGGGAGAAATTTTCAAAATCGACAGAAATTTTAACCTCAAAAATTTTTAGACAAATTTTTGAAACGTTTAAAGAATATTAAAAAATAATAAAAAGAAATTAATAAAAATTGATATCCAGAATATTAAAAGAATTTTTGGTAGGAAAAGTTTGCACATAGGGATAAATTTAAAAAATGGTAGGACAAATCTGCACTTCTCTTAAAATGAAAAATTAGTGGAAAAAAATCGCACAGTAGTATAAATAAATGATGGGAGAAATTTTCAAAATTGACGGAAATGTTAACCTTAAAAATTTTTAGTCACATTTTTGAAACGTTTAAAGAATATTAAAAAAGAATAAAAAGAAATTAATAAAAATTGTAAGATTGTTCAAAATCAAAAATTTGAAAAAAAATCGCACAGTATTATAAATATAAAAAATGTTGGGGCAAGATGACGGGGTCCTTTTTTTAATTAATAACATAAACATTATGTGGTTCGTGAAGTGTTTTGTATGTCAATGGGATACAAAATAAATGACGTTGCAAAATGACGGGGTCCTTTTTTAAGACTCCCAAAATTTTCAAAATTTCAAAAATTGTTAAACAAATTTTTAAAACGTAAATATTAAAAAATAATAAAAAGAAATTACTAAAAATTGTAAGGTTATCAAAATACAGAATTTGATAAAAATTGATATGTAGAATATTAAAAGCATTTTTGGTGGGAAAATTTTTGCACATTAGGATAAATTTAAAAAAATGGTAGGACAAATTTGCACTTCTGTTAAAATGAAAAATTAGTGGAAGAAAATCGCACAGTAGTATAAATAAATGATGGAAGAAATTTTCAAAATTGACAGAAATTTTAACCTCAAAATTTTTTAGACAAAAAAAGTAGTGTAGTAACGCCATTAACCTATCCAGCTTACAGGCAAAGCCTATAAGGTTCGGTTCTTCAGCGGGACCTACTGTTTAACGTGGAATCCGAACCACGGTCCTCAATGAGTTAGACTCATCTACCGACTTTCAACCCAAGGCTGTGACCGGGAATCGAACCCGCTACCTTTCGGACGCAGTTTGTCTCGGCATAGTCGCCTAACCCACTGCGCCAAATTTTAAAGAATATTAAAAAATAATAAAAATTGTAAGATTGTCAAAATAAAGATTTTGATAAAAATTGATATCCAGAATATTAAATGGTCTTTCTAAAGTTTTGTATGTCAATGGGAATATACAATATAAATGACCAAAGATTTAATATAATAATAATATTATAATATTATCTTTGTAAATGACGTTGCAAAATGACGGGGTCCATTTTTAATTAATAACAAAAACATTATGTGTTTTGTGAAGTGTTTCTTCCTGGTGAAGGATTTACCGCAAATTTCGCATCTAAAACATTTTTTTTTATAAATTACGCTTTTCTATAAGTTTCTAAAATTTTGTATATCAATGATTCAAATGGCGGGGTCCTTATTAAAAACAAAAACATGAAGTAAAAATGTCTTACCTAAAAGGCGTATCGTTCGTATGGGAGCGCATGTGGTTGGCCAAATGCTCCTTCCTGGTGTACTTCTTCCCGCAAATGGTGCACTGGTGCGGGGTCTCTCCCGTGTGCCACATGACGTGGTTCATGAAGTGCTCCTTCCTGGTGAAGGACTTCTTGCAAATTTCGCACCTGTGCGGCGTTTCGCCCGTGTGCTTCCTCACGTGGTTCACCATGTGCTCTTTCCTGGTGAACGTTTTGGCACAGTACTGGCATCTGTAGGGCGTTTCGCCCGTATGGCACCTGAAGAAAAAAACATGAAAGTGCAGTGTTTTCGTTTAACAGACGCAATTAAAACGCGCGCGATCGATACATTTGCAGGTGGCCAGCGCGGTCCTTGTTGGTGAATTCAGTGGTGTTTAACTGTGACTAAAATGCCCAAAAGCCACTATTTCTACGTTTAGCCTGTGACTAAAACTCTTCAACGTAGGAGGGTAGGATAGGATAAAGAATGTCAAAAAATAACCAAAGAAAAAATTTTAAGATTGTCAAAATAAAGAATTTGATAAAAATTGATTTCCAGATTATTAAAAGAATTTCTGGTAAGAAAAGTTTGCACATTGAGACAAATTTAAAAATGGTAGGACAAATTCGCAAAGTAGGGTAAATTTAAAAATGGTAGACAAAATTTTCACTACTGTTCAAAATCAAAAATTTGTGGAAAAAATTCGCACAGTAGTATAAATATAAAAAATGGTGGGACAAAATTTTAAAATTGCCATAATTTTTAAACTCCAAAATTTCTATTTTTTTTAAATATAAAAAAAAAAGATTTTCAACTTTAAAAATTTCAAAAATTGTTGGACAAATTTTTGAAACGTTTAAAAAATATTAAAAAGAAATTACAAACAATAATTGTAATTATTGTAAGCTTCTCAAAATAAAGAATATGATAAAAATTGATATACAGAATATTAAAAGAATTTTAGGTAGGAAAAGTTCGCACATTGGGATAAATTTTAAAATGGTGGGACAAATTCACACAGTATGGTAAATTTAAAAATGGTAGGACAAATTTGCACTGCTGTTCAAAATCAAAAATTTGTGGAAAAAGTCGCACAGTAGTATAAATATAAAAAATGATGGGACAAATTTTCAAAATTGCCATAATTTTTAAACTCCAAAATTTCTATTTTTTTATAATATCAAAAAATTTAGATAATTAAAACTCCCAAAATTTTCAACTTTCAAAAATTGTTAAAAAAATTTTTAAAAGGTTTAAAAAATATTAAACAATAATAAAAAGAAATAAATAAAAATTGTAAGATTCTCAAAATAAAGAATTTGATAAAAATTGAAATCCAGAATATAAATAGAAATTTTGGTGGGAAAAGTTTGCACATTGGGATAATTTTAAAAATGGTAGGGCAAATTCGAACAAATTTGACCAATTTTTTCAAAATATTAAAAAAAGACTCCCAAAATGTTCAACTTTCAAAATTTTTTAAAACGTAAATATTAAAAAATAATATAGGTAAAGAAATTAATAAAAATTGTAAGATTGTCAAAATACAGAATTTGATAAAAATTGATATGCAGAATATTAAAAGAATTTTTGGTAGGAAAAGTTTGCACATTGGGATAAATTTAAAAATGGTAGGACAAATTTGACTGCTGTTAAAAATGAAAAATTAGTGGAAAAAAGTCTCACAGTAGTATAAATATAAAAAATGATGGGAGAAATTTTCAAAATTTACAGTTTTTAACCTCAAAAATTTCAAACGTTTAAATAATATTAAAAAATAGTAAAAATAAATTAATAAAAATTGTAAGATTGTCAAAATAAAGAATTTGATAAAAATTGATAAACAGAATATTAAAAGAATATTTGGTAGGAATGTTCGCACATTGGGATAAATTTAAAAATAGTAGGACAAATTCGCACAGTAAGGTAACTTTAAAAATGGTAAGAAAAATTTGCACCACTGTTCAACATCAAAAACTTGTGGAAAAAAATCGCACAGTAGTATAAATATAAAAAATGATGTGACAAATTTTTAAAATTGCCAAATTTTTTATTTTTTTAAAATATCAAAGAAAAATAGATTTTTAAGACTTCCAAAATTTTCAACTTTCAAAATTTTAAAAATTGTTAAACAAATTTTTAAAACGTAAATATTAAAAAATAATAAAAAGAAATTAATAAAAATTGATACCTATGCAGAATATTAAAAGAATTTTTGGTAGGAAAAGTTTGCACATTGAGATAAATTTGAACAGTAGGGTAAATTTTAAAATGGTATGAAAAATTTTCACTACTGTTCAAAATCAAAAATTTATAACAGAAAATCACACAGTATAAAAAATGATGGGACAAATCAAAATTGCCATAATTTTTAAAGTTTCCAAAATTTTAATTTTTTTTTAAATATTAAAAATATTACTTACACAATTTCATAAATTTTAAAAATTGTTAAGCAAAATATTGAAAAATATTTAAAAAAAAATGTAAGATTATCAAAATAAAGACTTACCTAGTGTGATTCTCGAGATGCTCCTTTCTCGCAAACGATTTCGCGCAGATAGTGCAATTGTACGGTTTATCGGTACTGTGGCGCTTCATGTGGCGCTCAAGCGAAGCTTGATTGGCGAACACGTGAAAGCATACGGCGCAAGTGAACATGCTGCCCCCTAGATGGCACTTTCCGTGACGCGACAGCTCTTGGGCGTTGGTGAACGCTTTGCCGCATACCTGAGATAGAGAGGAAGGGTTAAAAAAATATATCAAAAGAGAAAAAAATTAACATACCTGACAAGTAAAAGGTTTTCTTTCCGTGTGGTATCTCCTGTGAACAATCAGTTGGTACCGAAACTGGAATATTTTTCCGCACAGATCGCACACGTGATTGCCCGTTATAACGGAAGGCACATTTTCATTGTTGATGTTCGAAGTTGACGCTTCCTGCTCGTCTTTAGTGACAATGGAAATGTTGCTGTTGTTCTGCTGAATATTACTGTTGTTCGAGTTCTGAATTATATTCTGCGTTGTATTTGCAATATCGCCTTGGAGCTTACCAAAAACCTAATATTATTAAAAAAATATAGTAAAAAAAATATTTCTTCACAAGGTTGTATTTACCTCATGATACGCCAAGAGTTGGTTCAAATCATCAACATTCACTTTGTACATGTTTTGAACCATCTCCACCCCCAAAGTCTTAGCCAACTCTTGCTCCTGCAAATTTGTCTGTATCTTAACAATATTTCCATCTGCTGTTCTGACATCCATGATGTTCCCTTTAACGTCTTGCATGCCGAAAGGGCCCCCGGAAAGCAATTTGCAATTCTGAAGCACCTTTTCGTCCTTGACGATCTGTTGCATGTTTTCGCTCATTTCCTGGTCGTTATTCGAGTGATTTTGGTTGTTTTCCACGGCACTCTCCATGCGCACAACGTTGTCCAACACCTGTTGCACCTGCAGCAAGTTTCGATCTCATTCTTAAGAATGTCAACAATACATTTGAGAATGTCAAATTAAGATCCTAGATAAAAGTGGATCTAGCATAGAAAAACCGACCGACCGACATGAGAAGCTGAGGTATCACCCAACAGTGCATTTTCAACTCGCCATCTAGTTTGTGGCGTCCAAAGTACAAATTACAGTTACCTACAGTTACCTGTAGGTAGGACAAACTCGCACAGTAGGTTGAATTTAATAGATGGTGGGAGAAATTATCACAATGGGGTAAATCGAAAAATTGTGGAAAAAAATCGCACAGTAGCATAAATATAAAAAATGATGATACAATTTTTTTAACTTCCCAAAATTTCAAAAATTTAAAAAATTGTTAAACGAATTTTTAAAACGTTTAAGAATGTTAAAAATGATAAGAAATAAATAGAAATTGTAAGATTGTCAAAATAAAGAATTTAAAAAAAAATTGATATCCAAAATATTAAAAGAATTTTTGGTAGGAAAAGTTTGCACATTGGGATAAATTTAAAAATCGTAGAACAAATTCACACAGTATGGTAAATTTAAAAATGGTGAAAAAATTCGCAAAATTTTAAAAATTGACAAAATTTTAAAAATTCTTGAACACATTTTTTTAACGTTTAAAGAATGTTAAAAATAATAAGAAAAAATAAAAATTGTAAGATTGTCAAATAAAGAATTTAATAAAAATTGATACCCAAAATAATAAAATAATTTTTGGTAGAAAAAGTTTGCACATTGGGATAAATTAAAAAATGGTGGGACAAATTCGCACAGTGGGGTAAACTTAAAAATTGTAGGAACATTTTGCAGTGTTCAAAATCAAAACATGGTGGAAAAAAATGCACAGTGGTATAAAAATAAAAAATGATGGGACAAGTTTCAAAATTGACAAAATTTTAAAAATTGTTAAAAAAATTTTGTTAACGTTCAAAGAATGTTAAAAAGTAATAAAAAGAATAAATAAAAATTGTAAGATTGTCAAATAAAGAATTTAATAAAAATTCATACCATATTTAAAGAATTTCCGGTAGGACAAGTTTGGACATTGGGATAAATTAAATAATGGTGGGACAAATTCGCACAGTAGGGTAAATTTAAAAATTGTAGGATAATTACGCAAAATCAAAAAATTGTGGAAAAAAATGCACAGTATTATAAAAATAAAAAATGATGGGACAAGACTAAAAATTGACAAAATTTTAAAAATTGTTGAACAAATTTTGTTAATGTTTAAAAATAATATAGGTAAAGATAAAATAAATATTTTATGATTGTCAAAATAAAGAATTTAATAAAAACTGATACCCAGAACAATAAAATAATTTTTGGTAGAACAACTTTACACATTGGGATAAATTTAAAAATGGTAGGACAAATTCGCACAGTAGTTCAAAATCAAAAAATTAAGGAAAAAAATTGCACGGTAGCATAAAAATAAAATATGAGACAATTTTAAAAAATCACCAAAATTTCAAAAAAATTTCAAATGTCAAATAAAGAATTTAATAAAAATTAATATCCCATTTAAAGAATTTTTGGTAGGACAAGTTTGCACATTGGGATAAATTAAAAAATGGTGGGACAAATTTCAAAAGGTAAATTTAAAAATTGCAGAAAAAATAAAAAATGATGGAACAAGTTTCAACATTCACAAAACTTTTAAAATTTACAAAATTTTAAAAATTGTTGAAGAAATTTTGTTAATGTTTAAAGAATATTAAAAAATAAAAAAAAATAAAGATTGTCAAAATAAAGAATTAAATACAAATTGAAGTTTGCACATTGGGATACATTTAAAAATGGTAGGACAAATTCGCACAGTAGTTCAAAATCAAAAAAATGTGGGAAAAATTGCACAGTAGTATAAAAATAAAATATGAGGGGACACCTTAAAAAATCACCAAAATTTCAAAAATTACAGATTTTTCAAAATTGTTAAACAAATTTTAAAAACAATTAAAGAATGTTAAAAAATAAATAAAAATTGTAAGATTGTCAAAATAAAGAATTTGATAAAAATTGATATCCAGAATATTATAAGAATTTTTGGTGGGACCATTGGTTCAAAATCAAAAAATTGTGAAAAAAAAACTTAAAATTATTAAACAAATTTTTAAAAGTTTAGAGAATGTTATAAATAATAAAAATAAATAAATAAAAATTGACATCAACAATTTTTTCCCTTAAAAATGTAGAATGTCAAAAAACTGTCAAAAATCAAAACAAAAACTAAAAAGCTCCTACCTGCAGGTGTTGCAATTGCTGCACAGTGAGACCCTGCTGAGCGATTTGGTTGTTCTCGTTCAGCTGCGCTAGCTGCGCCTGCGCCAGCTGCGCAGAAATTATATCCTTCTGGTCTTTGTTATCTTCAATCACAGAAACGAGATTGTTATCTTGCACTTGCACCTGCACCATGTTCTGCTGCTGATTATTGTGATTTTGTTGAGAATGGTTCATCTGTAAAAAAAAAAGATTAAATTATGTCTTAATTAAGTATTTTCAAAAATTAATTTATTTAAAAAAATGTTTATCTTACCCTAAACTTAACATCAGATCGATTCATCTGATTTTGGTTGTTAATATTATCGTTTTGATGTTGTTGTTGTTGTTGTTGCTGCTGCTGCTGTTGCTGGTGCTGTTGCGACATATTGTTGTGCGAATCTAAGTGCATTGCACCACCCGTTAGTGATAAATTTGCACCTTGTGCAAGACTAACAGGGATTTGAGAGTGCTGTGGCAAAAGCAGAGAATCTGATTGGAGCAGGCCGTGCTGACTTAGCATGGCATCCTAGATAAACATGAAAGCATAACCTCAAAAGTCAGTTATGTCAAAATTGACATTTGAAATGTCATATATTTTTTTGCACAAAAAATGTAAAAAAAAGTATCGTATTTTATTCTTACTTGTGTCAGTTTTCCTTGGTTTTCCCCCCTGGCGCCTGGCAGTCCGTAGACTGAGACTTGGGGTATCGGACCTGGCAAAAGATTTGTCAACACCCAGTATTTTGCAACGCTGCTTAAAGCTACGGCGTTTAGGGCTGTCGTGTTCACCCTTAAGTCAGTGGGCACAGAGGTCACCGGTGGAGGCCTTTGACTGTTCTGAAAAAAAAAACACCAAAAACGTGAAAGAAATTTATTATATGAAAGTAATATCTATAATATATGAATAAACGTAAATTTATTACATTTTGCTTATGCAAAGCATGACGCCTTGTACAAACAATCCTGTGGTTATGTGGCCAAATAAAAAGATATATATATATACAAAACTTACTTAAATTAAGTGAAAAAAGTTTTGCTCATCTTAAAATCATTTAAAATTAATAGATAATTGACTTTTTCAAAGAATATTATACATTTTAAAATGCTTTAATCACATTTTTAAATGTTAAAAATAGATTTTAAAGGGGAGAAACCTTAGGAATATCACGATTTATTTAAAAAACAATTTGAAATGTTAGAACCACATCTTAAAATTTTAAATTTACCATGCACATTCAAAAGTCCCACCTTGACATTTGAATACAAATAATTGAGATTATCTATTTGTCAGTTAATTTGTTCTTACATTACAAAAATAATACAAAACATGTATTTTTGTGTTCTTAATTAAGTAATTTATACACAAAAACATAAAAAACACTCCTTTTTTTTTTAGAAAACAAGACGAATGTATCGTTAAACTGACAGATAGATAACCTCAATTATTTGTATTTAAATGTCAAGAAGGTCCCACCTTTGATGTGAACTACAAAAACGTGCCAAATTGTGGGCGTGGTTTAAGCACATTTTTGACTGACCAATCAAAATTCGTTTAATTTGATCTTCGTGGTAATGGCAACACGGGTATGCAGGGCCGAGCCGTGCCGGGGGTGCAAGGGGTGCATGGCACCCGGGCGGCACTAACACAGGGCGGCAAAATATCATCAAAATAAAAAAGCCACCTTGCAATATGCAAAAAACTTTCTAAAAATCACTTTCGTTTTATTGATGTCGGCGTTTCAATTGAGGAATCATCGTTTTTATTCTACACACAAAAACAATGCCAAAATTGTGCTGTCAGGCGGCAATGATAAAAAAGACATAACCGAACGCGCGATAGCCACAAAAAATGATGATGACAATTTTCTTAAAGCCCGGTTTATAGATTGCCGCCCGCCCGCTTCGCTTTACGTCCGTCCGCTTCGAGTTCGTCAAGTTTCATGTTTTACGGAAGCGGGCTTACGGGAAACCAATCAAATCGCGCGCTGTGTACCACGTGATATGGTTTACAAGCAGAACTGTTAAGTTAAAGCATAATTTCTTTCGATTTGACGGCTGCGTATTTCAGCAATTTTTAGTTTTTCTATTAACGTGAGGCAAATAAGATGCAAACATAGTAGTTTCTTTTGTCTTTTAATGCGTTTAAGTTAAAAACTAGTTAATGATTTAAAAGGCATCTTTCCGAATTTATTTGTAGCTTTAAGAATATTTTTGACGATGCCAGTTACTGTTGCCCATGGAGAGCGGTCATTTTCGAAATTATAACTAATTAAGACCTATTTAAGATCCAATAAGAGTCAATTCAGGCTTTTAAATTTAGCAATTATAAGTATTGAATAAGATATTTCTAACAACTTGGATGTAGGCGACTTGATTAGGGAATTTGCTATTAAAAAAGCGAGAAAAATAGATTTTAGTTTAGTTTAATTATTTTTGTTTTTTTTTCCTGAATGTATTTTTATTTTATTCTTTTATGTATTTGTTAATAAATACTTTGTTATTTTACTATAAAATTTGTTATATGTTTATTGAGAATGATAAATTATGAACTCCTTTCCCTACCGACAACCTAATTTTTTACATTAATGGGGGCGGCAAATTTAATTCTTGCACCCGGGCGGCAGATACCCTAGGCTCGGCCCTGCGGGTATGTATGGGTATTTTAAGTAAAAGTAAAAAAATTAGAAATATCCTAAAATTATATCGGGTGTTCTATTAAAAGGTACTTAGGTAGAATGTTATTGCTATTTTTTTATAATTTAACAATCCTTTTTTTTAAGAGGCCGTCCATAAATCTCCTGACGCTAAAATGGTCAAAATTGACCCTCTTCCCCTCCATCGTGACAGAATGTGAGGATATATCGAATATCCCCTACCCCTAAAAATATTTATTGCGATTCTTTTTTGTAATAATCTGACTAAATGGAACAAAAAAAATTTAATTCGATTTACTTTGTCAAACCTCCCCTCCCCCCTTCGGCGTCGCGAGATTTATGGACGGCCCCAAATGTCAAAATAAAATAATTTCGATGAAAAGATTTTTTAAAGATAAAATTATTTAGAAATTAATTTTGTATGAAAAAAACAACAAAAACCTGATAATTTTAGAAATAATTAAAAAAAAAACTTATATAAAAAGTCTTAAAACATTTTTTTTGTATAACCCTTAAAAAAATTAATTTGGTAATGTTTAAGCCATCAAAATATCGAAAAACATTTTAAAATAAAATTAGTAAGGGCGCCCATGCTTTTTAAGGGTCCGTTAAAAAGTCCTGACGCAGCGCAATTACCTTCCATACCTTTGGAAACAAAGAAAAATCCAAATCCCATTGGACATGCAAAAATCCGCAGCAGGCAATGTTTTTGCCCACCGACCAATCAGCGTAGCAAATAAATAAACAAACTGGGTACACAGATCGGTGCACTAAACATGAAACAATTTGTTAAATAATTAAAACTTACCTCCGTGTTGTTGGAATTGTGTCCAGCGGAAATCCCTTCCGCACTGTTCGAGTTCATTTTCACGGCAAAATCGTCCAGAGTTTTCGGATTTTCACCTCAACAACACTTTGCAGTTCGAATAAAAACAATCACGTGAAATAGTCCGATGTCATTGTTTAGACGGGGGGACGCGGGCAGCCATTGACCGAGAACACGAACTGATTTCGTTCGTTTTTGGCACGCTGCCTTCCGCAAAGCGGCCGAATTACCGAATTAAACTTAATTTGCGTCGAACCGGGCCGTTTCTAACACCTCGAAGCCGACATTTCCAGATACTTTCGAAGAAATTCGCGATATTTGACGGGAGGAAAAGCGGGGTGCCGCACACGATAAACAGAGAGAAGCAACATGGCCGCTTCTGCCTTCGAACGCATACGTCGAGAGATTAAACAAAGAATTATTTTTTATTTGCCCTCAAAACTATCAAAAACTCCTCCAATACAACGTTTAAATATCCAAAGTTTGTTTTAATCGATTAAAATAGCGTTTATTTTTGTTTTCCCAGTAGATATAACGATTTATAATTCAAATTATTGAATCCCACCGTTTTCGTGGCTCCGCCTACTTGCTCTGTCGGTATAAGGCGCCAAATTTGAATTATGGACAATTTTGGGACATTCTTTTCAAATGATTTAAAATAGTTCTTTGAATTAAATGATTTGAAACAATGTTATGACATTTAAAAGAAGTTTTATGACGTTTTAAGTCAGTTGGGTTTTAATTTTAGAACAATACGTAAGTTTATTTTTTAATAAAACTTTAAGATTATAAAAATATAGATATTTAGAAGTATACCTACTTATTTTATTTTAGTTAATTTTTTGGTATGCTAAAATTCTTTAAAACATAAGCTATAGAATCAAAGTAACTAGAATTTTAAAAATTAAAAAAGCAATTAAATTAATAACTAAATATTAAAAAAGGTAAAAATTTATGCATTTATTTTTCCAATGCATGTTGACCTTTAAGACGCGTTCACCTGTCATCTGCAGACGCAGGTGAGAGGCGTGTCCACCTCTTACCTGCGGGTGGTTGCCTAGCAACAAACTCAGTTGTTTGTCAACACGGTATCGGCCGAGTGCACGTTGCAAATATAAAAAGAACAAAAATAACTTTCAGATGACGCTCTATTTCGAATATCCGGTTATTTTTCCGGAAACTGGTTCGGTGTCGGTAAATGGGTTATGGCACCCGAACGAGCCGCTACTGGCTGTGGCCAGTTTTTCGCAGGACAGAGGCGGGTTCGTCACCATTTTCGACGAGTTGGTAAGGTTAAGGACCCAAGCAACAAAATGTCATGATTTAATTTTAATTTTTAAACTATTTCCAAAGTAAATAAATAAAAGTAACAATTACCTAGATTAACCTTAAAAAAAATTAATTTTAATTTTTAATTGTCATGGTATTTACAAAATGTTTAATTACAGGAAAACGGTTCATGACACAAAGAAAACGAAAAAGAGAAAAAAATTGAAAGCAAATTTTAAAAATTAAACATTTTTTTTTCAGTGGCGTAGGTACCAGATTGTTCTTTTAGCAAACCCATATGTACGCCACTGAGTAACCTGCAAAGTATTTTTTTTACATTATTAAATTAATCAACTGCTAAGATTTCCAAAATTTTTAATTTTGCCAAATTATTTTATAAAATTATTTTTATAGTTTAAAATAAATTTTTGTGAAAATGTTTCAACTATTGTACAAATTATGGTTATTATATTTTATAAAATAGTTAAAAAAATGCATTTTAAACTAAAAATATTATTTTATAAAATAATTCATTTAAATTTTGGACTTGAACTGTTCTTGATTTCACCGATTCAATTATACATAGGTAGAGTTTAGGACCTATCTTGCCTAAAAAACTAAACAATAAAAAACAACGTATTTTTACATGTACAGACGTGGTCTTAAGTTATGCAAAACTTGTAAAAACACCGTCGTAAATGTTGCAGGCAAATTCATCAGAATTTGATTAAAAAACATTAAAAAGTGTCAAACCAACAAATATGTATTGGCTCAAAAAATTAAAACTAACATTTGTGCATAAGAAATTAATTAATTTTAATTATTACAGTTAATGACCTGTCTTTTCTTAAAAATACTGAACAATAAAAAACAACGCTTTTTCGTATGTACAGACATGGACTTAACATTAAAAACTGTCAAATGTCAAAAACACATTTAAGAATGTCAAAAAATATTTGAAAACCAATATAGAATTTGTTGTTACAAAAATATATTGTCCGAACAAATCAAAACCAACCTTTGTGCATAAGGACATACATTTTATTTATACATACTGTAAGTTAAGGACATGTCTTGCCTCAAAAAACTGAACATTAAAAAACAACGTTTTTTCATACCTATGTACAGACGTAGACTTAAGTAATGCAAAACTTGTACAAACGCCGTCGTAAATGTTGCATATGTACAGGCATCGACTTAAGTAATGCAAACCTTGTACAAACGCGGTCGTAAACGTTGCAGGGCGAATCGATAAAAAACGTGACGTTTCCGGTACACAGAAGTTACCAAGTGACCTCGTTGGCATGGCACCCGGAAAAAACGGTTTTGGCGTGCGGTTGGGAGAACGGGGAGCTGAAAATATGGGACGGCATGGAGAAGGAGTTCGTGAACATCGCCGGACTCCACAAGAGTCCGGTTATTTTGCTGGAGTTCAGCGAGAAGGGCAGCAGGCTTGTCTCTTGCGATACAGTACGTAAAAAGAATAATTATCATGCTTAAAATAGTTTTAACGTAAATTTTCAGTCGGGTTCCATAGTAGGCTGGAAGGTGGACGTTAAAGGCCAACTCAACACGGCCTTTCATTTGGATCTCAAAGAGCAAATCACGCATTTGACGTTTAGGTTGACAGTTAAAAATCATCCTGACTATGACGTGGACACGCTCGCTAAAGCAGCTGTCAACGGAGACGAAACAGCTCTGGACATGTTTAGTAATTGGCGCCCCAAAACAACTGCTAGGAAGTTTAGAGTCCAAGACGGCAGCGATAACCTCTGTTTTTACATAGCCACCCAGGTCGGGTCCATCTACTATGTCAATCACAGTGGATCTTGTGCTGAAGTTCTAAATACTGAAGGTTTGTTATGAAACTAGATATTATAATAATAATAATAATAATAATAATATAATAATAGGTATTCCGTTAACATATGTGGTGTACCACCCCAAGAAAGACGCCCTAATAGTGATGATGGAAGGTCTTACCATTGGTCATTTTACCGTTGACTACCAAGGTCATTTGCAGGAGATAGCCAAGGTCAAACTAAGCGGTAGAGTCCAGAATAGAAGCGTTGGAAGTCAGGGCTTAATATGGACTTTTGACAGTTCTCTGGCTATCCTAACAGGTACTTCATAGACTTTTCTCTATGGTAAACCATTGGAAGCATGAAAAATAATTTGACACTTCAGTTTATAAGTTTATAATAAATATAAAACCCTGTATGTTTTAACACAATCAAATAGAACATTAAAGAATCTTTCGATTGGTATTATAATAACTGTTTCCTAAAGTTAAAATTTCAGAGACATTTAACAATTTCTAATATTTTCAATACTATTTTGTATCAACAAACCTGTGAAATTCTACATGTGGTTTAATGTGACAGTATCCATGGTTACCACCAAATCTGTTTAAAATTAATTAAAATATTTCTCAAAAAATATTGACTTTAGGTATAGGATATGGTATAGTCATTTTACTAAGAATTTTATGTAGAATTAAAAAATGTAAAAATATATGAGGTGTCCTGTTTAATATAACAAAGTTATAGACATTTCCGGTAAAACGTTCAAAATAATTTAGGAAAAAACGCTATTCGATGCCCCTAGAAACTTCTAACGGACTACGTACGTGAAACACCCTGTGTTTTGTTATTTATGTGTTATGCTAGACTTAATTATTAATAAAAGATACAACAATATTTGTATAAATATGACAAAATGTACTAAACTAAACATTTATGAATACTGCTACTGCTAATTCAAAACTGATCCTGGCCACAGAAACATCACTTGTATAAAAAAGTTAATATACAAATAATAGTCAAATATCAATACTTTAACGTGTTATACTCAAATTTATAAAACAAAGTTGCTTCTTCGATTATTTATTGTTAAAATCTAAACAAATTTTTTTCATGGGTTAATTGTCATTAGTAAGATCTAAATTTTGTCCAAATTTAAAATCGATACGTTTTGAAATAAAAAGTTATTTAAAAAAATGAAATTTCTTCATTTTTAACACAGTGAAGAAAAAAATAAAAAAGTTTCAATCGATTTCTTGAACCCTTCCCAGGGAGCACACTGACGTTTTCTGACGTTTATATGACGTTTATATGACGTTTAAATGACGTCATATAAACGTCAGCAGACGTCAGTGTGCTACCTGGGTTGCAAATCGACTGTTCAATCATTTAGAAGATACTAAAATGGCATCTTTGCAGGTGATCTGACCGTCCGAATATGGGACATAGAAACAAACGACAACTACGTGCTACCGACCTCACTCAAACTATACGCGACGGAAGAAAAACCGACGCTCAACGAATCATTCACGTGCATAGCCTACTGCGCCATGAACCAAACGCTGTGCGCGGGCACCAACACTGGAAAGGTGTACTTCTGGACCCGCAAAATTTTCGATGTCGAGTCGGATAGTCCCGAGGACCAATGGGAGTTGAACAACGTTAACGGCATCAGTGGTACCGTCAAGCAGATAATGTGGGGGTCCATGCTGCTTCGGCAGCCGCTGTTGAGTCTGAATTGCGTGACCACTGTATTCATTATGAAGGAGCAGAGCATCTCAACGTGCTTCTCGGATAAAATCTGGGCGGTACAGAAAACCGCGTCGCAGATTCTAATGGAGAGCCAAAGCGGTAACCATTTGTTGAAGCTGGAGAATCAGGTTACAGATATGGCTACTACGAACGACTGCATAGCCTTCACCAATGGTAGGAATGTGGTTATGTACGACATCACGTGGAAACATGGTGACAACAAATACGACATTAACTCAAAGTTGAGTAAGGAGTCGAACGACGAAAGCAACTTTACAGTCAAACACCTCACAACGTTCAAGTTTGACAACGAAGGTATATCTATGTACGACAAACTCGTTGTAGCTCTAACCCAAAAAGGGGTTTTGGTGAGACCCCACAACGGTTCCGGTGTCACCACCATAACCTCCACCTCCATGGAGGGAGAACCCATAGGTATGGACGTCACAGGAAAACACCTCACCATATTCACCATAGAGGGTTTCCTCAAGATATACGACTTATCGGAAGGTGCGCCAAAACTGCTCACCCCAGTTAAAAACCTCGTCGATTCCGTAGAAGATTTCGGTGAGGTCATCCAAGCCAAAACCAATTCAGACGGCAGCAAAGTTGCAATGACCATAGCCGGTACCAATTTGATACCGGACGGTAAACTCTACATATGGGACATCGAAAGGGATCATTTGACTTGGTTCGATTTCAAAAGCAAAAGTACGAATTATGGCGATGAAGATACGGAAGATAAGAGTGGTTTCGAGGAAATTTGCTTCAATAGGATACCTTTGTCTTTGAATTGGGACGCAGGGGACTGTAGATTGTTGGTGTGTGATGCCAAAAAGTTGAAAACCAGGGAGAAGAAGAATGGCTTTCCCAAAGTTGGACGTTCCATATCTAACGGTAGGTGCAACACCAATGGTTGAAGCATTCCTGATACAGCCCTTGTGGAAATTTTTCTCTGAGAAAGTTTTTAAAGCCTTACTGTACACAAACCAAACGTTTTATTCTGTTCAATTAAAATAAAGTTTGTTTACCTTTATAGTAAACATTGCTTCCATGTTTTTATAAGCCTTATAACAACACAAAAACAGTGTTTATAAAGCCTTTTCATTGTGCTTTCTTTTGCAATAACCAAATACAACATCTCTATAGGTACCTACCATTTCTCTGCCAAAAGTCTTATTAAGTCTTATTAACTCTTCCAGAAGACTCCCAAATCTTGCTATTAGTCTGACTTACTAGGTAGTATTATTCAGACTTTTTAAGAGAAAGTAAGACTCTAAAAACTCTTATTTTTACTTATTAAAACTTTTTCAGAGAAAGATTTCCACAAGGGTATTTACACTCAGTTTCTTGCAGCTGGGGTGCAAAAAACCTTGAAAGACGAAGATCACATCCTCATAACTATGTTCGTCTCGCCGGATAACGCCATAAAAATGCACGACGTGAAACCTATAGACCCGGAATCGAGACTTATATCAGTCGCCACACCTTTTATCGCCACCCTGCAGAAACTGTCCATCGTGCGCGAGGTAATGGGTGACTTCATCGGCCTGGAGTCCTGCGATGGCGTCACCAAAACGGCCGTCCTGGACTTCAGCTACAACCTGAGCCTCGGAAACATGGATGCCGCTTTCAAGGCCATCAAGCTGGTGCAAAGCAGCGGCGTTTGGAACAGCCTGGCGCGCATGTGCGTCAAGACGCGTCGTCTCGACGTGGCGGGCGTTTGTTTGGGGCACATGGGCAACGCCCAGGCCGCAAGGGCTCTAAGATTGGCTATATCGGACGATTCTCTGCCTCTCGAAGCTAAAGTTGCAGTTCTGGCGGTACACTTGGGCATGCTGGACGAAGCTGAGCAGCTGTACGCTCAATGCGGCAGATACGACTTGCTCAATAGGTTGTTGCGAAGCCGTAACAAGATGGATGCAGCCCACGCCATAGCCGAATCGAAAGATAGGATACATTTGAGGAATACCGAGTACACCTGGGCCAAAATTTTGGAGCAAAACGGCGATATCAAGGAGGCTATAGCTCGTTTCGAGAAGGCCAACACTCACAAGCATGATGTGCCTAGGATGTTGATAGAACAACCCTTGCTACTTCAAGCCTACATGGCCAAAACTAAGGACCCGTAAGTAAAATGTCATCTAGTAAAGATGTCCCATAAAGAGTCTAAATCACAGGACCTTGGTGGCCAGTTTTACGAAATAACGTAAATTTAACATTTCAGGGACATACTGAAATGGTGGGGGCAATACATCGAATCGCAGGGCGATATGACTTCCGCCCTGAAAATCTACGCCGGCGCTGGAGACGTTTACTCGCAAGTGCGCGTGTTGTGTTTCCTAGGCGACGAAACAAGAGCGGCCGAGTTGGCCAGATCCAACTCCGACAAGGCCGCCTTCTACCACATGGCCCGGTACTACGAAACGGTAGGCAACTGCGAAGACGCCGTGTACTTCTTCACCAAGGCCACGGCGTACGGAAACGCCGTCAGGCTGTGCAAGGAGAACAACATGTCCGACGAGCTGTGGAATCTGGGCTTCATAGTCTCGCAGAGGGACAAGATGGAGTGCGCCAGGTATTTCGAGGAGGCCAACGATTTAGCCAAAGCCGTCGTGCTGTATCACAGAGCTGGAAAGTTGCACAAGGCTCTAGATCTAGCCTTCAAAACGCAACAGTACGATATCTTGCAGCAAATCGCTACGGACCTGGACGCCAGCTCAGATCCCGCGTTGGTGCAAAAATGCGCCGAATATTTCGTCACCAACGAGCAGTTCGACAAGGCTGTCGACCTGCTGGCCATTGCAAAGAAGGTAATTTTGATATACTTATAGATGTATAAAGTTTCGTAACTATCCCATACAGCACAGATGTCCATTGGACGTCAAATGGATATATGTGCTGTCTGGGATGTAGCATCCTTGGTTCTCTAACTTCCTTAATAAGTTTAAGTCATTGTTGTAATGTATCGGATACAAGTATCTAAGTATATACTGGATCTAGATAGGTATCGAGATCTAGAGTATCAGGATCTAATTTAGTATCTAGATCCTTAGATACATGTATCTTGCAAGATACATTTTATTTTACCAAACCTGATTGCAACAACACTCGGAACATGTACATCCAATGGATATCCATTGGACATCTATTTTATAGTTTACACGCTGTTTCATAAATATCTATTGCGTTATAAGGCCCAAAAAATTTTTTTCTTCGTCATTTTTAACTTTTTTCTTTCAGTACACTGAAGCCATAACCCTGTGCTTGAAACACAACGTCCAACTCACAGAAGATCTATCGGAGAAGTTGACCCCAGATAAGGATGTCGTCGACGAAAATACGCGAGTAAAAGTCCTGGAAAAGTTGGCGGAAAGTTTGATGCAGCAAGGGAACTACCACCTGGCCACCAAGAAGTTCACCCAATCCGGGGACAAAGTGCGGGCGATGAAGGCTCTACTGAAATCCGGGGACACGGAAAAAATCGTGTTCTTCGCTGGGATATCGCGCCAACGCGAGATCTACATCATGGCGGCGAATTACTTGCAGTCTCTCGACTGGCAGAACAAACCCGACATCCTCCGGAACATCATCGCGTTCTACTCGAAAGGAAAGGCTTTGGATTTGCTGGCCAACTTCTACGTGGCTTGCGCGCAAGTCGAAATAGACGAGTTTCAGAACTACGAGAAAGCCTTCGGGGCCTTGACTGAAGCCTCTAGGTGCCTGGGGAAGGTCCAAACGCCCAAAGATTCCCTCCAGCACCAGAGGGCCACGGATATCGTCCAGCAACGGCTAACTTCAGTCAAGAGGTTTGTGGATATAAGGAGGCTTTTCGAAAGGGGAGATCTTCATACAGGTAAGCACAATCCCTAATAGCACAGTTTATCTAAGAATGTTTTTTAAACCCTCCAGCGGGAATATTCTTAGGATCATGCTATATTTCTTCTAGTCATGTTCTAAGAATGTTTTTTAAACCTTCCAGTGAGAATATTCTTAGGATCATGCTATATTTCTTCTAAAGAACATGCTTAAAAGAAATATAGCATAATCCTAAGAATATCCTCACTGGCCTATAGGCAGGTTCTTAGAAAGTGCAAAGTTTAGTGGTAAAAATTAATCCACTCTAAACATATGCTTAGAATGTTGAGAAAGTAATTGCTATAGAAAGTTCATTTAGGAATATTCCTGGAACATTCTGTTAGGCATATTCAGTTCAGTTAGGTACCTATATAATAGTAAAATATACCATAATCTACGTATAAAGGTACCTATACTTAGTATTAAATACTAAGTAAAAAACAACCCAAAATATTTATTTATAGTTATTTGTCAAATTAAAACAATATTCGATAACAAAAATACTTTTACTATAGGTATCTAAATTATCCGGCTTTTACATAAAATCTATCCAACTTAAATACAATGAAAATTTTTTTTTTATGAAGAACCATTTGGTTTTTTCTTTTGTGAAGAATTATTTTATAAGGAAATATTTTGTTTTTGTATTTTATGTTAAAAATAAATAGTTATTAATTATATACCGATTTTTTATATCTGAATTAACATTTTTATGTATAATAATCCTAACTATCTTCAACTTCAATCTAATCTGACTTATCCCACAAAATTTTCCAATTTTACTTTTTATGAAATAATGTCATACAACTTATGGTTTAGAGGTCAAATTGTTTATTTAATATTTTTAAATAAATACATATTAATATGTCGCAAAATTTTTTAAGGGGACGACAAATACATTTCACTGTCATGTTATGACAGTGAGGCGTATTTGTCGCCTCCTGAAGAATTTTACGAATGTATAATCCAACATATTAGAACGTGGGTATCTGACATATTTGGAAATATTCTCAAAAGCTTCCTAGGAGCTCCATAAGAAACCTTCTAAGAACATTCCAAAAACGTATTCTTAAAATATTCTTAGAATGCTTTTTAGGAAGGTTTTAAGAAGCTTCTAAGAATTTAATTGCATCATTAAAAGGGTATCTATTGAATGTTTTAAAAGTCCCTAAGAACATTCTTAGCAATAAGGGAAGGTTCTAAGAATATTCCATTATTTCGGGTCATATCTTCTTAGAAGATTCTTAGAATTAAATTTTGCTATCAGGGATACATTAACTAAGAAGACTTCCTTACAATATTTTTAGGCATGCTCCAGAGCAGGCAGCTGCTGGATTCAGGTGGTAAAGACTTGGAGGACTCTGTGAGAAGAGGCGACATTTATTCACTAATGATCCAGCAGTGCGTGAAAGCTGGTAAATTCGACGAAGCCAAGGAGTTGATAATGCAGCTGAAGCACTATTTAAGCGAAACTGGCAATAACTCGTTGACATATTACGTTGGTAAAGATGTTGTTGAAACTTTAGCCAAAGGTATTGGCGTTCCTGTTAATTATTTTTTGCCGGTTAGTGCTAAAAGTCCCAATAATGAGGATGTTGATGATGGTGAAGAAATTTTGGAAGAAACCTAAAAATAAATGTTTGTTCAATCAGTTTTGAGTTTTATTTGACTTTGGCATGTGTCATGTTTAGGTAAAACCTGTTTAAATTTCTTTTATAAGGAAGAATCGCAATTTATATACTGATAATTGTGCATGGATTTTATTGGTTTATCTTCATTATCTTCATCTTCGTGCCTGAAACATTTAAATTGTATTTTTGAAGCAGAATCAAGTAAGTTAAAATCTTCCAAAATTTAAACGTATAATTTAACCACAAACATCAGTTTTAAACTTAATATTACTTCAAAAATGATTGTTAACAAAAGATCCAATTATGGTAATCAGTTAGATGTAGAATTTAAGAGTATCTTGAGAGATATCAAGCCGTATATAATCAGCGTAAATTCAGCATACCATCTGAATCAGTACAGACTTTGGTTGGAGGTTTTGAGTAATCGACACATTACCAACAAAGAGAAAAGGAATATTTTTTTGAGGGAACTGGCAGGGCAGATCAAACGCCGGATTATTTTAAGTCCTTTTACTGAAGTTCCTGACCCTTATTTTTTCAGCGACCTCGAGGCAGTCTACTTTGATGAAGAGGTGAGTTCAAGCAAAAATAATCACAGGTCCACAATGTAATCTTTTTGACAGGACTATCTGTGCGTGCCAGACTTCAAGCTAATCTACCCAAACATGGATTTGGAAGTGAAAAACTACGAGCTTCCGAAAAATCCCGACATGAAAAGCGAAAAGTACAAATCCCTGCCGCGTAATATTTTTTCCCAAAAAGGCGTAACGAACGAAGATAAAAGCGAGGATAAAAAGAAGAAGAAAAGGCGAAGACACAACAGTTGCAAACCGTCCACTGGCAGAACCGAAAAACTCGAGGTTGAACGGCGAAATTCAACGACGACGTTTGAATGTGTGACGGGGAACCCTAACTACTTAAAATTGATGGAAAATGTCAGGAATATAAACTTTTTGGACTTGAGGAAACTCGAGAGTAGTTCGTGGTTTGACCTTTCCTGTTCTAATTCTACAAAAAGTTCGCTGGAACCGGCCAAAGAGAGTCCCAAGTATATCGATGAGGATACCAATACTGGTCAGTGATTTTGTGCTTTCAACTCCCTCTTTGGTCTATGGTTTTTATGATTTTCCTATTTTGGTTATTTTTTAGAATATCATGCCCCTGAAACTTCGACTTTTACTCCGAAATGCGATGAATTGGTATTTGACAATTTTTTGCAAATAAAATAAATAAAAACGTTTTTTTAAGGATAGAATTTCTTTAAAAGCGAGTTTTAAAGACACCAACGTCATTGTGACAGATCTGAAGAAAACAATTGAAGGCTTGCAACTGCGACTAACAGAAACGATAAAACAAAACAACGATCTGAAAAACGAAATAAAACATTTTGAGATAAAGGTAATAAAAATATCGCAGGTATACAAAATGTAGGTATTGTTACGAAAGTGTGTTGCAATGTTGCCAAATTTTATAAATACTCTTCCTTGCTTTTTAGTTTTTTTATACTTGTGCTTATTTTTAAATTTTTTTGTGAATTTTTCAAAATCTTTAAGAAATCTTTAATAAGTCATCTTGCATTATTTAGCGGCGTTGCCGAATGTATATATACTTTTCTTTTGGATTTTTTATTTATTTTTAGATCTAAAATTTTTTTCCAAAATTTCAGGATTTGTTTTTTTGCGGTGTTGCCAAATTTCTAAATATCACAAATCTTGAGAATTTTTTAAAATCTTAGTAAGTCATCTTGCAATATTAAAGGATGTTGCCAAGTTTACAAAAATTTACAAAACTTTAGGATAAATTTATATATCGTCGCCTTCAGGAGAAAATCACGTAACTCCACATTTTCATTAAAATTGTATTTTAGTGGCATCTGTTAGATAAAACTGTAACTAATTTATATGCAAGTTACAGAAGTCCTAAAATAAACCGTTAATTTTAAATTTAGAAAAAGAAATATACGTATCTCCAATCGTGGAGGAGCGTCCAGGGAATAATGCCTAACTCCAATATACAAATCAGTGCCATTGACAAGTATAAGTTATTGCCTAGTTATTTTTTCTGTATGTAAGTATGAAAGATTGTATAGTGTGTAAAGTTAAGGTACCATGAATAATTTAAGGTTACTTTTATTAACATAAAGTACATATTGGAGATACGTAATTTTCCATTAAACAATTTTTTGGCGGTAATGTGGAGATACACCAATACACCTTTAATATGTTTTTCTTTCCTCCTGTAAAATTTTACAACATGGAGTTAAGCAATTTTCTCCTGAAGGCGACGATATATACCCTATAGGAATTGTTTGCAGTTTTTGCAACGTTGCCAAATTTCCAACAACTCCCAGCATCTGGTATTTTTTGTAGCGGTGTTGCCGAATTTATATATACTTTTATTTTGCTTTTTTATACCTTGTTTAGATTTTAAAAAGTCTTTTCCAAAAATTCAAAGAACCTAATTTTTTGGTGGTGTTGCCAAATTTCTAAAATCATAAAACCAGAACCCAGGAATTTTTTGCAACGTAAACTCCCAGCAACTGGGATTTTTTAATTTGTTTTTTTTTGCGGTGTTGCCAAATTTGTTAAAAAATCTCTGAGCATGGGTATTTTTTAAAATCTTTAGAATACCTTTAGTAAGTCTTCTTGCCCTATTTAGCGGTGTTGTCGAATTTATATAGGTATACTTTTCTTTTGCGTTTTTTATACTTTTTATACTTTGTTTATATTTAAAAAATTCTTTTCCTAAAATTTAAAGAACCTAGGATTTTTGTTTTTGTTTTTTGCGGAATTTTTTTTAAATACCATTCATCTTGCATTATTTGGCGGTTTTACCAAATTTTTAAGTATTGCATTTTTAATTTTTTATCCTTTTTATTTTTAACTTTTTTTACAAAAAATTCATAGAAACCAGGAATTTTTTGCAACGTTGCCAAATTTACAAAACTCCCAGTGACTGGGATTTTTTTATTTAATTTTTTTGCGGTGTTGCCAAATTTGTTAATAATCCTAGAATTGGGGAATTTTTTTAAATCTTTAGGATACCTTTAGTAAGTCGTCTTGCACTATTTAGCGGTGTTGTCGAATTTATATATACTTTTCTTTTGCGTTTTTTATGTATAAGTATAGGTATACCTTTTTTTAGATTTATAAAATTCATTTTCCAAAAATTTAAAGAACCTAGGATTTTTGTTTTTTGCGGTGTTGCCAAATTTCTAAAAACCTAAAACTTTTAAAATCTTTAGGATACCCTATAAGTCATCTTCCAATATTAAAGGTTGTTGCCAAGTTTACAGAACCTGGGAATTTTTTAAAATCTTTGGGATAAATTTATGATTTTTTGCAACGTTGCCAAATTTCCAAAAACTGTGTTTTTGCGGTGTTGTCAACTGGGGAATTTTTCAAAATTTTTAGGATACCTTTATTAGATTTAAAAAAATTATTTTCCAAAAATTCGAAGAACGTAGGATTTTGTTTTTTTGCAGTGTTGTCAAATTTTTAAAAATCACAAAACTTGTTTTCAGGATGACATAGATCCAAAGTTCAAATCTTCAAATGAAGATTTTGGACGCTTGCAAGAAACTTTCACCGATAAACTTGACCAGGTGGAGCAAAATTTTGTAAAACAATTGGAGGATTTACAAAAAACTTACGAAGCAAAAATCGAATGCATCCAAGTCGATAAAGAAATATCTATCAAGGAAAAAGATAATGAAATCATTGCTCTAAAAGCCGCCATAGAAACTGAATGCGCTAGGTAGACACTTGTGCGCAATATTCTAAAACTACTTACCAAATTTGAATATTCCAACTCAACTGCTTCAATAAATAAAGCTTCTGTGCTGCTCACTTTCATTTGTTTATTTTTGACAGTTAAAACAAAAGTGAAACGTCACTTTGACAGATACATAACCTAAAAATGTTTTTAGAATGAACAACGAGATAACATCTTTAAGAGCGAAGTTTTCAGAAAGCGTGAATTTGTGCTGTAACAACAAAATTGATTTTCTTCAGAGATGCATTAAAAAAATGGATAATCTGTTTCATAGGTCGGAAAAAGAGTACATAAACCAAGTGAAACGACTCAAACGTCAATTGGATAACAAGGAAAAATCAATGCTTGTCAGTGTGTTTACAATTTTTTTGTTGTAATTTTAAACTGTTGTTTTAGATGTTTTTGAAATCTCAAAAAGTAGGAGTGATGTCAAAAGCTTCAGCCGACACGCAGGAGCATTTCGATGTTATGGTGAACTATTTGGAGAGCAAATACGCCAAAATGTTCGAAATTCAGGCCCACACGTATACGGAAAACCTCACTAAGCAGGACAGATACATAGATTATTTGAAAAAAATGTTGAAGAAAAACGCCATTTATTTCGAAGACCACAGCGACTGAACTCTGTATTTTATAAAATAAAGCATCATTTTACAATTAAACCCAATCTCGTTAATATATTATAAAATCGCGTTACTTTAATCGAATTTCAAGTCATTGGCGCCACTGGTCAGTTCTTTCTTTGCCGTCGAGGTGGCAGCACTGGCGCGATTGTTAAACATGGCGAGGTCGAGGAAATGTTGCTAGTGATGTTGTGACAATAATTTCGTAGTTTTAAAAATGTCAGGTGTACCATCGAATAGGCGAAATGGTGCACAGAAGATCCGCCTTACAAGTAAGTAAAAATAAACGCGATTTTGACGTTTGTGAGTCGGTGATTTAATAAATCACACAACTGTCAAACAATATGGCCCCTGTGATTGCCAAGACCTCCCTCGACTTTTAATTTGTGATGTAATTATTAATTAAATTTTGTCGTTTTCAGTACTGTGCGCTAGGAACCTGGTCCGCAAAGATTTATTTCGTAAGTACAAGAAATTTGCGTGCGTTAAAACAAATGTAAAAGTGTTTTTTTCGCAGGTTTGCCAGACCCCTTCGCAAAAATAACAGTCGACGGCAGTGGTCAGTGTCACTCGACTGAAACAGTGAAAAACACACTCGATCCAAAATGGAACTCGCATTACGACTTGTATATCAGCAAAACAGACTCAATTACGATATCAGTGTGGAACTACAGAAAAGTGCAAAAAAAACAGGGCAGTGGTTTCTTGGGTTGTGTTAAAATTGTGCATTCGTTGATACAAAGGCTTAAAGATACAGGATGTAAGTAATAACTATTTTTTATGCAGTACTGTTAAAAAGAAATGCATGGCAAACTTGGTTAATAATACACTTAAATGTCATTACGGTTGTCATACAATATTATGTTGCTTATAAGAAATTGTATGGCTACTAAATTATGTAGGTTATTTTTTTTTCACTGTACCTAATCCTATACTTAATTTTATCAGTAAATTTAGGTTTATTGGCTTTGGCTGATAAAATCAATTGTTTAAATAAAGTAGGGTTTTTCGGAATGCAAATTATTTTAATCTTTAATTCAAAGTTCAAATTTTACTGATCATATTTTGCATACTTTAACATTTGAATGCTGTCAAATAATTGTGGTTATGTACCTGTCAGTTTAACGCTGATTTCGTCTTATTTTCTGAAAATTATACATTATATTACTTAGACTGGGCCAAAAAAATCGACTATTTTTTTTTGGAAAGTATATTAAAAATATTATTTGGGGTGACAAAAAAAAATTATGGTAAAAGTTAGAGTCCATAATATTAATAGGTATTAAGAGGTCTATCATCGCAATTTTAGATTTTTTTTCCTGAGCGAGTTTTTGTCTCAGAACTCCCAAATCATTGAGTTTAACAAAATTGACTTAAGAATATTTTTTGAAGAAAATTGAATGCTCTACAAAAAAGGTTTGATTGGAATTTCCCGTCAAAACGAAATTTTAACCTTGAATAACTTTTGATTGAGTGAATTTAGCCAAAAATGTTAAGAGGCTTTTTTTGTAAAGCATTTGATTTCCCATAAGAATATGTATCGGTTTTTTATGGGTACTGATTTTTACATGAATTACAAAATTCCAATTTAAAAGATCAAAATGTAAAACTATACCAATTTTTAAGGCATGATTTTAAGGAAACGGTTCATCTGACGGAAAATTTCACTTTAACCTTTTTTGTAGAGCATTTAATTTTCTTAAAAAAATATTTTCAAGTCAATTTTGTTAAACTCAATGGTTTGGGAGTTCTGAGACAAAAACTTGCTGAGGAAAAAAAAATTAAAATTGCGATGATAGACCTCTTAATATTAATATTATGGACTCAAACTTTCACAATAATTTTTTTTGTCATCCCAAACCATATTTTCAATATACTTTTCAAAAAAAAATAGTAGATTTTTTTGGCCCAGTCTAATATACCTATGTATTTTTATGTATAAATGTCTTCATTTATAGCACAAAAATACATAAATTTCATTATTTTTAGAAAATATTCATAAATTAATAGACATGCAACAATATAGATGACATATTTTTGTAGGAAATTCTAGGCTTTTCACAAAAGTTCTTTTACGGATTTATTTAAAAAATCCATTTAATTTAAATCATTTAAATAATGAAGGAGGTCAATGTTTGAAAAAAAAATAAAAATAAAATAAAAATGTAATGAATTTTATGAGTTATTTGGGTATCATCTAAATTATTTTTTAAACGATTTAAAAGTACCTATATATTTTTTCTTCCTACAAAAATTTTTCTTGTGTATTGGGACATGTCCATTAATATCTAAGTTATAAAGTTTTTATTATGTAAAAAATGCTTTCATTTTGACCTCAGATATCATGATAGAAGTTTAACACCTGGTAAATTTTCCGATAACCTTTCATTAACACCCTGTATACAGACATATAAAGAAACTAAACCAATTTGAGTAAACAATATAACACTTAACCATATGGTTTTCTATTTTTTCCCACCATTTATTTTAAAACAGGTGGTGAATGTAAATGATGAAGAAATTCTGTTAAAATTAGTCATTATTGGGAATGCTTCCTGTACTTTGTGAATCTATAAAGTTTATTATTTTAATTAATTAATTTTTTGGTTTTGCACCAATAATCTACAAGCAGATTTATACCTGTGTAATACTTATTTCCTTTTAACTTTGTCACAATGGCTTGATTTTACCTGACTTGTAGACACATTTTTGGAATTATTTTTTTAGCGTAAAATAAAATATGTTTGAAATCGATTTTATAGCTTATACCTTGGTTTTATACTAATTAAAATATAATAATTATATGTTGTACTGTAGAATCACCCATGGAATGTTTGGATGAAATTCATATATAATACTTTATTTTTAAATTTAAAACGATAACAATCGTTTTTATCTACCCCTTATGAACAGTTGGTTAAAATGAATAATTTATAATTTCTATTTATTTTCATTACGCACATGATCATAATAATAATAAATTAGACCACACAATATGTATGTGGGCTTTTAATTAATGAAAATACTAATGCATATATAAGAGTTTTATTTCATTTTAGTGTTTCACATATGTACATATTTTTTTTACGCCCCAGTAAAGAAAACAATTTCGCAATGTGTGATGCAATTAGCAGAATTTTACGTCTTTTGCAAAAAACATACTATGAAATATTGAAAAAAACTCAAAAACTAAAAAATGTAAAAAAACGCGTAGTTTTAGCAAAAAATGTTATGTGACATCAACTTTGTTATTTTATCCTTTAAGCCTGTAAAAAAATCAAAAATTTGGACTGGGCTGATTAAAATACTCACTGCGTTCTAAATTTTAACAAAACTAAATGATTTGTCTTGAAATTCAAGTTTTTATTCCAAATTTATTAAAGTTTTCATTATCGTCATATTAAAACGTGCATTCAACTGCTAAACTAACCGTAAATTAAATCTGTGCCAAACAATTAATCTTAATTTTCGTTTTTCTGAAAATCACCTGTTTTATTGAAGCAAAATTGCGTATTTTATTACCGTAATTTTGATGTGCTATTATTAAACCAATTAATGCGAAATGATTTTGTTCAAAAAGGCGAAAATCCTATGTTGAGGGATCTTTGTTGTTTTTTTTATGAGGCCGGACACTGAACGTCCGGTGTATGCAACCCCGAAACTTGTTTTTCAAATTATCATATGCATCGCTGACCCAGATTTTACCATGTCATATGGTTTAATAATGAATCTGATGATCGATTCTCAACATCTTTTTTAAAGACTAACTAAAAATAATTTTTTGTGAAAAAAATAATTATAAAAGTTGTACCTAGATCTTAAAAATATCAATAAATAATATAAAAAGTGTTAATAACAAAAAATAAAAAAAATTTGATAAACGCAACTTATATATTTCTACAAAGCGACATCTATACGTAAATAAAGTAACCATCCTAATAAACATTTTTGACGTAATTTTCACCATTAACATTGCCCGTTATTATTGTAATTAAACTTAACAATTATTGATACCTACTTTAAAATATTAAAATAGCCTCAAAATATAATTATGTTAAGAAAATATGTTATCCTTTGATTTTTTTATTATATAAATTCTTGTACATTTAAGTAAAGAAAAAAAATTTTGTTTATTTGGGGGTGTTATTTAACACTAAAAGTGGGCAGTTTGATTTTTTTAAATAAGCCCTTAAAAAAGAAAAAAAATGGTCCCCTGGGTTACAAATTTACTAACATATTCTAAAAATGTTAAATCATTTTGAAAATGAGTCATTTTCAAGAAGCACCCGCTTTCAGGAAAATGAAGATCAATTTTTTTTTTGCTTAAATTGACTTTTGGTTGGATTTTTATAAATGTTTAGAGTTTTGTTTACTTACATTTAAGACAGGCAGTGCACTTTTTAATTTTTTTTACGTTTTTTTCAGAAAAATGTGTTTAGCTAGCTTTATATATCTCCACTCTGTTACCAATATAAAATCCAAAATTTAATTCAATAAAAAAAGTTGTTATAAAAATAATTTGAAATAAAATGTACTTAGTTCACAAACTTTTGACTCCAATTTTTTATTTTATTTTGTATTAAAAATTGTATGCTTTTTTTTAAATAAGTATGTTCGTTAAGTTACTTTTTAAAAGAAACCATTCCGATTCTTTGTTAAAAAAACAATACCATTAATATTTTCTTTTAGTCACTGTATTAGTGAGTTAAACTCTAATTTATAAACACGTATTACCAAGTGATAAGTGTATAAAAATGATTTTAAGTATTTTTTTTAACAAAAACTAAAAAAAGTAACGAAATAGACATCGGTATCACAACGGACTGGGGTACACAAAGGACTTAATCAGATAACGTAAAAAAGAAATAGGGTGGTACGATTTTAGAGTTATGCATAAACAAAATCCCTTGTAGTGGTGCTCACTTGCAGAATAACAACTTAGATTTCTAAATTGTAGACACCCTTTTTCTTTGACTATAAGCTGGTGAAGGTCTCTTTTAGTACTTGTATATTGCGTGGAATTTTCCCTTGGATATAATCTATATCATGAGTTGTAATCACAAATAATTTTAAATTGGTTTATCATAAACTACTTTTAATAAAAGCGACGGTAAATATCCACTTAGTTGTCGAAAAATTGTATTGCGTTACCCTAAATTCCATTGCGTTACCATAAGGTAACATAATGGACTCGATAACGAAGTGGAAAAAGTTTTGTGAAACCATATTTAAAAAATAATAAGACATTACAGTCATTAATTACTCTCAATGAGCTTTAGTGCCCTAAAATAAACATAAAAATGAAAAATAGTATTTTTCTTAACTTATTTTTATTATTTTTTTGAGTAACTTAGCGGACAAACAATTATTACATTCGCGTTACCCGCACCTGTTTCAACCGATATCTTTTTCCTGATTGAATAAATAAATTGGGTAATGTGTACGTCCGAACATCATTTCTTGATCACGTGAGTGCCAAAAAAGTTGCCATATATATATATGTTTTTTTTTAATATTCTATCGGAAACGCGACGGACGTAAAGCAACGGAAAAACGGGAAAAAATGTCTGGGACATGAGTCAAATTTAAAAAAAGTAGATTAAAGTTAATTATTTTATATATAAATTGTTTACTGTATTAACTAAGGATGTTGTGGATTGCTATAAAGCAACACAAAGTTCTGGTTATTCAATATTAAAAAAAAACATGTATGTCAGTTTTATAAAACGCTAATGGGACATGCGAAAATGTGTGTTTCACAAGTTTCAAAATTAAAAAAAAAATATTCTGAAATAATTCAACAAACATTTTCTGAAAGAGTTTACTAAGGGCTTGTTAGGCTTTCACTTGGTTTTTAAATCAATAAGATCCGATAATTTTTAACAAAGTTATTGGAATTCAAACTTACGGATAGCGGAAGGCGGGTGTTTTTTGAAAACGACCCAAATATATTTTTTTGCTTGTTAATATTCCTTTTAAGGTTTTATTTTCACTGGGATTTGTTTAAAAAAAACATAAATTTTTTATTCATAAAAAAATGTTGAGTACAAAACTAAGTTAGACCAAAAACTATGTTCTATTTCTGATAATTTATGTATTTTTAATATATTTTCTGTATTTAAAAAATGTTCATTAAAAAAGTTTGTTTAAGAAATTTTCTTTTAATGCATATTAAAAACGTTTTTTCTCGATTTTTTATATTTGTCCAATTTAACGAGCAAAATAAATAATAATAAAAAGTTTTAGTTATTAGTAATATTAATAAAATAATGATAAAAAGTCAATATAAACATTGTTTCGTTGAACTACCAAAAAAATTTTTCCAGCTTCTTTGAGGCAAAATATATTGACTGGGAAAATTACTATTAAAAAGGTGGAGGACATAATTTTAAATTTGCTACGTACCGTCAGAAATAGAAAAGGTGAAAGGTCGAAAAAAAAAATGTTTTTAAAACTTTCCTATAAGTTTATTATTATTTAAAAAATATATTATAATTTATTTCATTGAAATTGTCCCCTGGGTCACACAATATGTGATCCAGGAGACGTGTGACCCAGGGGAAAAAATGTATGTTTTTAGAACATAACCTCTTTACCGTTTTAAAGATAAAAAATTGTGTTTTTGCCCTTAAAACCGTTACTAGGATACTTACTTTTGAGAATCAAACAAGTCCAACTGGTAGCTTTAAGTACTACTTTTTATTACTGTTACAAAGGAGAATGCACAGTTTTGCCACGCTGGTGTAAAAAATACAAAAAAACGTGTTGTGGCTTCAAGATAGTTCAAAACACCATTTCCTACTAAAATCCGTTACCAAATGCATTGCCGCAAGGGGGCAAAAATATTACCACAAATCGGCTTTTTCTGTAATATTTGGAATATATTCTCAACTACCTATATAAAAAAAGGAGGAGATTTTTAAATAGCATTAAGTAGTGAATATTATTGCAAGTGGAACAGCTACTTTTCTGTACTGTTGGGGAAAGTTTAATTTTTTTTATTGCTTTAAATTTAAAATTTTGCTAATATACAGTTGCTAAAAACACTTAAACCAATTTAAAGTTCCAAATGGCGTTAAACACAATTTTTTATAAAATACTAAAGTTTTTTATTTTTAATTTGGCATTAAATTTGTGTAAATTACTGAGTTACATAATTCGTGTTAAAAGATCGTTTTCTTCGACTTGCAGATCAATGTTTGGACTTGGGCAAGGCCGCACAGGACGACACGGAACCCGTCCGAGGTCAGATTATCCTGTCGCTGCTGTCCAGGGACGGACCGTGCGGCGGAACGCCTTTGGCGATAGTGGGGCCCCTGGGAGACCTGAGGGCGCCCGGTCACCACGAAAATTCCACCGCGACCGACGAGGAGCTGCCCGACGGCTGGGAGGAGAGGAGGACCCAGAACGGGAGGTTGTACTACGTCAATCATAACACAAGGTAATGAGGTTATTTTACGAAAAATTCTTTGACGTTTTTAATTCAGTTTGATCTAGCGTGCGCATAAGTAAGTGACGACTGCAGTGGGAAGGGTGAAAATTTTAAAAATCTTTTGTCCTTGTCTTGTCACTCTTGCCTTTCTTCATTATCTTGTCATTTTTGCTCTTCATTTTATCTTGTTCTTCTATCTTAATGCCATTTTATCGTGTAGTTATCATTTAACGATTTTATTTTGTCCTTTTTTTGATTGTCCCCATTTTACAATATTATCTTGTCGTCATTGCAACTTATAGTCATTTTATCTTGTCGTTAATTTGGATTGTGTTTGTTATTTAAAGATTTTATCTTGTCATTTTTGATCTTCATTTTATCTTTTCATATTTGCTTGTTTTCATTTTATCTTGTCGTTATTTTAGATTGTCCTCATTTTACAATATTATCTTGTCGTCCTTTTAACATGGAGTCATTTTATCTTGTCGTTTTTTATTGTGTTTGTCAGCTTGTCTATAATTAAAGATTTTATCTTGTCATTTTTGCTTTTTATTTTATCTTGTCATATTTGCTTGTTTTCATTTTATCTTGTCGTTATTTTAGATTGTCCTTATTTTTTGATTTTAACTTGTCATTTTAGATTGTCCTCATTTTACAATATTATCTTGTCGTCATTTTAACTTGGTGTCATTTTATCTTGTCAGCTTGTCTATAATTAAAGATTTTATCTTGTCATTTTTGATCTTCATTTTATCTTGTCATATTTGCTTGTTTTCATTTTATCTTGTCGTTATTTTAGATTGTCCTTATTTTTTGATTTTAACTTGTCATTTTAGATTGTCTTCATTTTACAATATTATCTTGTCGTCATTTTAACATGGAGTCATTTTATCTTGTCGTTTTTTTATTGTGTTTGTCGGCTTGTCTATAATTAAAAATGTATCTTGTCATTTTTTCTTTTTATTTTATCTTGTCATATTTGCTTGTCTATATTTTAGATTTTCCTTATTTTATGATTTTATCTTGTCGTAATTTTGGTTTAAATTTATTTTGGCTTGTTTTTTTTAGTGTCATTTTATCTTGTCGTTATTTAAGATCGTCATCATTTAACGGTTTTATTTTTAGATTGTCCTTATTTTACAATATTATAATAATAATAATAATATTTATTTCCAAAAACGACAATTCACAAAATTGTATAGGAAAACGTCTAAAATATAATATAAAATACATATAGAATTTTAAACATTTACATATTGTTAAAAAAAAACATATATAAGCATAACAGGATAAAATTGTAGTTATTGTTCAAAATATTCTTCAGTAGAATAAAAACCTCTCTCTTTTAGATACGAGGATACAGCATTTACGAAAGTTATTTAATTTTATAATATTACTAGGTAACTTGTTATATAATTTGCTTGTCTTTATTTTATCTGGTCGTTATTTAGATTGTCCTTATTTTATGATTTTATCTTGTCTTTATTTCACCTTGTTTTTCTATTTTAATGTCCTTTTATCTTGTCTTTATTTAAGATCGTCATCATTTAATGGTTTTATTTTGTCATCATTTTAGATTGTCCTCATTTTACAATACTATCTTGTCGTTATTTAGAATTGTGTTTTTTTGGCTTGTCTGTATTTAAAGTTTTTATCTTGTCATTATTGCTCTTTATTTTATCTTGTCATATTTGCTTGTTTTCATTTTATCTTGTTATTTTAGATTGTCCCTATTTTATGATTTTATCTTGTGGTCATTTTGGCTTGTTTTTATCTTAATGTCATTTTATCTTGTCCTTGTTTTAGATCATTATTATTTAACGGTTTTATTTTGTTATTTTCTCTTGTCTTTACTTTATCTTGTCGTTACTTTAGATTGTCCTTACTTTAGGATTTTATTTACCGTCATTTGGCTTGTGCTTACTATAGCTTGTCATTTTATCTTGATATTTTAAATCCCCGTCATTTTGCGATTTTATGGTTTGTCTTTATTTATTTATTTTAGATATTAACACTAATAATAAATAATTTATTATCTTAAATGATATAATATATTTCTTGAAATTATAATATTAACATTTTTTTGTCGATATTATGGTTAATAGGAATTCCACGAATTTATTTATCTATTTTAATAAATATGTTTCATATCTGAAGTCATTACTATATTTGTTGATCCATTTTTTATTTTATTGCTGGTTTTTGTTAATTTATGTACCTATATTTTTGTGATGATTCTTTAATAATAATAAATATTAATAAAAACACTTATAAAAAAACCTCCAATAATTACAGATCAACGCAGTGGATCAAACCGCAACTAAACGGCAAAACCCGCCCGGTAAACAGGACCGCCCGGGTCAACAACAACAACAACACAAACTGCCCGGTGGAAAACCACAACCTCGAAACGAACAACCGCGTGGCGGAACAAACTTCGAACAACAACCCGGTGGTCGAACAGCCGCCGCGGCAACCGCCGCGGCAGCTTCAGCTGCAGCACGCGGTCGCCGCCCCCGCCAGTCCGGGTTCCAGCACGTCGCCCGTGGTCAGTCCGCAGAAGGACAGCGCCCCGACGACGCCCATGCGCGCCGCCCCCGCCGTGCCCGCGACGCCGCCCGCCGTCTCGCCGCAGACCGAGAGAACGTTCGCGCCCACCTCGCCCACCACCACGGCGGTGGTGCCGGCGCCCAACAGCGTCGCGCCCACCTCTCCAACGTTGACTAGCGGTAAGCACTTTTACGCATTTTTATTTTTACTTCCCATTTATATATATATATATATATTAAAATCCAGGAACTGACAAGATTTTATCTTGTCTTCATTATCTTGTCGTTGTTTTTAGCCTGACATCATTTGAGATTTTATTTTGGCTTATTTTTATTTAAGCTAAGACTTTATTCATCATTATCATCATCATTCATAATTTTTGCTTGTTTTCATTATCTTGTCGTTATTTTTAGCTCCGATCTTAATTCAAGATTTCAAATTTTCGTCATTTTATCTTGTCGTTATTTTAGCTCATTTTTAGATTTTATCTTTTCACGTTGACTTTTCTTCATTTTTACTTTTTGTCATTCTTTATTAAGGTGATTTTATCTTGTCATCTACATTTTAGATTTTAAATTGTCATTTCTGCTTGTCTTTTTATTATTTTTAACCTGACCGAAATTAAGATTTTATATTGTCGTAATTTTGGCTTGTTTTCATTTTTGCTTGTCATTCTTTATTAAGCCCAGCTTTTTATTTAAGTTAAGATTTTATCTTGTTTTCATTATCTTGTCGTTGTTTTAGCCTGACCTCATTTTAAGATTTTATATTGTCATCATTTTGGCTTGTCATTCTTTATTAAGGCCATTTTATCTTGACACATTTTAACATTTTATCTTGTCATTTTTGCTTCTTTTCATTATCTATATTATTTATATTGTCGTCATTTTTGCTTGTCATTCCTTATCAAGGCTAATAAAATTATCTTGTCATCATTTTAAGGTTTTATCTTGTAACTTTTGGTTGTCTTTATTTTCTTGTCGTTACTTTTAGCCAGAACTTATTTCAAGATTTTATATTTTCGTCATTTTTAGATTTTATATTGTCACGTTGACTTGTCTTTTTTACATGTCGTCATTCCATCTTTTCATCATTTTAAGATTTTATATTTTCTTTATTTTTGCTTGTCATTTAACCTCATTGCCAATTTTTTTTTGTCATGGCTTTTCTTTATCCTATATTAGCTTATTCTTGTCGTTATTTTAGCTTGTCCTTATTTCATGATTTTATCTTGCCATTTTGACATGTCTTCATTATCTTGTCGTTATTTTAGCCTGTCCTCATTTTAAGATTTTATATTGTTGTCATTTTGACTTGTTTTCATTTTTGCTTGTCATTTTATTTTATTGCCAATTTAGCTTCTCCTCATTTCAAGATTTTATCTTGCCATTTTGACTTGTCTTTATTATCTTGTCGTTATATTAACCTGTGATCATTTTAAGATTTTATATTTTTGTCATTTTGGCTTGTCATTTAAGCTTATTGCCGATTTCTCTTTTTGTTTTATCCTTATTTTAAGATTTCTATATTAACGTCATTTAAACTTATCGCCATTTTATCTTGTCGTCATTTTTAAAATTTATCTTGTCATTTTTGCTCGTCTTCATTTTCTTGTCGTTATTTTAGCCTGTCCTCATTTTAGGATTTTATATTGTCGTCATTTTGGCTTGTTTTCATTTTTGCTTGCCATTTAAGCTTATCGCCATTTTATCTTGTCGTTATTTTGGCTTGTCATTTTTAAAATTTATCTTGTCATCATTTTAATATTTTATCTTGTCATTTCCGCTCGTCTTCATTATCTTGTCTTTATTTTTAGCCTGACCTCATTTTAAGATTTTATTTTGTCTTGACATTTAAGCTTATCCTTATTTTTTAAATTTATCTTGTCATTTTAATATTTTATTTTTCCATTTTGCTTGTCTTTGTTATCTTTTCGTTATTTTAGGTTGTACTGTATTTATTATTATTTTGGCTTGTCTATTATATCTTGTCGTCATTTTACACAATCGTGTATTCGTTTTATCTTGTCGTTATTTTAACCTAACATTATTTAAGCTTGTCATTTTTATATACCATAATGAATTTTAAAATTAATACTTTTTATTTCTATTTTCTAAAATTTTCCAGAAAGACTGGTAATTTTTTATCCCTTAATAACATTTTAGTATATTGCAGTTTATCAAAGATAAACAAACGTTATTACACAATTATATAACTTAATGCCTATTAATATGAACAAAACATTGTAAAAGTTAAAATAAACACCATATTAATTTAATACATAGTTTGTATATTACTTAATTTTCTTAAGAAGGAAAATGTGCTGATTTAAATGTAATGTTTATTTATACAGTTTAATATTATCAAAGCAAATAATTACACATTTATTTTTATTAAGCTGCTCCCCAAACAAACGGCGTTGTCAGCCCGCAGTCCGGTTCGAGGGCGGTGCTGAGGGAGAGGCGGCAACGCGGCGGCGGCAACGGCGCCGCCGCCGAGGAGAGGCGGGACGGCTCGAGCCGCCGACGAGCCGGTCGAAACAGAAACAGCCTGCACGCGGCGACGCCGCAGCAGCCGCCCCCCGCCGCCGCCGCCGCCCCCCCGACGGCGAACGGCATCACTTTGACGGGGAAAATGGAGCTGCCGCCCGGATACGGTAAGAAAATGCAATCAAAATTAAAAATTCTTTTAAAATTTGTATCAGTTTGTCAGGGTGTCAAAAACAAAATTTAGAATGTCAATTTTCAAGACTTACTTGCTTGAGAATATAGTAAACACATTTTATTAAAACCACATTTTAGAATAGTTGTAGTAATGTATAACCGAAGAAAAAAAAAATTTTAATTTAAAAAAAAAATTGTTGATTTTCTCGCGAACCGCTCATCTGATTTTGATGATTTTCTTTTTTAATGTAGGTTGATTCTATAGTGACATTTTTATTTTGATTCTTAAATTTCAACCATAGAATAGTAACTAAAGAATCAACCTACAATTAAAAAAAAAAATCATCAAAATCAAAATTAAAAACAGATTTTAAAGTAATAAAAAAACGATTTAGAACGTCGAAAATATTATAGAATGTCGAAAAACGTTATAAAATTCTAAAAACATACATTAGATTGTCAAAATTATCTAAGAATGTCAAAAAACATAGAAAGTAAAAAAACACATTTTAGAATTTTTATAAAACACATTTTATGATATGACGTGAAAATTATATTAGTTTAGTATGTTAAAAACATAATTTAGAATGTTAAAAAACAGATTTTAAAGTAATAAAAAAACGATTTAGAACGTCGAAAATATTCTAGAATGTTTAAAATACATTTTAGAATGTCAAAAAACGACGATTTAGAACGTCGAAAATATTATAGAATGTCGAAAAACGTTATAAAATTCTAAAAACATACATTAGATTGTCAAAATTATCTAAGAATGTCAAAAAACATAGAAAGTAAAAAAACACATTTTAGAATTTTTATAAAACACATTTTATGATATGACGTGAAAATTATATTAGTTTAGTATGTTAAAAACATAATTTAGAATGTTAAAAAACAGATTTTAAAGTAATAAAAAAACGATTTAGAACGTCGAAAATATTCTAGAATGTTTAAAATACATTTTAGAATGTCAAAAAACGTTATAAAATTCTAAAAACATACATTAGATTGTCAAAATTATCTAAGAATGTCAAAAAACATAGAAAGTAAAAAACACATTTTAGAATTTTTATAAAACACATTTTATGATATGAGGTGAAAATTATATTAGTTTAGTATGTTAAAAACATAATTTAGAATGTTAAAAAACAGATTTTAAAGTAATAAAAAAACGATTTAGAAATTTGTATTAGTTTGTCAGGGTGTCAAAAACAAAATTTAAAATGTCAATTACTTACTTGAGAATATAGTAAACACATTTTAGAATATTAAAACCACATTTTAGAATAGTTGTAGTAATGTATAACCGAAGTAAAAAATTTTTTAAAGTTAAATAAAAAAAAATTGGCAACAATTTTAATGTTGATTTTCTCGCGAACCGCTCATCTGATTTTGATGATTTTCTTTTTTAATGTAGGTTGATTCTTCAGTAACGATTCTATAGTGACATTTTTATTTTGATTCTTAAATTTCAACCATAGAATAGTAACTAAAGAATCAACCTACAATTAAAAAAAAATCATCAAAATCAAAATTAAAAACAGATTTTAAAGCAATACAAAAACGATTTAGAACGTCGAAAAAATATTTTAGAATGTCGAAAAACGTTATAAAATTCTAAAAACATACATTAGATTGTCAAAATTATCTAAGAATGTCAAAAAACATAGAAAGTAAAAAAACACATTTTAGAATTTTTATAAAACACATTTTATGATATGACGTGAAAATTATATTAGTTTAGTATGTTAAAAACAGATTTTAAAGTAATAAAAAAACGATTTAGAACGTCGAAAATATTCTAGAATGTTTAAAATACATTTTAGAATGTCAAAAAACGTTATAAAATTCTAAAAACATACATTAGATTGTCAAAATTATCTAAGAATGTCAAAAAACATAGAAAGTAAAAAAACACATTTTAGAATTTTTATAAAACACATTTTATGATATGAGGTGAAAATTATATTAGTTTAGTATGTTAAAAACATAATTTAGAATGTTAAAAAACAGATTTTAAAGTAATAAAAAAACGATTTAGAAATTTGTATTAGTTTGTCAGGGTGTCAAAAACAAAATTTAAAATGTCAATTACTTACTTGAGAATATAGTAAACACATTTTAGAATATTAAAACCACATTTTAGAATAGTTGTAGTGATGTATAACCGAAGTAAAAATTTTTTTAAATTTAAATAAAAAAAAAATTGGCAACAATTTTAATGTTGATTTTCTCGCGAACCGCTCATCTGATTTTGATGATTTTCTTTTTTAATGTAGGTTGATTCTTCAGTAACGATTCTATAGTGACATTTTTATTTTGATTCTTAAATTTCAACCATAGAATAGTAACTAAAGAATCAACCTACAATTAAAAAATAAATCATCAAAATCAAAATTAAAAACAGATTTTAAAGTAATACAAAAACGATTTAGAACGTCGAAAATATTTTAGAATGTCGAAAAACGTTATAAAATTCTAAAAACATACATTAGATTGTCAAAATTATTTAAGAATGTCAAAAACGCCATTTAGAATGTCTAAAAACATAGAAAGTCAAAAAACACATTTTAGAATTTTTAAAAACACATTTTACGATATGACGTGAAAATTATATTAGTTTGGTATGTTAAAAACATAATTTAGAATGTTAAAAAACAGATTTTAAAGTAATAAAAAAAACGATTTAGAACTTCAAAAATATTCTAGAATGTTTAAAATACATTTTAGAATGTCAAAAAACGTTATAAAATTCTAAAAACATACATTAGATTGTCAAAATTATCTAAGAATGTCAAAAAACATAGAAAGTAAAAAACACATTTTAGAATTTTTAAAAACACATTTTATGATATGACGTGAAAATTATATTAGTTTAGTATGTTAAAAACAAAATTTAGAATGTTAAAAAACAGATTTTAAAGTAATAAAAAAACGATTTAGAACGTCGAAAATATTCTAGAATGTTTAAAATACATTTTAGAATGTCAAAAAACGTTATAAAATTCTAAAAACATACATTAGATTGTCAAAATTATCTAAGAATGTCAAAAAACATAGAAAGTAAAAAACACATTTTAGAATTTTTATAAAACACATTTTATGATGTGACGTGAAAATTATATTAGTTTAGTATGTTAAAAACATAATTTAGAATGTTAAAAAACATATTTTAAAGTAATAAAAAAACGATTTAGAAATTTGTATTAGTTTGTCAGGGTGTCAAAAACAAAATTTAAAATGTCAATTACTTACTTGAGAATATAGTAAACACATTTTACACAATAGTAACTAAAGAATCAACCTACATAAAAAAAAATCATCAAAATCAAAATTAAAATCGTGTCAAATTTATGGTGGTGAAAATATTTTTTTCAATGTAGAATTGAGGACAACCACACAAGGACAAGTTTACTTTTACCACATACCGACGGGAGTGTCGACATGGCACGATCCCAGGATACCCAAAGATTTCACTTCACTTAGTTTTGCTCTCGACCGTTTGGGGCCTTTGCCTCAAGGCTGGGAAATGAGGCAAACCAACACCGGAAGGGTAAGAAAAAAAACCCCAAACAATTTTTTTTTTTTAATTTATTTATTTACCCAAAAAGACCAAAGGTCCATAACAAGTATAATACAGTATAAAAAAAATGTAGTGATTATAACAAATTTGAAATACATTATTTTCTTAATACTCTGTAGTGTTTCTTTCTTCAAATATTAGTTTTTTCACAGCCCACTGAAAAGCGTTGATATTAGGTAGATTCTTTATTTCATTTATTCGTCTTAGATATACTTTGTGGACCACAACAACCGCACCACGCAGTTCACGGACCCCCGCCTCAACACCCACATCCTGAACAACATTTTGCGGCGGTCGTCGCCGCCCGCCGACGGTCCCAACGTCGGCGCGGCCGCCCCCGGCGCCGCCGCCCCCTCCGCGACCGCCCCGCTCTCGGTGATAACGACTGCGGCGGCCGTCGAAGGCGGCAACGTGGGGGCGGCGGCGGCGGTTCAGAGCCCCGCCGTCGTCGTAGCGACGGCCGCGAGCGCCGCCGCCGTTCAGCCGCAGGCGGCGGGGCAGAATGTCGGCCAGCCGGCGAGTCCGAGGGTCAGGGGGCAGGAGTTCGATTTGCCGCAAGGTAGGATACTAATATCATTATTTACAATTTTTATTAATTTTGTTTTAAGTACATTTCGTAAATACTTCTTAAAATGTTAAAAGCCCTATTTTGAGGAAGAAACAATTTTTACTAAAATGAAAACGTTTGAATTCAAAGAGAAGGTTAAAAAAGATAAAATTAAAAAAAAACACCTTAGAATGTTAAAAACACAATTTAGAATGTTAAAGAACGTTATAGAATGTTAAAGAACGTTATAGAATGTTAAAAACACATTTAAGAATGTAAAACAACAGACACAATTGAAAAATATTAGAAAATGTTTAAAACTCATTATATAGTCATAATTATTTTAGAATGTCAAAAACGTAATTTAGAATGTCAAAAATATTATAGAATATTAAAACACATTAGAAAAACACAATTTACTATGCCAAAACACATTTTAGAATGTTAAAAACACAATTTAAAACGTCAAAAAACATTATAAAATGTTTACCAAGCACATTTCAGAGTGCAAAATTGTGTTGAAAACCCAATTTAGAATGTCAAAAAGATATAGAATGTTAAAACACATTTTATAGTGATATCACATTTAAGAATGTAATATTTACCTTAAATACAATTTAAAATGTCAAAAAATGTCTAAAAACCTTTTTAAAACAAAATTTTGAATGTAAAAATTATCTTAAAATGTTCAAACACAATTTAAAATGTCGAAAAACGTTACAAAATTTTAGAAACACATTTTAGGAATGTGAAAATTGCCTTAAAATGTTTCAAATTTTAGTGTTAAAAAATAAGTTTTAGAATGTCAAAAAAAGGAATATTAGTAAAAATTTTACATTATAAAATATTTACAAACCACATTTCAGAGTGTAAAATTACCTTAGATTGTCATTTTAGAATGTTAAAAAAATTCTAATGTTGAAAACGCAATTTAGAATGTGAAAATATATCTTTTCATTCTATAGAATGTTAACACACATTTTATAGTGATATCACATTTAATAATGTAAAATTTAACTTAGCTACAATTTAAAAGTCAAAAAATAAAATGTTTAAAAAACATTATAAATGTGATATTCTAGAATATTAAAATTATCTTAAAATGTTCAAACACAATTTAGAATGTCGAAAAACGTTTCTTAACAAATGTAGAATGTCATTAGAAACAAATTTTTGAATGTAAAAATTATTTTAAAATGTTAAAAAAACGATTTAGAACGCAGAATGTTAAAAAAAATACATCTTAGTAATGTGAAATTTGCCTTAGAATCTGTTGAAAACGCAATTTAGAATGTGAAAAGATAAAGAATGTTAATACACATTTTATAGTGATATCACATTTAATAATATAAAATTTAACTTAGTTAGAATTTAAAATGTCAAAAAATAACATGTTTAAAAAACAATTATCTTAAAATTTAGAATGTCGAAAAACGTTACACATTAAAAACACATTTAAGGAATGTGAAAATTGCCTTAGAATGTCATTTTAAAGTGTTAAAAACACGATTTCGAACGTCAAAAAACATAAAATGCTTAAAAAATGTAGAATGTCATTAGAAACAAATTTTTGAATGTAAAAATTATACACTGCGCGTCAAAATTAAGTCATAATAAGTAAAAAAAAAATTTACTCTAAAACGCCTTATCTTTATGAAATTTTGTATAAAAATACGGTCTTTAACAGCATATTTTTTATTTACATAAAAAATTCTCTAAAAGTTATTTTTAGAACGTTTTATTATTATTAAATGAAAGGGCTTTAAAAATATTTTCTCGAAAATCCCATAAACAGTATATAGTATTTTTATCCAAAATTTTATAAAGATTGGTAAAAGCGTTTTAGAGTTGGATTTTTTTTTACTTGTTATGCGTTAATTTTGACGCCCAGTGTAATAAAATGTAAAAAAAAAACGATGCAGAATGTTAAAAACACATTTTAGGAATGTGAAAATTGCCTTATAATTTTAAAAAACTAATTTTAAAGTGTTAGAAACACAAAAAACATTATGCAGAGCATTAAAAATACCAATTTAATTAAAAAGACAACTGAGAATGTCAAAATCACATTTTACAGTTGCAGTGTTTCATAAATTTTATTATTTAGGTCTATTGAACGAGTCGGAATTTTTGCCGAAATACAAGCGCGACCTGGTGGCGAAACTGAAAGTTTTGAGGGCGGAACTGACGACTTTGCAACCGCAGAGCGGGCACTGTCGGTTGGAAGTTTCCAGGGGAGAAATATTCGAAGAGAGTTATAGGTAAGCAGTGACACAAAAACGTCGACTGAAAGTCTACTAATCGGTTGCTTCCAGACTAATAATGAAGATGCGCGCGAAGGACATGCGCAAGCGGCTGATGGTGAAGTTCAGGGGCGAGGAGGGGCTCGACTACGGGGGGGTGGCGCGCGAGTGGCTGCACCTGCTGTCGCGCGAGATGCTCAACCCGCAGTACGGGCTGTTCCAGTACTCGCGCGACGACCACTACACGCTGCAGATCAACCCCGATTCGTCGGTGAACCCCGTTCACCTCTCCTACTTCCACTTCGTCGGCCGGATCCTGGGCGTGGCGGTTTTTCACAACCACCAGCTCGAAGGCGGGTTCACGTTGCCTTTTTACAAGCAGCTGCTGAACAAGCCGATCATCCTGCAGGACATCGAGGGGGTGGATCCCGAGCTGCATCGATCCTTGACTTGGATGCTGTAAGTACTAACTTTAAACAGGATTATTACACATTTTATTATAGTACCTATTAACATACTTATTTATCAAAGTTTATTTTTTAATGTAAAAATTACTTAAGAATGTCCAAAAATGCGTCTAAATATTTTCAAATGGTAAAAACACATTTTAGAATGTTAAAACAATATTTTAAATTACTAAAAACACATTTTAGAAAGTAAAAACTAGTTAAGAATGTATAAATTACCTATTAGAAACACAAATTAGAGTGTTAAAAACATTTAAAACGTTAAAAAACATAAAAGGTTTAAAACACATGGTAAACAATCTTTATAGAATTCTTAAAACACATTTAAGAATGTAAAATTTACTTTAGAATGTTAAAACCACTATTTATAACATAAAAATTACCTTAGAATGTTAAAAACACAATAAGAATGTCAAAAAACACTATTAACTTAAAATCTCAAAATCACAATTTAGAATGTAAATGTATATTGTGAAGTTTACCTTGAAATGTGTTAAAACACAATTTAAAACATTAAAAAAACAGAATGTTAAAAACACAAATTATAATGTCAAAAAATATTTTAAATTGTTAAAACACATTTTAGAATGGAAAAAACACATTTTAGAAAGTAAAAACTAGTTTAGAATGTATAAATTACCTATTAGAAACAAAATTTAGTATTAAAAACATTTCAAACATCAAAAAAATACAATCTTAATAGAATGCTTAAAACGCATTTAAGAATGTGAAATGTTAAAAAAACTATTTAGAAAGTGAAAATTACCTTGAAATGTTAAAAACGTAATATAGAATGTCAAAAAACATTAAAGAGTGTTTAAAAACGTATTATAGAATGCTAAAAAAACATAAAATATTTCAAAATTACCTTATAATGTCACAAACGCATTTTAAAATCTCAAAAACACAATTTAGAATGTCAAAAATATTACAGAAGATTTAAAAACATATTTTGGAATGCCAAAAAAGATTATAAAATATTAAGAACATTAAGAATTTTCAAAATGACCTTATAATGTTAAAAACACAATTAAGAATGTGAAATTTACCTTGGAATGTGTTAAAAACACAATTTAAAACATTGAAAAACATAGAATGGTAAAAACACATTTTAGAAAGTAATGTGAAAATTACCTTTCAGAAACACAATTTAGAGTGTTAAAACCATTTAAAACGTCCAAAAACATGAAATGTTTTCAACACATTGTAGAATGATACAAACAATCTTTAGAACGTGAAAATTACCTTAGAATGTTAAAAACGCAATTTAGAATGTCCAGAAACATTAAAGAGTGTTTAAACACATTTTAGAATGACAATAAAATATTTCTAAATCGTGTAAAAAAACTTAAAATCTCAAAAAACATAGAAAGTTAAAAACACAATTTAGAATGTCAAAAAACATTATGGAAAATTTAAAAACACAATTTAGAATGTAAAAAAAACTTAAATCTAAAAACACAATTAAGAATGTGAAATTTACCTTAGAATGTGTTAAAACACAATTTAAAATGTCAAAAAACATTATGGATGTTTAAAAACACATTTTGGAATGCCAAAAAAGATTATAAAATATTAGAACACAGATATTTAGAATTTAGAAAAAATTTAAATCTTAAAACCCAATTTAAAATTTAGAAAACATTAGAATCTTAAAACACAATTTATAATGTAAAAAGAATATTATAAATGTTAATTACTGCATTTTAGAATGCCAAAATTTAAACATTATAAAATATTTTTTTTTTATTTAGAATATATAAAAACTAAAAAACTTAAAAAACATAATTTAGAATGTCAAAAAAACACAATGAAAAAAATTACCTGAAAATGTCAAAAACGCAATTTAGAATGTCCAAAGGATTTTATAGAATGTAAAACACAACTTAGAATTTGAAATTTACCATAAAATGTGTTAAAACATTGAAAAACACAATTTAAAATGTCAAAGAACATTATTTAATGTTTAAAAACACATTTTGGAATGCCAAAAAAGATTATAAAATATTAAGAACACAGATTTTTAAAATTACCTCATAATGTCAAAAACGCAATTTAGAAATTAGAAATCATTAGAATCCTAAAAACACAATTTAGAATGTAAAAAAACTTAAAATCTCAAAAACACAATTTAGAATGTTCAAAGAATTTTAAAGAATGTAAAACACAATTAAAAATTTGTAATTTACCTTAGAATGTGTTAAAACACAATTTAAAACATTGAAAACACAAAATTTAAAATCTCAAATAACATTATGTAATGTTTAAAACACATTTTAGAATGTCAAAAAAAGATTAATAAATCCTAATAACACAGATTTTAAAAAATACCTTATAATTTCAAAAACGCAAGAATTTAGAACGTCAAAAAAAAATATTTTTAAAAAAATGTAGAAAGTAAAAAAACTTAAAATCTCAAATAACAGAAAGTTAAAAACTCAATTTAGAATGTCAAGAACGCAATTTATAATGTAAAAAAAAACTTTAAAATCTCAATAACACAATTTAGAGAATGTCAAAAGAATGTAAAACAATTAAGAATGTGAAATTTACCTTGGAATGTGTTAAAAACACAGATTTTCAAAATTACCTTATAATGTCAAAAACGAAATTTAGAATTTAGAAAACATTAGAATCCTAAAAACACAATTTAAAATGTAAAAAGAATATTATAAAATGTTAAAAACCACATTTTAGAAATGCCAAAAAATATATTGAAAATATTTAAAAAAAATTAGAATGTCAAAAAACATTATGAAATGTTTAGAAACACATTTTAAAAAATTACCTTACAATGTCAAAAACTCAATTTAGAATGTAAAAAAAACTTAAAATCTCAAAAACATAATTTAGAATGTCAAAAAAAATTAAAGAATGTAAAACACAATTAAGAATGTGAAATTTACCTTAGAATGTGTTAAAAACACAATTTTAAAATGTCAAAAACATTATAGAATATTTAGAAAACTTTAAAATCTTAAAAACACAATTCAGAATGTCAAAAAAATTTGAAAAAAAAGTAAAACACATTTAAGAATGTGAAATTTACTTTAGAATGTGTTAAAAACACAATTTAAAATGTTTAAAAAACATTTTGGAATGTCAAAAAACATTATGAAATATTTAGAACACAGATTTTCAAAATTACCTTACGTTAATGTCAAAAACGCAATTTAGAATTTAGAAAACTTTAAAATCTTAAAAACACAATTTAGAATGCCAAAAAAATTTTAAAAAAAGTAAAACACAATTAAGAATGTGAAATTTACTTTAGAATGTGTTAAAAACACAATTTAAAATGTTTAAAAAACATTTTGGAATGTCAAAAAACATTATGAAATATTTAGAACACAGATTTTCAAAATTACCTTACGTTAATGTCAAAAACGCAATTTAGAATTTAGAAAACTTTAAAATCTTAAAAACACAATTTAGAATGTCAAAATTTTTTTAAAAAAGTAAAACACAATTAAGAATGTGAAATTTACTTTAGAATGTGTTAAAAACACAATTTAAAATGTTTAAAAAACATTTTGGAATGTCAAAAAACATTATGAAATATTTAGAACACAGATTTTCAAAATTACCTTACGTTAATGTCAAAAACGCAATTTAGAATTTAGAAAACTTTAAAATCTTAAAAACACAATTTAGAATGTCAAAAAAATTTGAAAAAAAAGTAAAACACATTTAAGAATGTGAAATTTACTTTAGAATGTGTTAAAAACACAATTTAAAATGTTTAAAAAACATTTTGGAATGTCAAAAAACATTATGAAATATTTAGAACACAGATTTTCAAAATTACCTTACGTTAATGTCAAAAACGCAATTTAGAATTTAGAAAACTTTAAAATCTTAAAAACACAATTTAAAATGTCAAAAAAATTAAAAAAAAAAAAGTAAAACACAATTAAGAACGTGAAATTTACTTTACAATGTGTTAAAAACACAATTTTAAAATGTCAAAAACATTATACATAGAATGTAATAAAAAAAAAGTAAAACACAATTAAGAACGTGAAATTTACTTTACAATGTGTTAAAAACACAATTTAAAATGTCAAAAAAATTAAAAAAAAAAAGTAAAACACAATTAAGAACGTGAAATTTACTTTACAATGTGTTAAAAACACAATTTTAAAATGTCAAAAACATTATATGTAGAATGTAATAAAAAAAAAGTAAAACACAATTAAGAACGTGAAATTTACTTTATAATGTGTTAAAAACACAATTTTAAAATGTCAAAAACATTATAGAATGTTTAAAAAACATTTTGGAATGTCAAAAAACATTATAAAATACAGAACACAGATTTTTAAAATTACCTTACGTTAATGTCAAAAACGTAATTTAGAAAACTTTAAAATCTTAAAAACACAATTTAGAATGTCAAAAAAATTTAAAAATGTAAAACAATTAAGAATGTGAAATTTACTTTAGAATGTGTTTAAAACACAATTTTAAAATGTCAAAAATATTATAAAATGTTTAAAAAACTTTTTGGAAGGTCAAAAAAACATTATAAAATATTTAGAACACAGATTTTCAAAATTACCTTACGTTAATGTCAAAAACGCAATTTAGAATTTAGAAAACTTTAAAATCTTAAAAACACAATTTAGAGTGTCAAAAAAATTAAAAAAAAAGTAAAACACAATTAAGAATGTGAAATTTACTTTAGAATGTGTTAAAAACAAAATTTAAAATGTCAAAAACATTATAGAATGTTTAAAAAACATTTTGGAATGTCAAAAAACATTATAAAATATTTAGAACACAGATTTTCAAAATTACCTTACGTTAATGTCAAAAACGCAATTTAGAATTTATAAAACTTTAAAATCTCAAAAACAAAATTTAGAATGTCAAAAAAAATGTAAAGAATGTAAAACACAATTAAGAATGTGAAATTTACTTTAGAATGTGTTAAAAACACAGTTTAGAATGTCAACAAATTCTATGGAATGTTTAAAGACACATTATTATTAAGAACACAGATTTTTAAAATTAACTTAAAATTTCAAAAACACAATTTAGGATTTTAAAACTTTAAGTAGACTCTACCACAAGGTAGAACTTTTTCGACATTTTCTCCTTGCGCCAACTAATTTCGTCTCGCTCAGGGAGAACAACATAGACGGCGTGCTGGACACGACGTTCAGCGTGGAGAACAACAGCTTCGGCGCGGTGAAGGTGCACGAGCTGAAGCCGGGCGGCGCCTCGATCTCGGTCACGGAGGACAACAAGCGCGAGTACGTGCGCCTGTACGTCAACTACCGCTTCATGCGCGGCATCGAGCAGCAGTTCCTCGCGCTGCAGAAGGGCTTCGCCGAGCTCATCCCGCCCGCCTCGCTGCGCCCGTTCGACGAGCGCGAGCTCGAGCTCGTCATCTCGGGCATCGGCTCGATCGACGTCGCGGACTGGCGCGCGCACACGCGCCTCAAGCACTGCGCCGCCGACACGCCCGTCGTGCAGTGGTTCTGGCAGGCGGTCGAGTCGTACTCGGAGGAGATGCGCGCAAGGTTGCTGCAGTTCGTCACCGGGTCGTCGCGCGTGCCTCTACAAGGTGAGTGTACTTGTTTTAAAGTGTAGTATCCTGATAAAAAATATACTTAAACTATCTAAGATACTTTCTCTTAGATACTTTTTATATTGGACAGAAAGTTTATTTAACTTTGGAAAAGTATCTTCTAACTTGTATCTGAAAAGGTATCTAAGTTACTAGATACATTCAAGTAATTAAGATACTTTTTAAAGTAACTTAGATAATTTCTTAGAGAAAATTGGAAGAATTCCAGAATGATTCAAAGTAACCTACTTAGTTACTCAAAAGTATCTTAATAAGAATTTAGAAAACATTAGAATCCTAAAAACACAATTTAGAATGTAAAAAGAATATTATAAAATGTTAAAAACATAATTCAGAACGTAAAAAAACTTAAAATCTCAAAAACACAATTTAGAATGTTCAAAGAATTTTAAAGAATGTAAAACACAATTAAAAATGTGAAATGTAGCTGGGAATGTGTTAAAACACAATTTAAAACATTGAAAACACAATTTAAAATGTCAAATACCATTACTTATGTAATGTTTAAAAAACATTTTGGAATGTCAAAAAAAGATTATTAAATCCTAATAACACAGATTTAAAAAAATACCTTATAATTTCCAAAACGCAAGAATTTAGAAAACATTAGAATCTCAAAAACACAATTAAAAATGTCAAAAGAATATTAAAGAATGTTTAAACAATATCAAAAAACATAAAAAGTTAAAAACACAATTTAGAATGTCAAAAAACATTATGGAATGTTTAAAAATATTTTTAAAAATGTATTTTAAAAACATATTTAATAATATAAAACACAACAAACACAATTGAAAATGTCAAAAAACATTATAGAATGTTTAAAAATACATTTTGCAATTCCAAAAAAAAATTTGAAGAACCCACAGATTTTCAAAATTACCTTATAATGTCAAGAAAGCAATTGAATGTAGAAAACATTCGAATCTCAAAAAAACATAAAATATTTCAAAATTACCTTGTAATGTTAATAACGCAATTAAGAATGTAAAATTTACACTAGAATGTTATTAACAATTTAAAATATCATCTCTGCAAGGTGAGTGGGTAGGGAAAATTGGAAGAATTCCAGAATGATTCAAAGTAACCTACTTAGTTACTCAAAAGTATCTTAGTTACTTAAAAGTATTTTAGTTACTCAAAAGTATCTTAATAAGAATTTAGAAAACATTAGAATCCTAAAAACACAATTTAGAATGTAAAAAGAATATTATAAAATGTTAAAAACATAATTCAGAACGTAAAAAAACTTAAAATCTCAAAAACACAATTTAGGATGTTCAAAGAATTTTAAAGAATGTAAAACACAATTAAAAATGTGAAATGTACCTGGGAATGTGTTAAAACACAATTTAAAACATTGAAAACACAATTTAAAATGTCAAATACCATTACTTATGTAATGTTTAAAAAACATTTTGGAATGTCAAAAAAAGATTATTAAATCCTAATAACACAGATTTAAAAAAATACCTTATAATTTCCAAAACGCAAGAATTTAGAAAACATTAGAATCTCAAAAACACAATTAAAAATGTCAAAAGAATATTAAAGAATGTTATAAACAATATCAAAAAACATAAAAAGTTAAAAACACAATTTAGAATGTCAAAAAACATTATGGAATGTTTAAAAATATTTTTAAAAATGTATTTTAAAAACATATTTAATAATATAAAACACAACAAACACAATTGAAAATGTCAAAAAACATTATAGAATGTTTAAAAATACATTTTGCAATTCCAAAAAAAAATTTGAAGAACCCACAGATTTTCAAAATTACCTTATAATGTCAAGAAAGCAATTGAATGTAGAAAACATTCGAATCTCAAAAAAACATAAAATATTTCAAAATTACCTTGTAATGTTAATAACGCAATTAAGAATGTAAAATTTACCCTAGAATGTTATTAACAATTTAAAATATCATCTCTGCAAGGTGAGTGTAGTTGTTTTAAAGTGGACTATCTTCATCTTTGATTCTTTTATAACACAACGTTTCAATCAACTATCTGTGATCGTTTTCAAGTGTAGAATGATCAAATTTCAAAATGTGTATATATAGTTTTTACATTTTGAAATTTGATCATTCTACACTTGAAACTTAGTTACTTTGGAAAAGTATCTTCTAACTTGTACCTAAAAAGGTATCTAAGTTACTTGTTAAAGTATTATTTTTTCCTTTGTAGGCTTCAAAGCGTTGCAAGGTTCCACTGGAGCCGCTGGCCCGCGACTTTTCACGATACACTGCGTGGAGGTGCCGCCGCAAAATCTGCCCAAAGCGCACACGTGCTTTAACCGCATCGATATACCACCATATGACACCTACCAGGTTCTGTTGGACAAGCTCACCCAAGCCGTCGAGGAGACCTGCGGCTTTGCTGTTGAATGATAAGAAATCAAATTTTAGGTGAGTTTTATGACAAAATTTTGACTTTAAACTCTTAAGATGGTTTAAAAAATTTTAGATAATTATTTAGGTACTTTTTTGGGCAAAATTAACAACAATTAAAATTAACAAAGGAAATTTTTTATATGAAAAAATATTTTACAATAACTTAATTTTTTATGGTCAAAAATAACATTAAAAAAATAAAATAAATATTTTGTAATTTTTTTTTGTTTTACTGTATTTTTTATTGTAATTCAATCATTTATATAGGCTTGTCTTTCTTTGAGAACCTTAATTAAAACAAAGGTATATTAATAGCGTTGATTAAAAATTTTAATGGAAATAAATCATTTCAATCAATATCAAATTATTTTTATCCTGAATTTGACTTGATCAAAAGTTTGGGGGTTTACATGCCAAATAATTTAGTAAAAAATGCTGTTTTCGACCATTTCAAGCATTCGGACGGGATAAATCACAGAACTGTTTAAAAAAATTTTAGGTATTATATTATATATTATTTTTGCACCTAAATTTTCAAGTAAAATATTATATTCTTATTTTATTAGGCTATATATTAAATTAAAAAACGCAAGAAATATTTTATAAAAGGGGAGATAATTTTAATAATTGACAGTACCTTTCAATTATTAAAATTATCTCTACTTTTATAAAATATTTTTTGCGTTTTTTAAATTAATGTACGAGGTGTGTTCAGAAAATATCGGGAATTTTCGTTTTTTGAAACAAATATTTATTTATTCGTCTACATTAATGTTGTCGCCTTCAAAATAGTCCCCATTGGATATTATGCACATGTGCCAGCTCTTCTTCCAATACTCGAAACACTTCTAAAACTCGATCTTTGGGATAGCCTTTAGTTCTTTCAGCGATGCGCTTTTAATGTCATCTATGCTTGCAAAACGACGGCCCTTTAAGGTTCTCTTTATTTTTGGAAATAGGAAAAAGTCAGGCAGAGGCATGTCTGGCGAATATGGAGGCTGGGGCATTATTACAGTATTGTTTTTGGCCAAAAATTTTGTTCAAAATTTAACAATTTTTGAACAAATTTTGATGCCACGCGTTTCATACCCAAAACATTTGAAAAAATTTCATGGGATGAGCCAATCGATATACCAACATCATCAGCGACTTCTCTGATGGTTTATAACCATTTCTTCCACTTTTTCCATGTTTTTATCGGTTGTTAATGCGCTTGTGCGTTCGGGGCGTTCGTCATCTTCACGGCCATCTTGGAAACTCTTATACCACTTGTAAACTCTTGTTTTACTTATAGCAGACTCACTATAGGCCTTTGTTAACTTTTCACAGAATTTATTTCTATTTTTAAGCAAAATTGGAAACACATTCTTTGATCCATTTCTTTTAACGAACGAAAAATCGCCGAGCTCATAAAACACGTCTAACCTTAGCGGCTGCCACAGACAAAGTGAACAATGAAAACAGCTAAAGTTTTTATCATACTTTGGGGGCATGTATACCAACGTAATAAAGAAAATTTTATGACAACCGGACCCTCCGAACCCGCGAAATTTAACAATTCCCGTTATTTTCTGAACACACCTCGTATACATTGTAAAAAATGCATACATATTCGAAAATGTTTAGTTGCATAAAAATCCGAGCCCTCTTTATCACAACATTTTATTTATTTCAGGTGCTATATCGAAGCGTTTCGCCACCAACTAGCTATTGTTACAATTTTTAAGGTACTTTTTCGCAAAAAAAATCATATCCTTAGAGCTGTTCAAAGACTGTACACAGTGCCTTTCTTGTTGCTATCACGATTATACAAAATTGTACGACAAATAATAACTTTTTCTAGGATATACCTACCTTAAGTACAACTTTCTCTGTTTTTTTAATCGTTTTTGTATGTTATTTGCCTTACACAAGTGCCTAATGCTAGTCATGTTTAATAAGTAAAAACACGCGCTAAACACAAAGAGCATTAAATCAAATTTATAAAATCTAGCACTATGGTTGAGGGTTGTTTAAGATATTACAATAAAATCATTAAACTTATGATCAAATAACTATGAGAGAATAAAATTGTACAACAATAGTTTATTAAAATATATTTCTTTACATCTTTTTATATCATAACCATAAAACTAATTATTTCTTTACGCGTCTAATTTATTTACTTTATTCTGAAATAATTTAAGCAATATTGTGATTTCTTTTTACTCTTACTCTATTTGTATATAACTTTGCCCTATAAAAACTAAAATTAAATAACTTTTGTTAACCTAAATGGAAGAAAATTGTTTTCTTTTACTTTGCTACCAACCTGAAATTTCTATAGATAATTATCTCTATGGAAAGCAGTAAGCCTATCAGAGCATGGCATTCTCCACAGCACACTAGGTGCGACGGAGAATGCCGTTCTCTGATTGGTTTATTGCGTTCTATAGACATCATATTCCATAGAAAGTGTAAATTTCAAGGAACTCTATCTAAAGCAAAGTTTCTTTAATAAATAAATAAAAATTAGTTTAATTTATTGTATATTATTAATATAAATTGAACTGTAATTTTTTTGTATATTTTCCAAGCATTCACAATAATTTAAGTTATTAAATAAATATACATATATCATTAAAAGGCAAATTTACAAAATACTCTGAAAAAAATTGTAAATATACTAGGAATTTAAATAATGTTACTTGTTTATAAATATTTAGTGATACAATTTATTGTGGTTTAATGTTAAGATTTTTTGTATATTATTGTAATATTGAACGAAATTATATTTTAAAATATTTTGTAAGAATGAGTTTTATTTGTTTCCCAACATTTTTTATTTTACAACCCAGAATATAAAAAATATCATAAGGGATAAAAATTGAGTGTTTTTGAGAACTAAAATTTTGGATGGAATTCGGAGACACCCTGTATATGACAGTTGGCCTCTGTTTTCGATGATACATTTGAACTAAAAAATGACAGTTCGCGTGAACCTAACCTACATTTTCAAGACAACCTAAAATTAATAATAAATTGTTTTATTTTCATTATTATTTAAATGTTTACGTTGTTATAATATAATGTTTAAAGCCGCGAATGCCACGGTGTGTAGACTAAGACCTAAACTACGCTATGACAAAATCCACAACAAAAAAATGATGATACATTTGAACTAAAAAATGACAGTTCGCGTGAACATAACCTACATTTCTAAGACATAACCTAAAATTAATAATAAATTGTTTTATTTTCATTGTTATTTAGATGTTTACGTTGTTATAATATAATGTTTAAAGCCGCGAATGCCACGGTGTGTAGACTAAGACCTAAACTACGCTATGACAGAATCTCCAACAAAAAAATCCACACCACAACTGTTTTCAACAATGACAAAGAAAACAATGATCACGAGTTTTACAAGTTCCAAAAACGACTGTTAAACGGCCCCAATCTCAAGGACTTTTTCAAAGATGAAAACCTAAGGCTACAAGAAGGTATCCCTGAGGAATATGTGGTTCCATACTTACAGAATATAAACAAATACGGAGGCTGTAGAAAGGTTTATTTCGATGTATACGGATGCCAAATGAATGTGAGCGACACAGAAATTATTTGGTCGATATTAAAACAAGAAAATTACGAAAAAACTACGGATTTAAAAGAGGCCGATGTTGTTCTTGTAATAACGTGCGCTATACGGGAGGGGGCTGAGGATAAAATATGGGGGCGCTTAGATTATCTCCGAGGCATCAAGAATAGTCGTAAAAAAGACAGGCCAAGCATGAAAATCGGTTTACTGGGGTGTATGGCTGAACGATTGAAACACAAAGTTCTAGAAGAGGAGAAGTCGGTTGATTTGGTGGCTGGGCCTGATAGTTACAGAGATTTACCGAGATTGTTAGCTTTGACGGAAAACAATCAAAAATCAATAAACGTGCAATTATCCTTTGAGGAGACATATGCAGACATAACCCCAGTAAGATTAAACGAAGACTCCATTTCAGCCTATGTCAGCATAATGAGGGGGTGCGATAATATGTGCACATACTGTATAGTCCCCTTCACACGGGGCAAAGAAAGATCCAGACCTGTGTCATCAATACTTAAAGAAGTGGAACATTTATCGAAAAGTGGCGTGAAGGAAGTAACATTGTTGGGCCAAAATGTAAATAGTTATAGGGATGTTAAGGAAGGTAGTGGGTTTGATAATGTTACAAGTCTCGCCAAAGGTTTTAAGACTGTTTACAAAGCAAAGAAAGGTGGTTTGAGGTTCGCAGATCTATTAGAAAGAGTTGCCGATATTGACCCTGAAATAAGAGTGAGATTTACGTCGCCACATCCCAAGGATTTCCCTGATGAAGTCTTACAAGTAAGTTTGCTTTATTGATGTGAAATATTTATGCTTTGTCAAGTTTTTTTAACTTAAATTCTGAGCAAAATTATGAATGCGAAAGATTGTTTTTGTTTCTTTAACACAGAAACGGATCGATGCGATTTTTTGGGTAGAGATAGTTTATGGACTAGAGAGTGACGTAGGCTACTTTTTATCCCGGAAAAATGCACTGTTCCTGTGGGGTGTTTAAAAGATTTATTTATCCTTACGTGTAATATGGGTTGCCTAGATTCATATATTGTAAATACAAGTGTGTTGGTTTGAATGTAGGTTGGCAACCCAGATTACATTCTTAATGACTTGAAAACTACTCTGCCCAACTATGGAGAAAGGCAGTAACTGCTAAACAAGAAATCTGTGGAAAATTGGCATAAACTAATTTTTTATAAAAAGCATTAGATATTTAATTGATTTATTTAACTTATAAGATAGTTTACTGCATTTCTTAGTTGAATTAAGATACAAAATGTACATAGCTTTATCATAGCAAAAGAAAACGCATTAAGAATTTTTTTGTAGTTACTGCATTTCTCCATAGTAGGGCAGTAAGTCGTCTGAAAACATTTTTGTATGTACGCTCACAATCGGGTGACATTCACAATGTCGAAATTCATTATATCGAATTCAAAATATCGAACACTTTTTATCGAAAATCAAAATATCGAAAATACAAAATGTCGAAAATCATAATATCGAAAATTAAAATGTCGATTTGAAAATGTCGAAATTTTATTTAATCGAATTTTCAATTTATCGAAAATAAAATCTCGACCGCTGTCATACAGGTTATGACGAATAGCTGTCATCTTGGTTATGCAGGTACACTGCATTGTGCCATACCAAACTAACCCAAACTTAACAACCCAACCCAACCGACCCCGCCCCATTGGGCCCCTCCCGCCCCATTGAGCAATAGAGGTATAATATATCTAAGGGCAGGCTGGATTGTGACAATGGGGCGGGAGGGGCCCAATGGGGCGGGGTCGATTGGGTTGGGTTGTTAAGTTTGGGTTAGTTTGGTATGGCACAATGCAGTGTACCTGCATAACCAAAATGACAGCTATTCGTCATAACCTTGAGGAATACTTTGCTATATTTAGCCTCTAGTTGAAAATGAGGTTAAAATATGCGACGGTTGAGCACACACATTTCTACGTCCGTCCGACGGTCCGGGAGACACTACCTTAATTATTCGACATTTTCAAATCGACATTTTAATTTTCGATATTATCATTTTCGACATTTTGAATTTTCGATATTTTGATCTTCGACATTTTGTATTTTCGATATTTTGATTTTCGATAAAAAGTGTTCGATATTTTGAATTCGATATAATGAATTTCGATATTGTGAATGTCACCCCTCACAATCCACACAACAAGGTCTGTTTCAGAATCCATGGATTGTGGTCTGTTCGATCTTTATTCGCGCATGTTAAAAATCACAAAATTAGACAACCTAGTATACATTCATACTTTAGTCGCCATTTTCATTGTTTGCAATTAATTTCTGAAATTCATTGATTAAAATACTCTTGTCAAATATCAGTTTACTTTAAAACTAAATGTAACTATTTAAATGTAATAATTAATTTCAGAATTAAGAAACTCTTGTCAAATTTCAGTTTACTTTAAAACTAAATATATCTATTTTTATTTCCTAAATAAGAATTTATAAAAAGATTTATCCTTTTGTCAAATCTTAGAATGTTAAAAAAAACTTTGTTTACTTCTTCCATGCCTGTGATATACAGAATTACTATTTTGGGTAATTTAAATTAACGGCGGCAAATAAATCAAATATGGCGGCAGTCGTATGTGCGCATAACAGTACCGATTTTCGTTCGTATTTTAAGGAGATCGAACAGACCTTGTTGTGTGGATTGTGGTAGTTTCTACACAGTAAATTTTTCTAGGTCATTCAATCGAAACCCAACATCTGCAAGAACCTGCACATGCCGGCGCAATCCGGCAACACCGCGGTTCTGGAACGCATGCGCAGAGGATACACCAGAGAGGCCTACTTGGATCTGGTGTCGAACATCCGTAAATACCTGCCAGATGTCGCTTTGAGCAGCGATTTTATTTGCGGTTTTTGCGGGGAAAGCGACGAGGAATTCGAGGATACGATCACTTTAATGCAGGCGGTGGAGTACAATACGGCTTTTTTGTTCGCTTACAGCATGAGGGAGAAAACCACGGCCCACAGGAGGTTTAAAGATGACGTGAGTCCGGAAGTCAAACAGCGGAGGCTTCTTCGCATGATAGAGGTGTTTAGAAACTCCGCCTACAAGTTGAACAGTCTTCAAATCGGGAAGACAAATTTGGTTTTGGTCGAGCAGTTGAGTAAAAGGTCCAATCAGAACTACCAGGGCAGAAACGACCAAAACATACGCGTCATTTTGCCCAGCGAAGGTATGGTACCGTACAAAAACGGTTCCAACGGTAGAGAAGTCAAACCTGGGGACTATGTGGCGGTTTATATTAACAGCGCCAGTTCCCAAACTCTACGAGGTATTCCTTTATATTTGACGTCTCTGCAAGATTTTTACAGCGAAGCTCCCAGCAGATATTACGCTTGTCAATCGTATTTGTAAATAAAAATAATTAAAAAAAAATATTGTTTATATATTTCCTGTTATTACCACAGTTGTCGCCACTAATCGGTATCTCAAGTGTTGATTCAGCTAGTCGTCGATAGATGGCGTTTAAGTTAAAAACAATAAAACAAAAAAAAAATATTAAGAGGTCTATCATCGCAATTTTAGATTTTTTTTCCTGAGCGAGTTTTTGTCTCAGAACTCCCAAACCATTGAGTTTAACAAATTTGACTTAAGAATATTTTTTGAAGAAAATTGAATGCTCTACAAAAAAGGTTTGACTGGAATTTCCCGTCAGATGAACCGTTTTCTTACAAAAATTTATATAGTTTTACAATTTGATATTTTAACTTTGGAATTTTTTAATTCATGTAAAAATCAGTACCCGGAAAAAACCGATAAATATTCTTATGGGAAATCAAATGCTCTACAAAAAAAGTCTTTTATCATTTTTGGCTAAATTCACTCCATCAAAAGTTATTCAAGGTTAAATTTGAAGTCAAAACGAAATTTTAACCTTGAATAACTTTTGATTGAGTGTATTTAGCCAAAAATGTTGAAAGACTTTTTTTGTAAAGCATTTGATTTCCCATAAGAATATTTATCGTTTTTTTATGGGTACTGATTTTACATGAATTACAAAATTCCAATTTAAAAGATCAAAATGTAAAACTATACCAATTTTTAACGCATGATTTTAAGGAAATGTTTCATCTGACGGAAAATTTCACTTTAACCTTTTTTGTAGAAAATTGAATTTTCTTAGAAAAATATTTTTGAGCCAATTTTGTTAAACTCAATGGTTTGGGAGTTCTGAGACAAAAACTTGCTGAGGAAAAAAATATTGAAATTGCGATGATAGACCTCTTAATATTAATATAATGGACTCAAACTTTCACAATAATTTGTTTTTGTCACCCCAACCCATATTTTCAATATACTTTTAAAAAAAAAAATTTGTTGAATTTTTTGGCCGTCTAATAAATAACCAAAGATTTCTTAAGTAAACGTTTTATTAAACAACATATGTAACAGTAAAATCGATTAGGAATCATTTTTGGTGGTGTTAGATGAAACAAATATAATATGGGACTTAATAATAAAATAATATTGATTAAAAATTATCACTGAGGCGGGTTATCGTTGGGGGGTTCTTCGGGGGCTCTTTGACCTTCATCCCACTCAAAACCCCCTGGGTTTTCTTCCGGTAATCTCATATAATTTAAATCTTCCACTTGGTCAAACCAGGATTTACTAAAAAAAAGAAATAATATAAAAAATGTGGTTTGAATATTAGGGTTTTTTACAGTAAAGTTGGCGTCTTTAATATCTGGAAACCGCCAGGTTGCTTTGGGAAGACATCCTCCAAAAAGAAGTAAATATGCCCTACAGCAATTCCCATAAGATCTACATATACAGCATTACCCAGTAATACAGAAAAACCTAGTAAAACCCATGGTAGATATGGAGCCTAGAAAATAATGAGCAAATATATTAATAATAAGAGCATTACTTATTTTTTAACTTACTTGGAAGTTGATTAAACCAAAGAAATTCATCCTTACATCTGGATTTCTTCTCGACCAAATATAAACAATCATAATTGTGAAAGCTTGCCCTAAGAATAATAAATTAACAAAAAACGCAAAACCCTGAAACACAAATTATAATTTTCCAACATTACTTTAATATTTTTCTAAATCTTACAATCATAAAGGTGGCTCCAAATAAAAACATCCAGACAAAATCCGACGTTCTGTTTCTAAATGAACCCTCCTCCAGCATTCTACAGTATTTATATGTAAAAATCATGTTGAAAAAGAAGTTGAAGCCAAACGTTCCAAAAAATAGAAACGTCGTTATAAGTCTCCATAATTGACCTTGTTTGTAGATCAAAATCGGGTTGAAATACAGTTGAAAGGGGGAAGTCAACTCTAATTGCTAAAATAAATGTTGCAATGTGTTAATAAACAATAAAATGTTTTGTTCTCATAAAGTAGGTAGTGAGTTTTAAATACTAGAACAAAACCTAGGTAGGTACTCAAAATTAAATTTAAAACAATGTAATATATTAATTCATTAACAACAATAATAGAAAGTACTTACAACAGCCAGAGTCGTAATAACACAAGCAGTTGTATATGCCCTCGTTACAGGGGGCATATTCATGTATTCATTGCTTAGAGTTTGATAAGCCATTTTTATTTTTATTATTTCTGTCTTTCAAAATAAATAACCTCACTTTATAAGCACTAATCACGACATTTTACTACGATTTTCACCAAGCAAAACACTAATTTTTAAGCCACATCATTACTTTTGATAGAAAATTCTGCATTTTGACGTGTTGTTGATAAAAATGACGTTTACTAACGTCAGAAGCGACACCTATGCACAAAAAATGCAACTTTAACTACATCTACTCACAGATGGCGCCTTACTCCAATATAGGCAACCCACATTACCTAATACTTTGACATTTGTCAAAAATTACTCAAAACTTCATAAAAACTCAAATAATCACAGAATTTGTTGGGAATTAGCCTCATATTACGTGGAAAATGGTTTTGACGAAGGAATATCGGATATGCATGCCGATGACGGTGGAGGAGGTGCGTAGACGTAATTTTTAGGTTATGTTTTTATACATAATACATTTTTTGTTGTAGTACCAAGTCGGGCAGTTGTACATGATTGCCAGGCATAGTTTCGAGCAGTCTGGAGATGGGGAAGGCGTGGAAGTTGTCGATAATAAGGAATGTTTTGATTCAAAGCATGGTAAAGGGCAGTTCACTGAAAAGCGAATACATTTGTCTAGGTGGGTTTTTTGGTTGTTTGTTTGAGTTTTTTAGTGCTTATTTTTTAGTCGTTTGCCGTATTGGATACAAGCCATAATACCTAAGATGTTTTATGTTACTGAAAAAGCATGGAATTATTATCCTTATACTATAACGGAGTATACAGTATGTATGGTGTTTTATACAGGGTTTTTTGTGTTATTTGAGTGTTTTAGTGTTCTTTTATACCAAGATTCAATATTAAAATACAAACCAAGTATGAAAATAACAATGGAAGCACTGAAAATGTAAGTTTTACAATATTTACACAATTTAATATTTTGACTTTATTTTAAACATTTTTAAGTGTTTAGACTTGACTCCAGAACAATTAGCAGAAAGAATTGTAGAACACATTGATATTGCTTATGATGAAGTATCAGCTAAACACTACAAAGAGGAAGAAGACCCTCGTTTTTACAAATCCAAAAGAACCCAACGAGGGCCACTTGTTGATGGTTGGCGAAGTAACTGCAACCCCATAATGTGTTCCTATAAACTTGTACATGCTTCATTTGAGGTTTTTGGCTTGCAAACCAAAGTTGAGGATTATATACACTCAGTAAGCGATTTTTTATCTAATGAAAAAAATTTATCTAATGAAAAAATATTTTTATCTGACAAATTTTTTTATCCAATGGAAAAAATTTATCCAATGAAAAAAATTTATCCAATGAAAAAAATTTATCCAATGCAAAATATTTTTATCTGATGGAATTTTTTATCCAATGGGAAAAATTTATCTAATGAAAATTTTTTATCCAATGAAAAAATATTTTTATCTGATGAAAATTTTTATCCAATGGAAAATATTTTTTAGTGTATTCGGGAGGTGTTATTGTTGGGCCACAGGCAAGCTTTCACTTGGATTGATGAATGGGCTGAAATGGATTTGGAAGGTGTTCGTAAATACGAGTTGGATTTACAAAAACAAACAAATATGTTACTACATATGCAAGAAACTGCCCCGGCGTCACCAAAAATATCACCAGGGATATCCCTTGGTGATTCTAAGACGCCATCTATTGAGGAGACTCCAAAATCGCCCACAGACAAAAAAGGATATTTCTCCAATTGGTTTTAACGTTAAAATAATTAAATTTATTAAATGTTATTTTTATGTACAGATCAAATTTACAGGTTTATTTTTGTAATAGTAATCTGAGTGCCTTTTTATTTTTTTGAACACAAACTTTGTCATTCCCTTAGATTTTTTGGATTAGTATTATTATGTATTGTGCAATCTTATAACATTTATGAAGGTTGTTTTTTCTAGTCTTTTTTATTGCATAGACTGCTTTTAATGTTTTTGTTGGCTAATAAACATTGAATATTACCAAATTTGTTTTATTTACAGGATTAATTATTTTTAGCTTATACAAAATCATAGTATGAACATTTTTAAATAACATTGTAGAAAATTAAAAATCCTGTTTTTTGAGATGTAACACGGTATATTTTTATTTATAAACAAAGAAGGTATGTATAACAAAAAATAACAATTTGCAAGGTCAACTTGATAAAATCGTATTTTCGCGATTTTCAGCCTTCTGTGACCACAAAATATGTCGTGTAATACATCAAAATAAAGATAATTTAACACCTTACAAAGCTTGCTAAAAATATCAACAGTATATTGAATTTAAAAGTTGTAAGAAACTACAAAATGTGTTATACAGCAAAATTTTAAAATTATTTTTCGCTAAAAATGTTGAAAATTAAAAATCCTTATGTTAGAGATGTGACACGGTATACTTTTATCCATAAACAAAGAAGATATACCAAAAAATGACAATTTCCAAGGATCCCTTGATAAAATCGTATTTTTTCGATTTACAGCCTTCTGTGACTAAAAAATATATCGTTTAATACGTTAAAATAAAGATAATTTAATACACCACAAAGATTGCTAAAAATATCAACTGTATATTAAATTTAAAAGTTGTAAAAAATTACAAAATGTGTTATACAGCAAAATTTTGAACTTTTTTTTCGTTAAAAATATAGAAAATTAAAAATCCTTTTGTTAGAGATGTGACACGGCATATTTTTATCCATAAACAAAGAAGATATACCAAAAAATGACAATTTCCAAAGATGCCTTGATAAAATCGTATTTTTTCGTTTTCCAGCCTTCTTTGACTATAAAATATATCGTGTAATACATCAAAATAAAGATAATTTAATACTCTACAAAGCTTACTCAAAATATTAATAATATATTAAATTTAAAAGTTGTGAATAATTACAAAATGAGTTATACAGCAAAATGTTGAAATTATTTTTCGTTAAAAATGTAGGAAATTGAAAATCCTTTTGTTAGAGATGTAACACGGTATATTTTCATCCATAAACAAAAAAGATATAACAAAAAATGACAATTTCCATGAACAACTCGATAAAATCGTATTTTCTCGATTTACAGCCTTCTCTGATTAAAAAGTATATCATGTAATACATCAAAGTAAAGGTAATTTAAAACTCTACAAAACCATTCATAAATAATCCCGATAAAATGGCAAATCGCTTATTTAACGGCCTTACAGGTGTTGGCAAGACGTCATTTCTGCCCTGAAAATACCGATTGGCGGGAGGCTGTGCGACGATTGGCTGACGGCAAACGAATAATGTGTGCGCGAAGGGACGCAACGCAAAAGCGTTCAGTTTACGGTGGAAGTTCAGCAAGAAAAGACCCAAAATAAACATTTTCAATTTTTTTATTTAAATTTACAACACACATAATGAAGACTTCATCATTTTCCTTAAGGGTCATGCGGAGGGTAATGTATTTTATGTGAATGGGTATGGCCTATAAAAATGCTTTTACCGGGCTTTCATTGTATTTTTTATTACTATACAGGTTGTTCTTTTTCTTCTCTCCTTCGCTTTTTCTATTTTCAATGTTTATTGTACATGTGTAAAAATATTGTGAATTTAAATTTTTAAATTCAGTTTGTTTCGGTAATTTGTTCGTATTTTATATACATTATCACGGAGATCTGATATTTCCGAAAACGTGTTTTAAACTTAAACTTCGTAACCCTGTATTATATTTATGTTTTCCGTCTAAAATAATGGAAAAGATCTTACTTGAAAAAAACCTAAAATATTACTAAACTTTATTTTAACCAAGATAAATGATTCAACTTCTTAACTCTAACTTTAATTTATTACGCTGTCAAAAAGCAAACGAAAATAAAAACCTACTTACTTAATTTTCCTAAGAAGATTGCATGTAATTGCCATTTCTATTTTCGGTTCAAAAATGCGAATAATAGAAGTGCATTTGGGCTTCATTCAACAGAAAATCGGCCTTGCGGTAAACCAAGAAGATTTATATACCTCGGGGACTTTGCTTGCTTGCGTCATCGCCAGATTATTGTCGAATTGCCTGTTCAATTTTCACGATTTTAAGGATTTACGTTTATAAGGCTCATTGGGGTATTTATTTTATTATATTCTTGTGGATAACAAAAAATCCTTTGAAATGAGGGGTTACTCGGTATATCCACGACGAAAAACAAAAGAGTTATAGCAAAAAGTTGTGAAAAATTACAAAATGTGTTATACATTAAAATTTTAAAATTATTTTTTGTTCAAAATGTAGAAAATTAAAAATCCTTATGTTAGATATGTGACACGGTATATTTTCATCCATAAACAAAGAAGATGTAACAAAAATTGACAATTTTCAAGGGCGACTTGATAAAATCGCATTTTCTCGATTTCCAGCCTTCTGTGACTTCAAATATATCGTGTAATACATCAAAATTAAGATAATTAAATACACTACAAAGCTTGCGCAAAATATCAACAATTTATTTAATTAAAAAGTTGTGAAAAATTACAAAATGTGTTATACATCAAAATTTTAAAATTATTTTTTGTTCAAAATGTAGAAAATTAAAAATCCTTATGTTAGATATGTGACACGGTATATTTTCATCCATAAACAAAGAAGATGTAACAAAAAATGACAATTTCCAAGGACGACTTGATAAAATCGCATTTTCTCGATTTCCAGCCTTCTGTGACTACGAAATATATCGTGTAATACATCAAAATTAAGATAATTCAACACTCTAAAAAGCTTGCGCAAAAATTCAACAATTTATTGAATTTAAAAGTTGTGAAAAATTACAAAATGTGTTATACATCAAAATTTTAACATTATTTTTTGTTCAAAATGTAGAAAATTAAAAATCCTTATGTTAGATATGTGACACGGTAAATTTTCATCCATAAACAAAGAAAATGTAACAAAAAATGGCAATTTTCAAGGACGACTTGATAAAATCGCATTTTCTCGATTTCCAGCCTTCTGTGACTACGAAATATATCGTGTAATACATCAAAATTAAGATAATTTAACACACTACAAGGCTTGCGCAAAAATTCAACAATTTATTTAATTAAAAAGTTGTGAAAAATTACAAAATGTGTTATACATCAAAATTTTAAAATTATTTTTTGTTCAAAATGTAGAAAATTAAAAATCCTTACGTTAGATATGTGACACGGTATATTTTCATCCATAAACGAAGAAGATGTAACAAAAAATGACACTTTTCAAGGACGACTTGATAAAATCGCATTTTCTCGATTTCCAGTCTTCTGTGACTACAAAATATATCGTGTAATACATCAAAATTAAGATAATTTAATACACAACAAAGATTCCTCAAAATATCAACAATTTCATTTTTAAAGTTATGAAAAATTACAAAATGTATTATTATTTTAATAATTTTTATATTGCTTAGGTGTTAGGGTTTTTATTTTATTATATTCCTGTGTATGATCAAAAATTCGTTGAAATGAGGTGTTACTCGGTATATCTACGACTAAAGACAAAAGAGTTATAGCAAATATTCCATTATCCAAGGCAACTAGATTAATTATTATAATAGCGATATATGGCCTACTTTGTTAAGTAAATATGAAGTGATATACATTATTTTAAGCAGAATTTAAATCTCTACAAATCTAGGTCAAACAATTTCAGTAAAAGTCGTAAATAAGACAAGTTTTCTTTGCGGAGCTTTACAAAGTTTATTTGCAATTATCGAGATCTTTTATATTGTGGAAAATATACAGGTCTAAGTACATAAAATTCTTTCGACACTATGTAACGATAAATATGAAAGAACTTCTAAAAAAAATTACAAATGTATATATTTTTTGTGGAATTTATTACGGATGAAATTTCTTAAATTTATATTAAAATATTCCAAATCACCTGTTATGTGCACTTTGTATACGTCTCGTATTGACGTAACACAGCTTCAGTCTCATTTTGTTATAAAGTAGCCTTAAAATTTCGTTTTTATTAAGATGACTAAGGCCACAGCATAAAAGAGAGACATGGTAATAAATTTTATGAATTCTTCACCTCAAAGAACATTGTGAATGCCTAATTTGCTGTTTTCAGCGAGTTAATCAACAAGCGAAATCATTAAAAGGGCTTCACAAAAGTTTGTATAAGTCTAAATGATCCATTCAGTACCAGATAAAGCTTTTTACGGCTGAATTGTACGTTTATTATGAAAGCCTTAATACAATTTACTTATTTTATTAGTATAACCTAAAAATGTTGGTTCCGTTAATCTGACAGATTTCCAAAACAAACACGAAACTTTTAAACCCTAAGCAGCACCGGCAAATTTTTCAATTAAAAACCTTTAAAAAGGGTAAATTATAAATTCGACTGACAATTTAAGAATATCCCTATGAAAGTTTCAAGGAGTTATTGATTTTTCTTGCTGCCAAATGGAAAACTTACGTAATTCTTAACAAAACGTCAAGTTAGAAGGAGTTATTAAAAAAGTCCGTCTGACATTCTACAACGACATGTTTATAGGAAAATTTCAACTTTCGCAGTACGAAAGAAAAATTCGAGTAATTTTGCTGGAATCGATAGAGGGTGAAATTCGCTTTAAAATCATGTGTCACTTGTATATCTGTGTGTCTTAGTAGACTGGATAGCGTGGAAGTTAATCTGTTTCGAGTCGTCCTTGGAAATTTGTTTTTTCGCTGTAACTCGCTTGTTTTTCGTGCAAAGTATGTCGAGTCACATATCAAATGAAGTGTTTTTTAATTGTCTATAATAATATATGTAACATTTTATTCATAACATTAAAACAATCAACTTTATTTAAAGAAAATTTCAAATTTCGCATTACAAAAATAAATGTAAAATGAGTGTAATGTTGCTGGAATCGATAGAGGGTGAAATTCCCTTTAAAATCATGTGTCACTTGTATATCTGTGTGTCTTAGTAGCGTGGAAGTTAATTTGTTTCGAGTCGTCCTTGGAAATTTGTTTTTTCGCTGTAACTCGTTTGTTTTTCGTGCAAAGTATGTCGAGTCACATATCAAATAAAATGTTTTTTAATTTTCTATAATAATATATACAACATTTTATTCATAACCTTAAAACAGTCAATTTTGATTTTTTCCAAGAAATATCGAATAAATAACGTTTGAAATTACCACAATTGCATCAAAAATCGGGAGTACAATAGCAAGTAAATTGTGTAGGCGTCAACATGTGAAATCAAAATCATTCGTTGCATCAGAGGGAATCGCCTCTAGAGTATGTGCATTGTATTCCAGACCAATTTAAAAAATAATTACATTTATCAGGTCGTGCTTCTGTGGGATTCGAGTATCATACAATTATTGTGCAATTTCGTGACCTACATTGAAAGAAATATTATCATCAAAAACGATTAGTTTAGTTAAAATTAATTATTTCCGAGCCCTCTTGATAATTAAGCTGAAAGGTTTTCAGTTTATTAAATTAATTAAAAACACGAATGCACGTTCAAGTTTGCTCTCAACTAACAAAAACGTTAATTTAATATAGGTTTATATGCAAAAAAAAATAATTATTTTGGGGTTGTGAAAACAAATATTATAAAAATGTTTGTATATTACTGTAGACAATTAAAAAACATTTCATTTGATACGTAACTCGACATACTTTAAACGAAAAACAAACTAGCTACAGCGGAAAAACTAATTTCCAAGGATGACTCGAAAGAAATTAACTTTCACGTTTTCCAGCCTACTTGGACACATGTCACATCAAGTGACACATCATTTTAAAGCGAATTTTACCCTCTTTTCAAAACATTAGATTGTCAGAAGGACTTTAATAAGGTTTTGTTACGAATTTGGCAGCAAAGAAAAATCAATAACAACTTCTTGGAACTTGAATTAATGTTAAATTCGAATTCATAATTTACCCTGGCAATTTAAATATCTTTGATTAAAAGATTTAGCGGTGTGTTTGAGGTTTAAAAGCTTTGTTTTTGTTTTTGATAATCTGTCGGATTATATCGTTGAGCATTCAGGAACTTTGAGCAAACAAATTTAATGCAGAGAACACGTAATTGGGTTATAAAAGCATTATGGCGTCATTACTTGTTTAAGTGCAAAATTATTTAACAGTGTTTGGCTTTCTATGCTTTTAGTCTTTGATCTACTGTCAGTCTTTATTATTTAATGTTTTGTATGTTGTTTAAAAAAAATTATTTATTTTTTACTTAAAAAGTACGGCCCTGTACTTAATGCTTATTTAGAAGAAGAAAAAATTCTAATGTACAGGGAAAATTTTGGCCAAGCCGTACCTGGAATTTTTTGCAACTTGGTATACCTACTTATTAGGTACGAGACCCTTAATCCCTTAATTTTGAGAAAAAAATATGAAGCCGTTTAAAAGTTATGAGCAATTAAAGAAATGAACAAAATTGATGAATCACCCTGTATTTCTGAAAGCAATGAACATAATAGTTATGTTATGAATTATTCATAGGTATACAAATTAACCAAAAAAAAAAATACGAAATACAAAATAAAATATTTTTTTTCAAAAATGCACAAAAAATTTGATTTGGTGGTAGCAAAAGTTCACACCCTGTACCTACACCTGCGCGGGGCTAGCCCAACGTATTCAACGTTCGGTAACCGAGTCAGTTCCGTTGAAATAGTCCGGTCGACCAGTCATACCGATCCGGTTTGACCGAGACACGTGCGCGATTTAATAAAAAGTTCATTTTTGAAAGGTTTGGTATGGTTTTAAGAAGGTTTTTTCATAGGAAAAATGCATTATTTTTAATGATTTTGGGCTTTAAAGTTTGTTAGGTTGTTAGGTGGGGCATTTTTGATCATGAAACTAAAAATCTTATTCAATACCTACGCAAATTTTTGTAATCAAAAACCCAAAAAATCGTTTTTTATTATCCAACTATTAATTTGTTATTTTCTCTAAAATGACAATTTTATAAAGAAATTAAATATTGGAAACGGACAAAAGCTTTGTATCGATTTCAATTTTATTTTTTCTCTGTACAGTGTACATCGCCAAAAGTTTTTAACAATTTTAAACGTTTCAAAATATATTACTCCAACTTTTAATTTAAGTATCCAGTTTAGTTTAATTGGTTATTTATTGAAGCAATTTATTTTTCCATTAGGTGCTTTTACAAACTTTGTTAGAGTTGTAATTTATGGTACTGTGCTTAATACTAAAGCTCTTTTGTTAATTTTATTTGACCTGCCAAACTCAAAAATCACAATATTTTTTAAATTAAAATTTTATTTCTTTTTTAATAATCTGTCAATAAATTTATATTTAAATAGGTATGACTGATTCGCCGTTCGTAACAATTTTATAATAAACCCTCATTTTCAAAAACTTTTACAATCTTCAAACTACAATAATTAGGAAAAGTTTTACAAGCCAAAGTTATAACACAACCATCTTGGATGTGGTTTTAATTAAGGTTATAGGCCGGGTAATGTTCGATATTGCGTGTCTCAAGTTTTATTAGCTCTGTTAATTATCCTTCCAGGCCATGTCCAAAGAACTAAACCCTTGAAAATCTATTTGAACGGGGCAATATCACCTGTAAAAGGCAATATTGCCTTTGCTTTTGAAAAGGTAGTAATTTTAACTTATAAGGTGCTCTAAAACGGGTATTTATATACAAGGTGTCCCTAAAAGTTCAATTTCGATTTTATTAAATAACTTTGAAACAAACAAACGTTTAGGATACCCTTATGGTTGTTATTCATAATAAGTTATTTTTGTAAATAATTAGACAATTATTCTACCTTTTATAATTGTTTTCCGCTCTTCTCGAGACTTCCTTGAATATTTTTTTCTTGGTAGTGCACTTTATTCGTTTCACAGAACGTAATAATTCGTTTTCACAACACATTATAAGATTTTAATTAACACCATAGATAATAAATCATAACACTGCAAATAGAAATGTCAAAAGCGAAAAGCGTTACCATAGAAACCAAGTATAAACAACTCGCAATGTTGCCGCGTTTACTATTTTTACGTTTTTTAATTCTCGTTCCTGTGTTTCAATGTATATGTTTATAGTGCCTTTTGCATTAAAATATAAACACTCATAAAAACAGTAAGGAAATTGGCTTTTTTAAATAAAATGTGATAAAATAAAAAATTAATTTTGTTTTTGCAAGTTGGTACCTTGGTATCAGACACCTTGTATAATTAAATTTTAACCAGAATTTACACACATTATTTATTCTAGAATCTGCATTTGAATTGAATTGCAACCATTTTTCTCGGTTATCGATTGCACGATGAAATTTCGCTAAAATTTAAGCAAACAAGTGAAATTATTAGCATAATAACGCGGTACACAGAATGCATTTTAAAATTTTATGTTATGTAAAAGCCATTGCCGAGATTTGTAACGTTCCCGTAAATAAATTAAGCGCCTTAACAAATTCGGATAAAATCTAAATTGCGTTTGTACGTTCGGTTTTTTATGTCTAATCTGGGAATTAATTGAACGTATTTTTTGCGTTGCGTGTTTAAAAGTTTATTAAGTATTGTTCAAGTCATTGATTTTACCTTAAATGTTAATTTAAGTTGTTTATAAATAAATAACAGTAGGCCATGACTGCAACTCGGCGGTGCCAATGTAGTAAAAATAAATCGTTGTATTTTAATTAACAAATTACTACTTTATTACAATCTACAGATTCATTAAAAATCAAAAAACACACAATAAGTAAATAGGTAACAATATAAGTTGTTAATTTGTTGTTATAATGGTAAAATTAAGGGTTAAAACTGTCATATATTTGTGTTTCTTAAGTTGGCAGCACGAAATTTAAAATGTCAATTTTAAAGTGATAAAAATAGTTCTTTCATTAATTTATAATGCGTTATCAGTTAAAGCTAGTTTACTACCCGCGAAATGAAATTAAAAGGTCAGTATAAACGTACTTATGTAGAAACTTTTCAAATAGGTATTGGCGTTTAGAAACTATTCAACACTTTTGTATTTTTGTATTAAAATAATAAAACAATTTTTACATTATTATAGGTACAAGCAGGGCATTTTATTAAATCGTTAGAATAAAGTTTATTTTAACGATTGGATGACATTTGACAACTGTCAACTAAGTGTCATGGAAACATGTATGATAAAGGGCGTTGAAAAATAGCATATTTCTATTGACGTTGTTAATTTTTTTGTGAAACAAATAAAAATCGACTTTTTGCATATTTAATGTAGAAAGCGAATACCTACAAATCTTTTATTTGATATAAAACTTTTTTCGTTCTTATAAAGCTTTAAATCCCTGAACCGGCAAACTTTTATCAATTTTATTTGTTTTTTTTTTCGTCGTGATGGTTTCAAATTTAATATTCCAAATTGAAATTTCAATTTCGGGGTTTTAAACCTAAGTAAGCGTAATGAAAGTGCCTAATTATTTGGTTAAAGGTTAATCGATTATTTAACTGTAGTTTTAAGTTGTTATAATAGGTAGGTATAATACTTTTAAATTTAGTTAGGTATCTATATTAAAATGTAATATAATATTTTTCTACTTTGAAAATGGTTTTGGTTAACTGTAAAAAATACTTTAAAGTTGACATATACTAAATAAAATGCCACTTTTTATTGGCGTTATTAGTTTTTTGCTAAACAAAGGTAATCGGCTTTTGACATACATATTTGATCTAGAAAGCAAATACGGATCTACGAGGATTTAATATAAAACTTTTTTTGTTATTCATAATTTTTATTTGTTTTTTTCTGATCTCGAGTTAAATATTCCGAATTAAAATTTCAACTTCGAGGCTTCAAAGCCAGCGAAACGGAAGTAGGTAATTTTGGTTTTATTGGCACAAATTCTCGACGAATTTACCTAGCCGCGTTTTCAACAATTACTAATTGTTATATATTTTGGTTTAACTACGGGGATTTTAATTAATGGCTCTATTGTTCGGCAGGACTCGAGTCCCCATTTAATTTGAAAAGAATACCTGAAATTTACAAACATTTAAAGTACAAAGCTTAAAAGCTTTTCGCTAACAATTTAATTGTGCCTATAGGCATAGGTATATATACCCCATCAAAAAAATATTCATAACTCTATTCATAATATGTTGAAAAAGTATAGCACTATAGAAAAAACTTAAACATAAAATCAGGAAATATTTTTTTACTGGGTAAAAGTTGTTAAAATCTTGCAACACTGTCAGAGAATAGCTGATTTGGCATTTTCGAAAGTTTTAGTGGCTGCTGACTAATGCCTACTGCAGCTGCAGCTGCTTAAATATATTTACCTAGTAGACGAAAGATATGCTCCTTGCCCCTGAGTATGAATTATAAAACACAAAAGCACCGTTGCCAGCTCGTTTTTTGTGTTACAAAACTTCTAAAAACCTATGAAAACCTTAAATAATGTTTTTCGCCCAGCACATATAAAAATGAATCATATCAAACCTAAAAATATGACCGAAAATAATATTTATCGTCCCTAGGGCCGCTAAACTTGATTATTTCACAATCTAGACACCTTTGACTGACATTTATGTATTTTGACATTTGACATTTTGACATTTGAGATTTTCAGACGTTTGTGTAAATCAAAATAAAAACGGACAACAAAAGTATAAAATAACAATAAAACTTAATTTAAATTTTGTAATAAAGTAAAAATGAATGGTAACTCGGACAGTGACGAAAAATTTACGAATACTTGACCAGATTTGAAAAAGACAATGCGTTGCAACGGTACGAAAAGTGCTATGAATTATATAAAAAACTGGAAAAAGGATCAAAAACCCAAAAACTTAACAGAAAATGTATTAGTTGCTTATCTATCGGAAAGATCAAAGATAATTCTAATGAAACATCAACTTCATCTGTAGAAATAAGCCTTCAAATTCTGGTACTATCCACAATTGTGATCAAGGCATAATTAACATTAATTACAACAATAAATAAATTCGTAAATTGTTACTGAAGTTTTTTATAAAATTCCGTTTATATTAATACAATTTAAAAAAATATGCTAGGCGAAAAACAGGTGTGTGTCACACATTCAGAAAACGCATTAGCAGCCCTTAGCTATCAACTGCCCTCGCTTCGCTTCGCTCGCTCAGGCAGTTAATAGCCGCGAGCTGCTAAAGCTAGTTTTCTGCCCTTGAGACACAATATACTATTTAGCGGAGAATGTGCTTCTAAAAAAATTAACTAATTGTTGTTAAAACTCTACCTACTTATTAAATAAGTCTAGCCTTAAAAAATCGTTCGATAATAATCAAACTTAAACCCCAGGTGTTTTCCGTTCGAAGATTACAAGTAAACGAAACAATTAAAAATGGCCTTCGCAGCTGCACGCATGATTTTGAAAGATAAAAGAAGAAAACCATCACGCGAAGAATTTGTACCCAGGAACAGAAGCAAGGTAAATTTATTTAGCCTTTCATATAGCAAGTAGCACCACTGGTTAATTAACTAGCATTCTAAGTAGATTAACCAAAATCTAAGTAAAATATTGTTTTTTTTAACTTCTTAGTAATAAGTATATATTTAACTTTTGATATGGGTGATTCTACAAAAGTTGGGCAACTTTTGACCTCATTTTGTTTATATAGTTTTCGGAACAAATTAAACAGTATTTTGTTATGAGAACATAGATAATATAATAAATATACTGTTCCAGACCGGGCCAGTCACTTTTTCAAACAGTTTCTGAAATATCTGTGTTTTCTAAATTTGAATGCAAGGGAAGTGACGAGTATACCAGGGTACTAATTAAATACATAATTTATTGGAAAATATAAGATTTATTGCAACTTTGAGTATATTATACATTAAATATCTTAAAATCAAATAATACCACACATCAGGGGCGGCTGGTGGATTTTGGGTATACCGATATCTCAATTATTAGATATGGGACGCTCACCAAATTTATATGAGTTTATAATGACATTAAATAAACAAGTTCTGCGCAAGCAGAATTTAAATTGAAGTTTGCGAAAAAAAGATAACCGAAACATCGAACATGGAACTGACGACACGGTACTGATGAAAGGGATACAAATTTGAGATTATAATTCGGAATTAAGTATTTTACTGATATTTTTTATTAGTGGATGCTACTTATCAACAAATCACATATAGCCTTATATAAATTACAATGAAATATATATACGAAAATAACTACTTACCACAGTACTGACATTTTGACTGGAACTATACGTGCATTCACCGCAACTTCGCCGCTTGCATTGTATTCAAGATGACTGTCGTGCAAAGGGCGGGCTCTGTATACAGATTACCTATAGGTAATTTTTTTATCAACACTTGAGTTAAAACGAGGACTTGACGTTTAAACTTCAATATTTCGCAGGAATTTTGAATTTTAATATTGGACACAGAACTGACCGGCAAAAGTGAGTACAAAGATTATCAATTTTTTCAAAATTGCTATTATTCGAATCTATGATAAAATGTGAAAAATACATTATTTAATGTTTTATAGTTTGTAGTGAAATTGAATAATTTAAGATAAATTGAATGTATTTTAAAATAAAACCACTCAAATATTTGATTCAGGAGTTGTGACACGCCAAGGTACTGATGTTTTGAATATTTATTATGTTTTTCTGCAAACGTGCTTTTGAAAAAATACTTTAAAATTGGGTGGACAAGTTAAAAAAACCTGGATATTTTGTAGTATACTAAAATAGTTACAAAAATATTAAAATACCCACTCTATTGACTGAAGACATCAAGTTGTCCAACTTTTGTAGAATCACCCATATACTTACTAGCCTTACTATAGTAAGGCTTCACCAGTATTTTAAATTTTACACACGTTTGTGAAACTCACCCTGAGGGTAAAAAAAGCAAAAATGGCGCATTCGCCATTTTTTATGTATTTACAATCTTCAATTTTTCTAAACGCAAAAATATTTCCAAAAAAACATAAAGCAACCCAGGATATAAATGGAAACATATCTGTGCTCTGCAGAATGGCAAACAAGAAAATCTTTGCAACGTACGAAGAGATATCCGACATACGGAACTTTTTGACAACATTATTTTCGAATCTCTGCTCAATCAAAAACCCATTTGCGCTTGATAGATCTCGTAAATCGTTGATCTCAAGCTAGATCGAAATAAGAAAGCCGTTCGTCGTGCTCTGAACTGCAAACTTAGTTCGGGAGCATTAAAATATGCTTAGCAAAGCTTCCATGAGCTCAAAGACTGAAATTTACATTTCGGTTGTATTTACACAAGTTCGCTCATAAATTACTGCAAAAGGGTAATAAACAAGTTGATGTTATCTAAATAATAAGAAAAATACTATTTTTACTGAAATTTTTTATTTAGGTAATTTAAAATATTTGCATCTTATATTTGTATTTTTTGCTAAACACATAATATATTATAACTGAAAAATAAAATTCGTATAGCTAATTCTAATAATATTGAGATATAATTCAACATGAAGTGCGTCTCCAATTATAATAGTACAAATGTCGATTATATATGTATTCAGCGACCAACACAAAAATTTTGTAAGGATAGAGGTAATTTAATATAAACTGAAACCATAAATTTCAAACTAAAGTAAATAGTAAGCAGATCAATAATGTAGCACAGTAGGAACACTTTTTATCCTCATTTAATTTAATTTTCAATAAAAAATATTTTATCCAAATAATCCTTTTTAAGCCCCATTGTTAATCTCGTGTATACACTCAGATAATGTAAATCTCGAAGCGGCCTTAATCAATGCGGTGGAGATTAGATCCGCACATAGCTCTTGAAAGCGTTCAAGTTAGAACCAGGAAATTGAGTTTCGATCTTGGTTTCGGGTGTGCAAAGTACAAAACTCGATTGTCTCTGTTGAATTCCGAAGAAGATCCAATAACTTCCACGCGTCAGGTGGTACGTAAAAACGACTGTTTTAAGATGTTAATTTAACGCTGTAGCACAATTTTACCTAAATGAATTAACTAGGCATAAGGTAAATTTCACGTTTATTTAACCAGTTGTGCTACGGAATTATTTAAATGACACATCTCCACACAGGTGGATCGGAAGAAGAGGTTCCATAGAATGGCCAGCAAGATCACCAGATCTAACACCTCTAGACTTTTTTCTAGGGGGGCATCTAAAAACAGGATGTAAAACACAACCTGCTAATTTAGATGAACAAAGAAACGCGTTTTCGGTAATTCAATACGGCTCGTTTGCGATACAAACAAACGTTGCTGATCAAAGCTTTTAGGGAGGATATAGTTGAAAAGTTTGCAAATCGATGGCAATTCGAAATGTATGCCGGAATAATTGGCCCGAATTCAGTTGTCTAATTGCTCAGTTCGTATATTTTATCCGGGTTTTTAGTTTGTTTTACAGAAACAAACAAAACGATTGCCAGTTGGATGTATGTAACTGTAAAAAACAAAATAAAAGTTTTTAATGGTTTTATTGGATACATACATTAAATAAGTAATGTCAAAACAATCGGATTTATTAAATTTGAAAATAATAATTTTAATTTTGATTTTATCCAATAAAAGAAACTAGGTATACAGTAGTCCCAAATTAGGAGGGCATTATGTTTTTTTAAACCGAGGAAAACTAATTTGTATAAAGTTTTGATTTTACTTACGGCATATCGCGCTTCAATATAACGAAGTTACCACATTTACATTTTGGCGCCCACCGTTTTAAAAATCCTTATAACTTTGTTAACAATTGCAATATTCCGATGAAACTTTTGTTCGTACGAAGAAAAACAAGATTTTTTAAATATGTTAAAAATGGCGGATGCGCCAGGATTAAAATCGCTCCAAACAACGATTTTAATAAACGATGGGCGCCAAAATATAAAAAATCACAACTTCGTTATTTATTAAGCGATTTGGTTGATTTTTTTAGGGTGTACTAACTAAAGTACGCTATTTTCATTAAAATCAATAAAAACCCAGTAGTATTTCTTATAAACTCTATTTTGCAGGCTAGAAGCAGTAGCACAGGTAGCTACAGAAGTCTTAGCCAGGTAAATCTCAGTCAGTAAATAATAGAACAAACGTAGAATAGATCGATAGTATATTAGAGGTATATTTCATTTTATTTTAGCATAGAAACGTCTCAGCAGCTCTTAGTATTTGTGCAACCGCTACGTAAACATCCCAGTCGGCTTTGTTTCATAAGACCATTGTGTATGACAACTGCAGACTGTTTATCGTAGGTTTGTTTCAAAACAACTAAATTCTTGATTATGGTGCTGATTTTAACTGACAGACAAAATCATGGCATGTTCAGTTTTTTCTGAACAAAGCTCCAAACAAACTAACGATCTCTCGAGGGGGGGGGAATTGTATATATAGAAAAACATTATATAGAATTGTACGAGGTGTGTTCAGAAAATAACGGGAATTGTCAAATTTCGCGGGTTCGGAGGGTCCGGTTGTCATAAAATTTTCTTTATTATGTTGGTATAAATGCCCTCGAAGTATGATAAAAACTTTAGCTGTTTTCATTGTTTACTTTGTCTGTGGCAGCCGCTAAGGTTAGACGTGTTTTATGAGCTCGGCGATTTTTCGTTCGTTAAAAGAAATGGATCAAAGAATTTGTATCCAATTTTGCTTAAAAAATGAAATAAATTCTGTGAAATGTTAACAAAGGCCTATAGTGAGTCTGCTATAAGTAAAACAAGAGTTTACAAGTGGTATAAGAGTTTCCAAGATGGCCGTGAAGACGTTGAAGATGACAAACGCCCCGAACGCACAAGCACATTAACAACCGATAAAAACATGGAAAAAGTGGAAGAAATGGTTATAAACCATCAGAGAAGTCGCTGATGATGTTGGTATATCGATTGGCTAATCCCATGAAATTTTTTCGAATGATTTGGGTATGAAACGCGTGGCAGCAAAATTTGTTCCAAAATTGTTAAATTTTGAGCAAAATTTTTGGCCAAAAACAATACTGCAATGATGCCCCAGCCTCCATATTCGCCAGACATGCCTCTGTCTGACTTTTTCCTATTCCCAGAGCTGGCACATGTGCATAATATGCAATGGGGACTATTTTGAAGGCGACAACATTAATGTAGACGAATAAATAAATATTTGTTTCAAAAAACGAAAATTCCCGATATTTTTTGAACACACCTCGTACATATAGAAAAACATTTCAGTTTTGGAATTTAAATAAAACAATGAAATTTATAACATTTTATTTAGTTTGTACAAAAAATAAAGTATTGGTTAGTCTCCAGTCATCATTTCCATAAATTCTGTAACAATAATAATCAAGAATTATTAAAAATAAATTTTGTTACACATCACGTTCAATCATGTTGAGCGGTTTTAAACAAATTATTGCCGAAAATTAAAAACAGTTCTGATACTATTCCACAAGTCAAAATAAGCATTAAAA